CAGAAAGCTCTACGAATGGCGGATGTAAAAAGATTTAAAAAGTGCTCTAGTGTACGCCATGAAATTTGAGGCAGCCCAGCAAGCCACTCGTCGAGACCGCCACCCAGTCAGAGCTGCTCAAGTCCAGGAGCCAGGGGATCAAGTCACCGCTCGACTTGACGATTTAACTAGACAACTGAACGCCTTGAGACGGAATATTGGTGAGAAGAAACCGACCGTTAAGTGCTGGAACTGCGGTGCTGAAGGACACATACGACGAAACTGCAAAACACCCCAGGGGACTGATGTTAAGACCGCTTCTAACAAGCAGCAGGGAAAACTAATTAGTGGCCATCTCGCGGGGCGGAGGTTGCCAGATAATGAAAAGCCCCCGTTTAAAGCGCTTCAGATTTCTGCAGTGAGAGGCGGGCATTAATGGACTTTTCATAATAGGACATATTAATGGAGTTCCGTGCAATATGACTATAGATACAGGAGCCAACGTCACCATCATCCGAAAAGATTTGGCTCAACAACTAGGAAACAAACTTATCTGGACGCCGCCCTGCGTTACCCCACCCTCCAGACTGTGTCCGGTGAGAAGATCGACATCGACGGAAAAGTAAATGTTAACATCACGTTTGGAAGTGCCGCTTACCATCACACGGCATATGTAGCAGAAATCACTGATTCTTGCATACTCGGATTGGACTTTTCTAAGGAAATACAATTTTTCCTTGGATTTTAAAAATAACGAATTGCATTCTACATCTGAGGACATAGCGTTATTTCTCGTTAATGATGAAGAAGTTAAATCTGTCCATAAAATCATAGCACAAGACTATATTACAATACCGGCAAGAACAGAAATTTTACTTCCTGGATCCATAGCCGAAAATAGAAATTTCCGCTACGGCATCATAGAATATCCCAATAACTGTAATATCCCAAAAGGAGTATTAGTAGCCTCAACACTCGTCGACCTATCCAGAACGGTTATCCCGGTGAGAGTCGCCAATGTAACTGAAAAGTCGAGAGTTATTAAGAAAGGTGAAGTGGTTGCAACATGTACTCCAGTAACCAGCGTTGAAAAAAAGAGTAACATCCCAGAATCCGTGTCCTCAGAGAGCATTACATCGGAGTTATTGCAGAATGCACAATTAAACGATAAAGAGAAAAATGCTGCCGATCGCGTCATTAAAGATCTTCAAGTTGTTTTTCTCCCGCTCGTCTTCTGACGTGGGTCGAACTAGTTTTGACACAACATAGAATAGATACTGGCGATCATCCCCCGATCAAGCAACATCCAAGACGTCTACCGTTTGCTAAACAGGAAGAGGTGCGAACACTGTTAAAAGATATGGAAGAAGGCGATGTCATCGAGCCTTCAGCGAGTCCATGGGCATCTCCCATCGTTCTCGTCAGAAAGAAAGACGGCTCAACAAGATTTTGCGTTGACTATCGCCGGTTGAATGAGGTTACGAAGAAAGACAGTTACCCTCTTCCTAGAATTGATGACATTCTAGACACTCTTTCTGGAAGCAAGTGGTTCTCAACACTTGATTTAAAGAGTGGGTATTGGCAGGTAGAAATCCATCCTGATGACCGAGAAAAGACGGCATTTACTACGGGACAAGGACTTTGGCAGTTCAAAGTGATGCCGTTTGGACTGTGTAATGCGCCGGCAACATTCGAACGTCTTATGGAGACTGTTTTGAAAGGCCTTTCTTACGAAGCCTGTCTGATATACCTGGACGATATCATCATCGTCGGAAAGAGTTTTGAAGAGCATCTAGAAAATCTTTAGAAAGGTGCTTCAGAAACTGAAAGAGGCCAATCTGAAGCTGACTCCGCTAAATGCAAATTGTTTTCGAAAGGAAGTGACTTACCTGGGACATGTCATCTCTGCAGAAGGTGTGCGCACGGATCCTGAAAAGGTATCAGCGGTTAAATCCTGGACGCGTCCCGAAAATGTCCATCAGCTGAGAAGCTTCCTAGGGCTTTGCACCTACTATAGGAGATTCGTGAAGAACTTTTCTTCCATCGCAAGACCACTTCACAAGCTGTCAGAGAGCAAGCAAAGATTCTTGTGGACAAAGGAATGCGAGGATGCATTTAACAACTTAAAGGAAGCTTTAACATCTGCTCCAATCCTGACGTATCCTCAGCTCGACAGACCATTTATTCTCAACACCGACGCGAGCAATGAAAGTGTCGGTGCTGTTTTGTCCCAAGAAATAGACGGCCAAGAACGTGTAGTAGCTTACTGGAGCAAGTGCCTGTCTAAAACCGGAGAGGAATTACTGTGTCACAAGGAAAGAGTTGCTCGCCATAGTCAAAGCTGTAGAACATTTCCATCATTATCTATACGGGAGAAAATTCCTCCTCCGCACGGACCATGCCTCATTGGCCGTGGCTTTTAAATTTCAAAGAATCCTGAGGGTCAAATAGCCAGGTGGATACAGAGACTTCCAAGAATATGACATCACTATCCGTCATCGTAAGGGATCATCACACGGAAACGCCGACGCCCTGTCTAGAAGACCTTGCCAAGAAAACTGCCGATATTGTTCCAGGGTGGAAGCGAAATACGAAGCTGCTGACTCCGGTCGCAAGACAAATTACAACATCAAACATCGGCTGATCGAGACCCGTGGAGTGATGAAGTCAGGAAAGACCAGCTGGAAGACCGCGACATTAAACCCATAACTTGATTTAATAGAGTCATCAAACAGAAAACCTACCTGGCAGGACATTTTTCTATCTATCTGTCCTGACAACAAAACAATACTGGGCACTCTGGGATTCACTTCACATTCAAAACGGCGTCTTATACCGGAAATTCGAAGTCGGATGATGGGAAGACGTTTCCGATGGCAACTGATACTTCCGAGATCCCGGATTCCTGATGTTCCTTCAAAGAACTACATCACAGCAGCCCTACAGGAGGTCACTTTGGAATTATGAAAGACCTTACAGAGAGTTCGTGAGCGCTTTTACTGGGAATAATGCAAAGAATGACGTGCCGAAGTGGCGCCGATCTTGCGATGCCTGTGCAGGTCGGAAAGGACCGAGGAAACGCAGCCGAGGCAGACTGCAACGTTACAACGTAGGTGCGCCTTTTGAACGTATCGCCTTTGACATCCTGGGACCTCTGCCACGAACTGCTGATGGGCAACAAATACATACTCGTTGTCATTGATTACTTCACCAAGTGGCCTGAAGCTTATCCTATTCCTGATCAAGAGGCAGTCACAGTAGCTGAGGTAATGATACAGCACTGGATTTCCAGGTTCGGAGTGCCTCTTCAGTTACATTGCGATCAGGGAAGGAATTTTGCCTCGGCAGTAATCAAAGAACTATGCAAACTACTTGGCATTGACAAAACTCAAACGACGCCATTGCATCCCCAGTCGGACGGCATGGTAGAGAGGTTCAATCGAACCATCCTTAATAACCTCTCATTAGTGGTTTTCCAGAAACCAACAGGACTGGGACAAGAAATTACCACTCTTTTTACTGGCTTACCGCAGTGCTGTCCACGAGACTACCGGCTATTCTCCATCACAGATGCTCTTCGGTCGTGACCTTCGTTCTGCCTTGTGATCTATTGTTTGGCCGCCCTCCGGATGCTCCTTCATCGTCTGAGGAATATATTCAAGATCTCCAGGCCCGGTTTGAAGTGATGCACAATTTTGCAACGAGAGCGAGTCAACTTGGCGACGGAGAAGATGAAGACCCGATACGATACACAAGAGCTACTGGAACATCAATTCCAACGAAGGAGACAAGGTGTGGTTGTGGAATCCGACTCGACGGAAAGGACTTTGTCCGAAATTACAGTCACCTTGGGATGGTCCGTACACAGTCCTAAACAGGCTGAATGACGTCGTGGTTCGGATTCGTAAGTCTTCGAACTCTGAAACCTAAAGTCGTTCATTACGACAGGTTAGCTCATTACTACCATGGCCCAGTATGTAGTGTAAATAATTTATGTATAATATGTATGTAGTGTAAAGTATAGTAGTGTAAGTAATTCCACAGTATGTAGTGTAAATAATTTTAAATAGTATAAGACCATGGTCCCTTTTTGTTTCTTAAATGTGTATTTTGATTTGACTTATTTGATTTAGCACTTAATGATTTGATTTTATGTAGTTGCATTTATTGTTCATGTTGTTTATTATTGTAATGTAATGCTTATTAATGCATTTATGCCACAGTTTGTAAGTTTTGCTTCCTGTCCAGGGATTGTACTGCCCGGGACGTGCAGTCCTTGGGAAGGGGGCAGTGTTACGAATTTGGTATTTAAAAAGCTAATGTTAGTTCAATTAGAAATTAAATGGTTTTATTTCTCGCGCAGTGCAGCGCGTGACGAATATTAAAAGAAAGCTAAGCCGGAAAATTGAAAATACAAGAGCGCGTGCATTAAATAAATAAATATCTCTTTTTGATTTCGAGAAAATACTGGAAAATTCTAGCGCGTGATTTTAAAATCTTATAAAAGGAGGAAACATCTCAGTTGTAGTAGTTGCTTAGTTTGTTGTTTGTTAGAAAACTACTGTTGTTGATTGTAGCGAATTCGCGGATTAGCGTTCTTTAGCTGTTTTGAATTACGTTCTATTGACATTTGAGTAGTTAAAAGAAAACTACTGTGAAATATTGTAATACTGCATGATAATTTGAGAAAATTTAAGCATTTTTGTTGTGATAATAATAAATTTTTGTTCATTTTTCATCGGACTTGTGCATTCATTTCATAACGAACCCGTACGCACGCAACAATATTTATCATTCTTTTGTAATTTAATTCTATATCATTAATACGTTACCACATATCAGTGGATACGAGCCAGGTTCCCTTAGAAAAGCCTCCACAAAGACATCCCTCTCCTTAAGCACATAGCCTAACATGCTATGACATAATAAAATAACCTCTCTCCCCAAAATGTCATTATTAAATATCATTTCACAAATATGAAGTTTTTCGGCAACATGTTATCAATTATCTTTCGGTAAATATGCAGCTTAAAAATATTGATAGACAAGTAATTACGAATAATATTTAAGCATACTCTTCTTAGTTAGCAAATTATTGCTTAAATATAACAAGTGATTTTTTTCCTTCAAAACAGATTGAACGAACAAAGTCTATCATCAGCTTAGTTTAATATTTGTTAAATAGAATTATGTTATGCATTGTATTTTTTGTTGTTTAATTTTACCGAAAATAAAAACAAGATTATGTGTTTAGATTTGGTGCATAGGCAAATTAGAATTAATTTAATTGTTTCACTTTACTTAAAAATAATTAAGAAAAGGGTACTTCTTTTTAAGTAAATAAAATTATTTTCATTCTTAAGTTTTATCAAAATAAGTATGTGTGTTTATCAGAACTGAAAATGTATTTATTTCTTCCTGAAATGAAACAGGATAAAGTATAATATATATTGTCTTACTTTGCAATATAGCAAACGCATAATTGGCACCCTGAGGAAAAGGCAATTTAGCTAACCTAAGCTTGGCTACTACTAAGGCCGGAAGTGGTGTCCACTTGATTGTGGAAGCACCTAATAGGTGGGCCACCGTTACGTCCTATTGAAGGAACCGAAAATTACAGCCATGTTTCCGGAATTCGAACCCGAGCTCTTTTGTATCACACTAGCCTCCCTTACCGTTTGAGAGGCATTATCCGTATAATTTGTGATCCCAATTAATACATCTGATAATTGTTCTAATTTATTGGCAGCTAAGAGACTGAAGCTCCTCTAATAGTCATACAATGCACTATGATCCTTCAGATTTGTCTCCTAGTTATAGCAATATCGCAATAGAAGCATTCAAATTCTTGTCTAACGTATAGAAAGGCATAGTTTTAAATTTCGTGCCATTAATATTTGATTTGTTTTAATTGCGGTTATAAGGTATTTCTCCCGCCTTCTTAGCTTGCCTTCATGGTGTGGTGTCTGCACGCTGGGCGCGTATTCCAGAGGTCCGTGATTCGATTCCCGGCGAAGGCGTTGCTCATTTTTCCCATCTCTTGCTTCCAAAAAATCCTAATGACTCTACACGGTTAACGTGTGGTTCCTCATTTCCCCCGTTACTTCATAATCTGTTATAAAAAGGCTGACGATAACTGCATATAATTTAGTAGATGCTACAGCTTATGAACTTACAATCATGCTTTGTTTTGTTGATATGTTATCGGTGTCATAGTATGTATTGTAATTTATAGATTATTTTGAAGCTTCTACCAATGCTTCACAGAGATATTCATGTATTTATTTTAACATATAAAGCAAATATGAAATATCCAAAATGTAAAACAAACCTGCACTTTTGAAATATTTCTGCAAGAAAAAGAACAGGTTTTGTATGTATGACGGCTACACATACATGAGCTTAATGCACTGAAACGTTTCCTACAAGAAAGAATTAATCTAAACATCATACATTGAGTTGAAGCTGCTAAGTACAGTAAACCCCATGTAAAACGACAGCGAAATTCATAAAATATGCTTAAAAGATCTTCATTTAGAAAATATAACTTGAATTGTTCGGTTGTAGGATACGAACTATCTATTTCTCCTTTTCCGTTTTCCTGATGTAATTTTGCCTTGATAATCATTTTTAATAATTAATCTTCATACTGTATACTACAACATCGAAACATCGGCAATTTTGTTACATGTAAAGGCAGTTTCTCTGGGCGGCGAAATATGATAGTGTTGTAAGAATGCCGCATTTATGTGGCAGCTGCGTGTAATTATTTTTTATTTTATCACAAACGTTAGTGATGATTTCTATGTATTTCAGATGAATTCCAATTCCACACGAGAAACGTACTCTGTGGAAGAAATTTTATTTGTGGACTGTGACCAGAAAGTACATAACTGAAACGCATATGACAAGAACATAACATCAGTACATAAGAGTGCACAGCAAATACTTACCATTGCTGAGAATTATGAAGAGAAATAAAAGACCATGTCAAGTTATTAAATGTACAGTTCTTATTCTGATAAGTGGTATATGAGTTGCTGATCTATTCTTTAAACGGAGGTGATTTGATTTTATCTCGAATGAAGTTTGAAATTATTTGAAAATAAAATTTACGTAATAACTGGCATATACTATAATCATTTCTTTATAAGTTGTAGAAACATTAGGCATTTGGAAGCAGGTGAGATAAAAAATGAGCAATGCCCTCGCCGGGACTCGAATCACGGACCTTTCCAATACCCGTCGAGCGTGCTGACCAGTACACTACGAAGGCATGCTAAGAAGGCGGGAGGAATACTTTATATACTACCCCTTTTAAAGGGCGACTGGGAATTAAAGGACCCTATCGCCAAATCCTGGTGGTGGAGAATCATCATCCACGACCTTTATTAGTTCGGGCGCCACTGTAGAGATATTAGGTTACTTCGAAGCACAGATATGAAAAAGGAGCAATGTCCTTGCCGGGCTCGAACCTCGGACCTCTCGCATACGCGTCGAGCGTGCTAACCACTACACCACGATGGCATGCTAAGAAGGTGGGAGAAATACCTTATAAAATTAATAAGAAAAATAATTAATATAGTATAATTAGTTTTTAAAACTAGCTATACATGTCATTAGTTTGTAAAAACTAATTATATGAATGTTACAATTCAAATCTATTTAAAAATAATTGGCATGATATAATTAATTCCTGAAACTAATTATATCAAGTATTAGTTACTTCTACTTGAATAAAATCACTTCTGTGGCATACCAAGTTTAGATCCGAACGGCAGTACCGTTCGTAGACTGTCGGCCGCCCACGTGCAAATTAAAACTGGTCGCCGTTTTCTTACGGAAATCTAATATGTTTAATAATCATTTTGCCGTCCTTAAATATGACCGCCCATGTGCTGTGCCATCTTGCCCCCCGTTAGGATCGGCCTTGCCGAACGGATTTTAAATAAATGGTGGATTGTGTTTAGATAAATATTTAATGTCATGAGCAGACAGATATTCGCAGAGGCAAACAACTTTCATAAATAAATCATTCAGAAGTGAAGATACGCGATGTTACGCCAACGTCTTGTTAATCCAGCCGTTACGCGATAAACTGAATCGACGAATGTAAAGAACCAGACGTTACGCGATAAACATGCGGGTTTGAAGTGCTTTTCAGAAATTCGTGTTAAGGCTCGTAAAGCTTGCTTCATACTTTTCATATCAGTGGCTCATCGCTTTTCATTAATGTGATAAGGAATTCAAAGAAGCTCTTGAAAGCTAATTTTAGTTTCTTATTCATGCAAAACGCTTTTATTCTAGGAAGAAACTTCCTGTAAAATAGCCTTGATATAACTCCTTTTTGCCTGAATATGTGAAATATACTTAGAAACTAAATAAACATAATAATTTATAATTTGTGTAGGTTCTTCTTTTTTTTTTTTTTTTTTTTTTTTTTTTTTGTGTGTGTGTGTGTGTGTGAATGCATCGATATTTAAGTATTACACTGCCTTTCAAAGGTATAACTCTCCCCTCCCCCCAGTGGCCGAGCGTTAAGATTGCTGAAAATTACTAGTTCAACTCGGGTTCTGGCTGCATGCGAGGTTTCTTAGTTTTCCATGCGTGCAACATGAATACGAGTCTGTTTCTCTCAGAAAGCAGATAGCTGTCACTTGCTTTGACATCATCGAAGAAATATTACAATTGAATCCAATCCTTTTGAAATGCACTGTAGTCCAAAAATTACAGTTTAGGTTTTATTAAAAGCTTTTTACTTAAAAAGCAGATTTGAAGCCATTGCATGAATGAGAAATACGCATAGTTATGCTGCAAATACAACTGCTTTTCTTAATAAAAAAATAGATACATAATAATATGGTGAAATCACATTATTGTGATCTGAGTGGAGACCTTAGCTGTTCTTACTAAGGAAAATCCGAATTAAATCAAATTGTTTAAAAAATATGACGCTTTCATATTAGTCGAATGTGCAGGAAAGTTGCAAAATGAAGCAAATTTTAATAATCCTGAGTATCCTTTTATTTTACAACATACATATTTACTCTACATTTATATAAAAGATGGTAATAACTATCACACAATAAGTATACAAAACTTATAACTTAATTTAACAATAGCCTTGTAGTTACTCATTTTAATTTGTGTATTTCCCCTTTCTGTTCTAAAAATAGAAAAGTTTGTAATAATTTTCCTGGACTGCGTCTTTCAAAATTAAATCGTTTCATGCTTATGCAATCCTATAATATGACAGCTCTTATCCAATCAGATAAACTTCTGACTATTTTTCTGGATGCGCACTTACTTTGCCTTACTGTTGTTCAGACGTGTCGCGTGGCTGTGCTGTCTATCGACCATTATCTGAAATATCAGCTATACAAAAATGCGAGGTGCACATCGCACCCATGACAATGTTTCCACATGATTGTGCTTCTGAACGCTTTCTTCAACAAATAAAACGTAATAATAAATGTCAAAATCGTCAAAAATAGCGGCGACGTGTGCAAGTTTTTCTTTTCCATATCTGTGACCATTATAGAATACTTATATAGACCATTATAGAATCCTCATTCTATATAATCACTAAAGGATCCGAAGTTACCTACGAAATTCATTATATATATATATATGCGTGTGTGTGTGCATATCACAATATACACTGCCCAAAAAACAAAAGCAAAAAAAAAGGGGGGTACAGTTTTACTGGTTCCATTCTACTGGGCTGATTGATGAAATTCAAACTGCAATTTTCATGTCTCGGATTGGATTGCATTGGATTAGTTAATTATGGCAAAGCACACGAGGGCTATCTGTCTAAAGGGAGGGATGCCCTTTCTGTTCTACACGTGGAGGACTTTCTAAGGGAAACTGGCTCGTATACAAGTTACACATGAGGAAAACCACGAAAACACCCATGCAGCCAGCCTCTTCGCGGGATTCGAACCTAGGACCCAACTACCAGTGTTCAGCGTCTTTACCGCTCAGCCGCTGGTGGGCTTTTTCATGTCTCGAAAGCCTGACTTAGGACATATATTAGATTTATTTATAGCATTAACCTTATATAGGTATTTTGACACAAAATCAGACTTTTGCTGAAATAACATACCACTTTTTTTTTCATATTTCGATTTCTATGACTCAAATTATGCCTATATATTAAATTTTGTAATTTTTGGTAAGAAATTTAGAGATAAATTTATCTTGGCGAATTTTTTTGAGCTTGCGCCAAGAATAATTCACTTGGCGAACTTCTTAATTTATAGCAAACTATTTTCCTTCCCTTTTTCTTAATTGTCCACGAGCGGCAAAAAGTCATGGTTCATAATTTAAAATAATTTTAACAACGCCCGTAAACCACAATTTCGTTATTATCGCTTATAATAAATACGCCGAATTTCAAAACGCGCCAATATGTAAATTCACATATATCTAAGGAAATTTTGAATAAAAAACTCTAATTTTTTGCATGCATGCTTAGAAATATATCGACTTTAAGTTGATGGCAAAACTTTTATGGGTTATAATTTAAAACCTTTTTCGAAAAATTATTTTAAAATACAAATTTTAAAAATAAATTATAAAAGTGGGCGAATTTTATTTGGAATGAACCTAAATTTCGAAATGTGAAAGGAAGAATTAAATAAGTTTAATTAAAAAAGATATATTAATAAATAGATTTGCCGGTGTATAAGACGCACCGGCCTATAAGGCGCACCTCCCTTTTTTATACTCATTTTTGAAGGATAAAATTTTAATACTGATCATTATAATGAATTTACAATATTTTAAATATAAAGTAATACAACCAATCTATCTGGTAAAAAACATCTTTTAATCTCCTTCCTCAAAACCCAGACACTCATCTCCAGAGCTGAAGAGTCACTTGAAACCTCTTCTAAATCAGCATCTGAGTCCTCATACAACAAATTGTCATCTGTACCATCCAGGATGCCGTACTTCTTAAATGATTTAACCATTTTCTCTGTTTGCACAGCATGTCATGAAACTTTGGCACATTCACAAACGACGTATACGACGCAGTATCAGCGTATAAGACGCACTCTTTTTCAGACCTACTTTTAAAGGAAAAAAGTGCGTCTTATACGCCGGCAAATATGGTATATCAAATTCAATTAACATTGAGGAGGTAAAATTTTGAGAGCTAAATTTTTTAAATTTACTCGAGCGATTTTTTCAAAACTTTGTAGTTTGGCATAATTTCAGTCTTAGAATCGTAATTTGGAAAAAAATTGGCATGTCATTTCAGAAAAAGTCCGATTTTGTGTCAAAATACCTATATTAAAATAATGCTATATATAAACCTAATACATATCCTAAGCCACGCTTTCGAGACATGAAAAACGCAAGCTGAATTTTGTCAATCGGTCTAGTAGAACGGGAGATAAAGAACTGTCCCCCGTTTTTTTAGGGAGTACATGGGATATACTAAAATAAGTAAACTTTAATTAATAAATTACGCATAGTGATAAATTTGATAAAGTTATATAAAAAGCACTAATAAAATGTTTATAAAATATACAAATAGCATTGTATATTTACAATGCACTTTCTCCTTCTTGTCAAATTTGTTAAAAAGTAGCGGATTTTGAACTTTCTTGAGCTTTTAAATTTTTTCGACTTCTGAGTTAGATAATACGGTGTCGAAACTAGCTTTTGTTTAAAAAAATAAACTTACTCAAAAATTTCCATTTATTTCTTTATATTTTTCTGTTTGCAGAACGGTTACTCCGTTGAACAGCATAGCCCCTTCAAGGTTCAGCAAAAACCTTGGACTCCCACCAAAAGAAGGGGGCCCATAGCCGGTGAGTGGCAGACACCAGGACCTGCAGACATCACTTTACCTTCCACTTTCGGTGAGTAGAGCGTCTCTACACTCGTACAATAATTTGTTTTTCCAGTTCTCTTACCTTAAATGAATCTTGAAAAGTCACTTCTGAAGTATTTGACTTGGGATGTTGTCAGTGTTGACGAAGAATTGTTAACATGTCTTTAGACCTTGTATAGACGTTCTTAGAGTGGTGGAGATTACTTATCAATGCATATAGGTCAAAACAGGATTTAATTACATTGTTTTCATTCATTTGATGATGTAGTTATGTTTTAACTAGTTACGCCGTAAGAAAGTATTTCTCTTGACATTATTTGTGGATTGAGCTTTAAAATAATTCCTATGTTGATTATTTGAAAATATTTTTATCCCAACCTATTTCTTAGAGTTCAAAGATTCAGTGAATAACATTTTTATGGATATTGCGTCATCATAAGTTTTGAAAAAATGACAGATGTTTCTTTACATGTGCTTTTATTGCTTCTAAGATGGATTCTAAATTTAATAGCTTGCAGAGATTGGTAATATAATATTAAAGCAATTCAAAATTTGAAATATTTACGTTTACTGTCTGAGTATCTGTAGTAATTCTTGAAATTAGAAGGAATACAAATCCTATAATTTAAACAATTGTTTCCTATGGTTACTGTATGTGTAAATTCCTTTCATGTTATAGAGTATGAGGGAATTAAATGTGGAAATTTCTTTTTACAGCTTTTATTTATTATTTTAACATTTTTATTAATGCTAATTGGAAAGAAAAATGCGTGAGTACTTTTATATCAGTATAACCAACGTAAACTTTAAAAGAGTTTCTTCTTAAATTGAGAGTATGTTGTTTTCAAAGTAGAAGACGGAATAACTTATTGTGTTCTTTACATGATACATATGTTTGTGAAGAATGCGTGTAAAAAAGACGTTATATCTGTGAAAAGTAGCGGATAAGAGTAAAGAGCATTGGTTCTGTATTGTTGCTTTCTGTGAGTTTGTGAATTTCGAGTAATTCATGACGACACTTGATGAAGAATTAAAACACAATTTATTCGCCAGTATTACACAGGACAGTTCTAAAGCCACCTTTATAGTCGTCGAAAAAACTACGACAAACACGTTGATACAATCAGCAACACAGCCTTCAGACTATAACGGTGAAGACAGCTTCACGGCAAAGCACTAAAGTACAGCTTCCGACACTTTCGATCGCTCTCAAGCTAACCTCGGAAATCAAGACACTATTACTGCTTAAAATACTATTAAATTCAAGATACTACACTACTCTCTCCGCTTACAGGCAGGGTATAGTATATAGCTTTAAACTACATTCGAGAACATTCCCTAGGAAAACGGCTAAGAATGAGTTCTAGAATGTTCTCGCTAAGTCTATGGCATATCGCCAATTTTTTCGCCAATTGGGCGATTTCGCTCCAAATCTGGAAACCCTAACCCGGTTTGCGGGGAAGCTATCTCACCACAGCTGGACATTTTGCAACCGTAGGTAAAAAATCAGCAAAAATTATTTTTAGAAAAATCTGAAGATATTCATTTTAGGTTTATTATCTTGTTTAAACAAAATGCACATCATTAATATGTAATATATACATTTGAAATGAAAAAACGTTCTTCATGAAAAACAACAATAGCAAAAAATGTTTCACGTGTAACAAGATTTTATTCATTTTCACTGACTATACACGGCGGCCCATATGTTTATATATGAATGAAATATCACAGATATAAATACAAATGTTATGGGCCTCGACTTCTGTCTGTACTAATGAAATTCGTTCTGTGATCTTTTGAGCAAAATCAATACGCGTGTTCTCTAGTACTGATATTTTACCGGTTTTACCAACGATTTCAATTATTAATCGTTATGATCGTGTTTTGATTAGGCGGTCATTAATTCTCTACAAGGAGGCTGACAACAACTTCAGTTCACATTGGAACTTCCCAACACGTTCCTCATTAAGGCCACGTTTGACAAATTGATTACCTAATTTTCCATCCAATTTTAGATTTTTTTTTTTTATTAAATCTAGATTTAGAACTGGATCATTTTCTTCATAATCTCTACGTTCATTTTGTCGCATTAGAAGTCTCAATAGCAACTTCTAATATTTCCTCATCGCTTAGGGCTTTATTGATCAACAATTCATCAGTATCTACAAACGATAAATCATCAAATCCTTCTCCACCAGTTGTGTGGGCCTTTGTAATGATACTAGGAAATTCGGTTATATTAGAGATAATAGGATCTTTGCTTTTAACACATCGTGGCCAAACTGGTTTCCAACACGCGTCTTAACAATTTAGGCAAAAGCGATTTTTAGAAATTGGCCGGGCTCGCTCACTTAAATCAAAATGGCATGCTCAAAACGTGAATGAAATTAGCGAAACTATTTTAGAAAAGTTGCTGCAAGTAAGTTAGCTGCAAGCTTGTTGTTGTTGTTGCTTATGCTTGCTCACTTGTCTGGCGTAGTCAGCCCAAGCCTACGAAATTCCTCTTGGCAAGGAACGCTAGATTACGCCTGCCGTTGGCAACAGCCTTGAGCACCATTCAGGTGACAATGCGATTTAGCTCAGTTCCGCCTCCAATTTTGATGGAAAGCACCCGGGAGGACGGCTCCGAGGGTCTCCTTCCCTTCTCCCCTTCCACCAAACCACACGAGAGGACTTTCGGCTCGCCGCTTATTTAGAATTCCATCATGCCAACACCGACACTATACATTTACAAACATCCACGCCTTCTCCGGGATTCGAATCCGGGCCCTTCGGCACGGCAGTGAGCAACGCTATACTATAGCTGCAAGCTAATTCAGGCCAACTTCATGCTATTATTGTGTATTATATTTCTACTATACTTAACTCTTATAACCTACTGCCTAGTAACGCTATCAGATCTAAATGTAGTGTTTGATATTATTCAAGAACACCTTAGATATGCTTAAACGAAAAACAGAAGAAGTGGTGTAAGTGTAAACAAATTAGATTTCTTTAATTCGTAAAATTTATACTTTTACGCCGTCTACATTTCCTGAGATAAACGATTCCTTTTTTTACCTATCAAGTAACATCTAAAATAATTTGCTCCTTAAATTGCGTACAATTGTCCCTTCCTTTATCTCTGAATTCCTAGAAATCGAATTAGTAACGCTTGAATCTACAACCGACTGCTAAATATACTGAAATATTAAGTCTGTAGCAGCTCCCTCTACGTATAATATTATCTTTATTGTTGCGAAGTTTATTTTCTTTAGATTGGCAACAAGAAAAAGGTGTAAATAAAAGGAATTCTCTTTGATATTGTAACCCTAACGTCTTCTTTAATTATTGTGAATTAAAATGTGCTTAATCTATTCTGGAATTATCATTTAAGTTATTAAATTATCTCATGTACTGACTGAGCGTAGCGTTCACAAGTCTTTTATAGTTGTTACTTTCAGTTACTTTTCATTCGAAATGAATCTAATGTGAGACAATCCATATTTAATACAATATCTAGCTGTTCTTGTTATTATTTAATAGTATGCTCCATTTCTTCGTTAAATGCTTAGTATTCAGAACGAGAATTTGAACATTTTGGCGCTAATTATTAGAATTTTCGATTATTTATTTACTTGCTAGTTTTTTCGAATTGGAAACATTTAAAAACATATACTTCAATTAATTACTTTTCAGACTTTAATTAACACTCAATTTATTTTAATTAAAATCATAGAAATTTGTATTTAGCATAATTGTTTAAGCTAGGAGATGGCACATTATTATTGATTACTTACTGCAAACAAACTCTTCTGGATTCTTTCAAATATCATAAAGAATTATTATTAAAAAGGAAATTAGAGAAATTAAAAGTAACTGAGTTCAAAGTTCAAAATAATTACTTTAATTATGTGATGAGATTCTAGAAATTAGATTTGCGAGCAGGCAGTATAAATGTCTTCTTTTTAAGTGAAACCGTAGAATATATTGCATATACGAACTACAAAGGACTGTATAGCAAACTTTTTCTTCGCATATTATTTATACTTTCCTTCTAATTATATTTTAATGGAACAGAAAATACAAAGTTAGTGAAAGTTTAACTGCAGCCATGTCGGTTAGATATACGTTGTTTAAAAAAGAAGCAACTTAACATGCAGAAAATATACCACTACTCATCATACAGTAACTATTTAAACATTATTGTTTGGCGGCTAAGATTTTTATTTCCGTTCGAAAATGCTTCCTAGTCACGTTCAAGTACTGCTTGAGCAATCAGACAATCAACTTTTTTTTAGGCAGTTTTCTTGTTAGTTTCGTGTAACAGCAATTTTATTAAGGACTTTAACGATGTTTCCATTTGGTACGAGTTTCATATTCATGTGATGGTTAAAATATTACCAACATTTTTGCCAGACGTTGCAAATTAGCACATGACTAGAAAAACTTGTCAAGGGCTTTTGCAGCGTCGTCATAAACAAATCTGTCATTAATGAATTTCGTGTCACGCAAACATAGTAGCTCACTAGATGTCGCTGTAGTTGCATGCTCGAATAAAGAAGAACATCCTGCTGATCTTTCAGGAGCTGTACGTAATGAGAAGTTACTGGTTGCGTTATCTAGATGTGATTACTTTTGTAAGCTTTTAATTTAAATGTATTTTTAACAGTTGTATGTTTTATAGCTCTATAGATCGTGACGAGGATATTTTGCGTTATTAACTTATAAATAACATTTTAAATATATACTGCAACATTTTTTTTCGTGATTTTCCCGTCTGATGAGTGAGAAAGAATTATAGCATGAATATTAAATTTGATATTCGCCACGAGTGTTTCAGTTATGCTATGTTAATTCATTCATCTTCAGGGATAATTTTTTTTCGAACTCTATATTAAATCTCTCTATATTTTTAAACCCTATATTCTAATGTAGAATATATTGCATATATGTAAATTTAGAATTTATTAATCTCGATTGTGGCTCGTTTAATGAAACAGTTCGAGAAAACTGGTAAGTACTATTTTTAAAAGCATGCATTTATAGGTATTACACCCTATTTATAATCGTGCAAAGCATTTCGGTTATGGCCAGTGTTCCGTCTATTTTTTTCTTATAGCTGTGGTAGAAATACGTGTAATCGTTCCGTAGCTTACGTTGTTCGTATAGATTTCTTCATTAAATTAAATAGGACACATTTAAACAGCTTTTTTATTTATTTTATACCTATGCACACAGCTGATCAAAGTCACAAGAAATTATCTGGATCATAAGAATGTTTTGTATGTTGATGTCCTACAGTCGGCTGTTAACGCAGAAATAGGAAATATCCGAGAGCAATATCCTAAAATTAAAGTTACTACATTATTAACTTTTCTTTCTTCTTACCTAGTGGAAGAAGCTTTAATCAATACAATAACTTACTTAGAAATTAGAAATATATAGAAATTAGCGCAAAGGTACACAGTCACCTTAGAGATGAAGCCGTTTTAACTGTATAGTGAAAACTGCTTACTGTACAATGCATTCTGTTACATACTATATAACATTTTGTGTGTTTCGATGCATTATATTTCAACAACTAGACACTGTTCTTTCTCTATACCCTATAGAAATATTGCGTAAGATTGCAATTTTCACGCATATATTCTTTTGTGCGGAAATTGCAGCGAACTGCTCTTTGTTCTAATTTAGAATAATTTAATTTAACAGTGGTTATGTCTCATTTGTTTAAGCTATAATCAAAGACTAAAGCATTTGAAATTGTTAAATAATCTAGCAAATATCGTCATATATCGTTTTGATATAAGCAAAAATAGTGTAGTTTCGTAATTTGTTTATAAACTATTTTATGGAAAAAATTATTTTTATTAACCTTCTTCGAAAAACTTTGATAGAAACAAAAACTAAAAAATTAATAATGTTACGAAAAAATTATCATAATGTAGTCAAAAATAGATATTTGAGTTCGAAATATTGAACTAGATCTTTTAATAAGTAAATTTAGAACTTTTATATTTAGGACATTATAATTTGAAAAAAATATCAGAACTGTATACATTTCCAAAGTTATCCAAAGGGAATCTTAGGAAGCCTGCATTCCTAACTGGATCTATCTGTCTAAATAAAATGTTTGTCAAGAACCAATAAGTATCTTCTGTTCATTTGCAGCTGCAGATATTAAGTTATAATTACTAGATTTATTATACATGAAATTTTTACACGAAATTTTTAAGATTAGCTTCACAAAGTGCTCATTTATTAAGCTCCATTATTATCTTCGTGGATCTTTATATTTCTAGGTGGTGTATCTAATTATGGCAAAGCACATTAGGGCTAACTGCCTAAGGGGGAAGGATGCCTTCGCGGAGGACTTTCTAAGGGAAACTGGCTCGTATACGCGTTACACATGCCAAAAACCACGAAAACACCCATGCAGCCAGCCCGTTCGCGGGATTCGAACCTCGGACCGAACTACCAGTGTTCAGCGACTTTACCGCTCGGCCGCTGTGGGCCTTATATTTCTAGGAAACTAGGGATTATTTGAAGTCGTAACATTTTTTAACGTTAGTGTGAGAGTATAATTATTGTAGTTCTGCAGGTGTAAACTCAGGCGTGACCGGTGATAAGTAAGTGAGAGACACGTACTAATCAAATATCATTGATTATTGATACATAGTATTTTGTTATGCTAGTGTAATGCACTTCGAGAATGTAGGATCTGGACATGTACAGCTATTATCTGTCTGAGATGATTTTAGATGATGTAAAAATTAAAAATATAAGCAATATGATAAAATATGTTATTAATACACATATCGCTTTAAAATGATTTATTCTAAATACAAAAGAAAAAAAAAATTAACATGGTTTGGTGGAATACTTTAAATTTACTTAGCTATATAGCAGACGATTAAACAAACATAATTACTTCATTTTTACTTCCTTGTGCAAAGTACAAGAAGAATTATAATCGCAAAAAAATTTGGGTTTCAAAATTTCAGTGGAAATATTCATTTTGATCGTTTGCAAATGCATTTTGACTAGTTCCATCGTAATGGCTATACGTATGTACGAGTATATTGCGTAACTCAAAAACGTTTCGCCGTGTAATTTTGAAGTTTTGAATTTTGGGTTTTTGACTAGTTTCGGCGTGACTTCTATACGTACGTATGTATCTGGCCTAACTCAGAAATAAATAGCCGTAGAATGTTGACTGCACAACTAGATGATACAGTATGGGACTGGCTGTATCATCTAGTTGTGCGCCTCTCTTTTTTATTGCAATTCGCAGTGCCAAAGAAACACTTTGAACTGAAAGGTCGTATCTCAGTTTCAAATGAAATAAGTTTAAACAAAGTGATCAAAAATATGTATAATTCAATAGGGGTACGAGGATGTCATATCATGAATATGGTCACATCATCGGATTTTTTGTAAATAATTATTAAAGTATTATTAAAATAATTTCGGTGTATTTGAATAGAGAATCTCAACGAATTACCATAAACATTTTATGTATTTATCTGAATTTCTTCGAAACGCAGAACAGGTATCAGCATGCTCACGTTTTATGAAAAAAGATGATATCCTAGCTTCCCCTGAGTCATATTTGGGCAAAATGTAATTACAATTACAGTTATACTGTACAACAGTTACAGCTATAGTGTAATTGTAATTAACTTATGTAATTGCAATATAATTGTATTTCTATAATTATAATTTCAGTGTGAATACAATTACACTTTATTTGCATTTACCATGTAATTGTAAATGCAGTAGATGAATATAATTATGTAAATAGGGAAAAAAACTCAAAAACTACAATTAAATAGCTGTAATTGTAATCGGAATTAAAAGTAACAGTAGAACCCAATATATCCAAACTGATTATCCATATTGGAGAAAAAATCGGGAAATAATGTGAAGGAATGATTGATTGTATAAGGGCGACAGGATAATCAGCTGTTTTCCATCTGAAATCATCTTGCTTAATAGTGCATTCATGCATTCTTGATTGTAATAACGACATAAATCATGAACTACTATTTCCTATTTAAATATTATGTACTAACTCGTACTTACACCTAACTTATTCTTAAACGTACATATCGTAACAGACGTTTTTACTGCATCGTGCATAGCTAAATCTTTTGGAATGTTAATAAAACAACAACCAGAATTAGTTGTTGTCATTTCTCAGTAGACATTCTTTCTAATTACAATAAATAAATTACAGTCATTCTTCCATAACTTTGTTAAGAAAAATGTGTGCTAGCGAATGTATGACTTATGTATTTGAATTTCTGGGACAATGACAAAGCACAAAAAAGTTGTTTGCTTATGGGATGGGCTGGAGGCCTTGTCGAGGGAAAAGTGCCTTTTTCTGTGTTTCATAGGAAGTAAATCATAAAACCTTCCTTTAGTCAGGCTATTAAAAAAAAAAAAAATACGAAATGGAGAAATTAAGTTATACTACTGCAAAGGTGCCATACTCTTATCCAAACGAATCATTCCACAACGCCCATTCTTTTGACTGTTTGCAATAAGAAATTCTAATCAAGGCTTTTAAGGTTATTGTTGAACTCGTTTATAGTCCTTTTATTTTATTTTATTTTAATTTTTACTCGTGGGGCTTATAGTATTCAGATACCTATATTTTAAAACATATTTCAAATTTTATAAATCACAGTAAAACGTTTACAGCTATATAAAGTTATTCATAAATAGTGAGTAAAAAAAGGGGTTTAATTCAATATCTAATCGATTATTTTGTTAATATGGTGATGGAATCAGATGGAAAACAGCTAGAAAGATGACAAGTTTTATCTTCTTGCGATTTCTTGCAATTTTAACTGAAAGAAAGTCTACTGGGAAACAATGTAATGTTTATGAAACGGATGTGCATTTAGCAAAATGTCTTATTTGCTTTAGGAGACAATTGTAATAAGATGCAAATAACAAAAAAAGGATTTTTTAACATTTAGGAAGATCCACTCAGAATAAACTTGAAAAACAATTGATTTTAAGAAGATATATTGCAAAATTAATTGGTTTCTCTAATGTGTGGACTAAAGGAATCGTTAATTTAAATTGTCCCATTTTTGTCTTAAATTCAAGTCTAGGTGTTTGAAGCTTTATAGTATAATTCATTATAGTAAATAATAACTTGAAAGTTGGGGTAATCATATTGGGCTGAAATTTTGCTATTCCGATTTATTTCAATAAACTTAAATCAAATACCCATAAACCTTTTTTTCCTATTGTTGTTATATTCGTGTCATGATTATTGCAGGCATAACACAATAGAAATTCAACTGGTATACTTATATATTTTTAATTTCATTACTACGTTTATTCATTTTTTAGGTCCCAAGCAAGCTGATGCTACTAAGTCCAAACAACCAGCTTATTCATTTTCCGGCAAGTGAGTAATAACGTTTTTTCTTCTTATTAGTAGTTGGAATTAATTTTCTAACAAAAATTAGTTAATGAAAATACGGAGGCTGAATTTTGAATTCTGCATTCTCAATTTGTCTTTATGAGATGAAAAACATATGCTCTAAGGATTATATATTATGCATATGCGCAAAATTAGGTTGTTAAATCACAGAACGACGTGACCGCAACTTGAAATAAAATGAGTAATAAAATGAAAAGCATTAACAATTAACAATTTTATATTGCCTCCTGTGGCTTGTTTCAGTCACGCTACTTTCTTTAAGCATTATTAAGCCGGAAAATGTTTTTACATTTTCCAAATGAAATCCTTTTGCTTACCTTATATGAGAAAATATTCAACTTTCTTAAATATAAGGCTTGTAGAGATATTAGGTTTTTTGGAAGCAGAAGAGATTAAAAATTAGCAATCGCCTTCGCCGTGAATTGAACCACGGATCTCTGGAATACCGGCCCAGCGTGCAGAACCACCACACCACGAAGGCATGCTAGGAAAGCGGGAGAAATACCTTATAGGCTTAATCTGTTACGTCAAAACAGTTGCCACAACAATTTTAGAATTTTTAAATAAGGGTTTGAATTAAATGATGGGAAACTTTATTTAGCATTTTATTAACGCTCTACAAGTTGAAACATTTTATTAATGGGATAGACTGAATTCAAAAGACTATTTGACTGGATCTTAAAAGACTGGATTTTATTATTTACTATTAGTGTTTTGGCAAACTGTAAGGTAGTGTTTTAATGACGTAAAATTTATAATGATAAATGAATAAGAAAAAAGGAGAAAAATATAAATAATATATGAGTTTCTCCGAATTTTATAGCGAAATAGGTTTTCATAGTTTTTTATAGCGAAATTTTATAGAATTTTATAGCGAAATAGGTTTATAGCGAAATAGGTTTTTATAGTATTTTGTAGCCCACCAGCGGCCGAGCGGTAAAGTCGCTGCACACTGGTAGTTCGGTCCGAGGTTCGAATCCCGCGAACGGGCTGGCTGCATGGGCGTTTTCGTGGTTTTCCCCATGTGTAACGTGTATACGAGCCAGTTTCCCTTAGAAAGTCCTCCACGAAGGCATCCCTCCTCTTAGGCAGATAGCCCTCGAGGCTTTGCCATAATTACACACACACACACACACACATAGTATTTTGTATAATTTTTCAATCATTTTAATAAATGAAGTCTTTGTAATAACATTTTAAATGTTGGGGTAAATTACTAAATATTTGCTCTTGAAGAAGCAATGTTTAGAAAGAACTTGTCACAAAACAATCACGGGTTAACGAAAGGTTACAAAATATTTGCTTTCGAATAAGAGACCATCGAAATAACATTTAGTCCTTATATTTCAGTTCAAGGCCATATGAAAATTGAATGTTGATTATTTTTAACACATCAGCTACCGGCATATGAAACGAAAATGATTAGCTGCGTATCACAGTAAAAAGTTTGGAAAAGTGCCTTCTGGTAACTGAAAAATGATGAAATTTATTAGCAAGTAAAAATATGAACTGCGAAAGTTTCTAAGAGGGGAGTTCGGAAAATATTTATTTAATAACATGCCATGAATACCGCGGTTAATCTCACAAGAAAACTTCAGGAACCAGAAGAGAAATTAACTTTTTTTTGTTAAGTGTTTTACTTTATAGAGTTTAGCGTTTTTGGTAACATAACCTACGTCGAAACTCCTAACAAACTTAGAGCGAATATGGCGAATTATCGCTCCAAGTCTGTTAGGCACATAAATGTATGGAACTTGATAGATCAGTCAACCATTTGTAATGCTTTTTCTTAAAGAAACAGTTAAATTCAAGATTTAAAATTAATTCTAGATGTCTTGGATCGTATCTTTACATCTGGCATCAGCTACGAAAAGCTGTAACCAGTAAATTAACATTATACCAGAGGCCAAAAAGGTTTTCAAAATAAAAGATGTATATATTTATTAAGATTTTGCAATTAAATACCATATCATGGCATATCGTGGCGTTGTATCAGTGGCGGCATCAGATGAAATGTGATCGATCCGATCTGAGCATTTTATGCTGAGATATTGCGCGGTAGCGCATCGTGTCCGGCTCAATAACAGAAATTTTGCTTGTATGGCACATAATGTGACCGTGATATCCCAAGGGAGGACTAAGGAAGTGTAAAGGGGTGTGGCCATCAGTAACAAGGCCAGCGAAGCAAGTAGAGTCGTAAATATGGAGAAGCAATAAGTGCGGGGTGTGATCCCAAAAGCTGCGTGAAGATTTAAAGGGTGAAAGCAGAGAACATAAAACACATAAAAATATACAATTAATCAAGCAAGTAAATAATACAAAATAAAATACTAGTAATATAGTTAAAGCTATATACACTATGTACAGTGCAGTAGTTAGGTGTGGAAATTAGAGTTTTGGGTAAGGTGAGCCGCGAGCGGGCGAATATCATGATCCTCTTGAAGTACTTCATAGTTAAAAATACACTCATGTCCATAAATTAACGATAATTCGGAATCACGCGGAAATTGAACTCTAAAATAAATATATCACTAAAATCACTACACACATCTTCAAGGATCATATGCAAATTTCACAGAAGTAACCAGATGACACCGATGGTACGACACAATGACGAGAGTGTAAGAGAGTGATATATAAGGAATACAGGCAAAGAAGCAAAATTGTTCGCAGGCGCTTTATAAGGATTTCAGTGCAATAACCGAATAGTTATGACACAAAGGACGCATTTGGATGATTTTTTACGTGATAGAATTATCGGCCGTCTGGAATATGGGCGTACCCAAATGGAAGTATCAGACGAACTTGGAATTGCCCAGAGTGTCATCTCCAGGCTTTGGCAACGATTCCAGGATGATGGTAATGTGAGTAGACGTAGCACAATTCGCCCCAGAGTTACAACGCCGAATGAGGACCGGTATTTGGCAGTCACTGCCAAAAGAAACCGGCGGAGCACAGCCTCAGACCTGTCTCGTCAGCTCTCTTCAGCCACTGGTACGAGAATTTCAAGGCATACCGTGTACAGGCGCTTAGGACAGATTGGCCTATATGCTCGTAGACCTGTCAGATGCGTTCCACTTACTGCAATTCACTGTCGCCTGCGGTTAGCCTGGAGTAGAGAGCATGCATTGTGGACACCGCAACAGTGGGCTTGTGTGATGTTTTTCGACGAGTCCAGGTTTAGCTTGCAGTCTGATTCTCGCCGGACTTTCATATGGAGAGCTCCAGGTGCCCGTTACCACCAAGAAAACATCATTGAACGACACCGTTACGGTGGTGCAGGAGTGCTCGTTTGGGGTGGAATTATTCTGGGTTCCAGAACTGACCTGCATGTTCAAATTGGAACCATGACAAGCCAAATCTATCGGGACGTCATTCTGGAACAACATGTACTTTTGTTTCGTCGGGGGGCGCCATGGGCGCACAATTTGTGTTTATGGATGACAACGCCCGTCCTCACCGTGCAAACATCGTAAGCGAATGCCTTCAATCGGAGAATATCACCCGTATGGACTGGCCAGCATTCTCATCGGACGTGAATCCAGTTGAGCACGTGTTGGACATGCTTGCCCGACGAGTTGCAGCCCGTCAACCTCCTCCTACATGTCTACCGGAACTTCGGAGAGCATTGCCTTTTTGAGTGGTGTAATATCCCCCAAGATCAGATCGGTAATTTGGTACTCAGCATGCCTAGGCATTGTACGGACTGTATTGCATCGTCTGGGAGACATACAATGTATTAACAAATTATACCAACCATGTAATATTGTTCTTTTGTAAATAGGTGTTTTTGTAATTTGCTCCAGGGAGAAAAAATCGCTAATTTTTTTAATAATATCAAACATGTAGCATATTTTTTTGCTCTTTACCTTTTTTAATAAATAAGCTTTACAAAAAAGTCAAATTTGTTTTGCTTCTAACTCTTCCTTTGCCTGATTTTGCATTATCCTTAATTTATGGACATGAGTGTATTTAAAGAGCTTAGATGAGTACAAGCACGTGCCTTAACGACGAATTTTCCGTTCATTCGCTGCAGGTAATCTTCCATATACTCAATTTTTAAATCTTTGTGCAAGGTATCATTGTTAACAAAATAGTGAGCATTTCGTAATAAGGCGTAGGTATTTATTTTGGGTGACTTATAACTTAGCAATATCTGAGTTGGAGGCCGCGGCTCCTGCTGGCGAGGCGTAGCAAAGTACAGGTCTGATGATAGCAGTGAAGATGTGCGTCTTCTTGACTAAGTTGAGCTTTGAGTTTTTACTTAGCAGTGGATTCAACTGATGAGTAATGTATAATGTCTTGCGTCTGAATTTGGCAATATGATCAGACCAGGTGAAATAGTGATTGATAATAACCCCTAAATATGTGGCCTTTTTTACTAGTGGAACCGTCTCATTGAAAAGATTGAGATTTGTGTTAATTGTCTTTCTTTGTCTTTCCCTGATAACCATCAATTGCAGTTTTTGAGCATTTATGGCGACACGCTATTTGATGCACCAGTCTTCGATGTTAGGTATAAAAGTCCTGTAGTTTTTTAATAGCATGCGTGGGACGGATAGGTTTGATCACTAACGCAGTATCATCTGCGTAGTATCGAAGAAAGTTATTGCAGTCGTTCTGTAACTTAGGGAAGTCCATCACGTAGTAAAGATACAAAATAGGTCCTAAAATGGAACCCTAAGCTACACCGGTGCATATTCTTCTGATGTTAGAAGTGTCCTGTTCCATTGAAACATAAAATCTTCTATTAAATATGAAGGAATTAATTAACGAAATTAGTTCTCGGTCAATATTTAGTTGAATCAGTTTATAAATGAGCCCTTAATGCCAGACCCGGTCGAAAGCTTTCGCCACGTCCCAGCATGAGTAAGGCGACACTTTGCTTGTTGTGTAAGGCACGGTGAGTCTGACTAATTGGTTAGTCGATAAGCCTTTTCTGAAGCCGGTAGTCTGTTGAAGTGGGGTTGCAAGCGAGCATAATTAATTTTCTCATATATCTTTCCGAGGCCTGAGAGTAAGTTAATTGAACTATAGCCTTCCGGCCTGGTAATTTCTTTCCCTGGTTTTGGGTAATAAGATAATCGTGGCAAGCTTCCAAGCACTTGGAAAGTAGGAACTTTCTAGACAAGCATTGATAATGCTTTTAAAATGAGGTAACATTCCGGGGAAGATTTTTGATGGCTATGTTCGAGATAATGTCATGACCGGGCGCTTTCCTTTTCTTCAGAATTTTGATAATACCCTGCACTTCAGCTGGGGTAGTGAACTGAGTCTTATATCTAACCCCAGGTGCATTTATCCAATCTTTTACAAAGTAACGAACATCATAAATGAAGCTATAGTCACAGTGTAAGTCATTTGGTTTGAATTTGCTGCTCAAGGTGACCAGCGAGGATCTTCCCTTTGTCTTTGTCTGTCAATGTAATATAGTTGTTGCTGTAAATGGGCTTATTCGTAGTGGAACTATTTTTGAGGCGCTTAACGAAGGACCAAAAGTCTCCGTTTGGTTCATTCAAATTAAGAATTTTTTCCTCCCATTTTTCTTGTCTGAACTTGTAAATATTCTCTTTAATAATTCGATTTAGCTTATTTAGTTCTTTTTTGAGAGCTAGGTTCCAAGTTTTGCGGAATTTATTCCTGTTCTTTATTCCTCTGATTTCTCCTCGTATAAAAGAAGGTAGTCTATCCGCCGTGATTGGCCGAGAGTTTTCGAGTAGCACTAGTAATTGTATGGCTAATAGTATTAGTAAGCATGTTAATTAGCAACATCTGTTTCCTGCGGAGTTTTAAGCATAAGCATGACAGAGCTCTTTTCGCTAAGAAGCTGACTGAATACAGTCAGTGAAATTAAGTTCCTTTTTTGGGACGTATTTAGTCGTACCGAGTGTAGCGATAATCGGGACGTGGTCTGAAGTCATTTCTTGCTTGACTTTTAAATACATGGGTATAGAAGAAGTAGTCAAAACTAAATACAGAATGACAGTCTTACTGGGTCGCTTGGGAAATAAGTGTAATCTTCTGGAGCATAGAGTGAAATAGGATTATTCATGATGAAGTTATATAATTTAGTTCCATTTTTGTTTGTACGTCGGCAGTTCCATTCGTCACATTTTGCATTTAAATCACCTCCCAGAGTAACGGGCATGTTTAGTGGCAGAAATTTTTTTAAAGTTGTCTCATTCAGTAAAGTCAGAAATGAGAAAGTCTTAGCATCAAGACGAGGCAATAGCTGAGTATCACGTGACTAGCGATAGGCGTTGTGAATGGTCGAAGCGGAGATGAGCATAAATTGAAGTTTTTCAACGTTTTTGGCTAAACTAAAGTCAATATTTGATGATAAACTGTTACACACAGGAAATAAAATTGTCCTTTGTCTTGTTAAGCACAGAAAATTTTCTTAGCACGATAATTTAATTGTTTAATATTTAAATTCTGTTCGGAAGTGTAGTTGGCCCCACGTGACTCATGGGAGAAAATGAGATAAATTTAAGCACTGAAGGGAGTGACCACGAAGTGTAGTTTTGAAGCACAATTCTAGTAAATCAAAGTATCAAGGTCTTTATTTAATCAATAAAGTTGATTAAATAAATGTAAAATCTTGGCTAAATACGAGAAAAAATAAAAAGTGCAGTACAAACTTCCATACCTTTGCCAATGCAAGCAGAGTCCTATCTTTGTAGAATTAAAATAACACAATTATTGAATAGTTGAGTAAACGAATTAAAATAGAATAACGAAGTAAAATAAAAAAAATAATTTACATCATCACCAGAAAGTATTATTATGGATTCTAGATGTCAAAGGCTACACAATTGATTTAACGCTAAGTTGGCTCAAACTTCTCACTGGCGTAACAATTTAAATGTCGTAAGCTGTAATGCAAAACCAAAAAATTTAATCTGAAATGTTGCTGGCTAAACCTAGTAAACCGTGTCCTCGAAAGGCAGAAACACGCTTTGTCTTACAAATCGAAAATCTCACTTTAAATACTCTCGAATTAATTTGCAATCTGGTAGGTAAACGAAAAGAAAACTGACCGTAGGGATTTAAATCATAAAATAACTGGTTATTCAAAATAATAACCTGACAATCTTAAAAATCTCAGACGTTAGTCTTTATTTGTGAGAATGCGGTTCCTTCTGCCCGGGCTTCTACTGGGTTTAAGGCTACGTAATTTGCAAACTTGTATAAATGATATAACGCCCAAACCACAAACAAATCTGCATACCCCCTGCTGTCATTGATATGAATTTAGATAATGCTAGTTTTTTTTTTTTTTTTTTTTTTTTTTTTTGGCAAGGTTCATTTTACCTCGTGCTTCTGCTTGGTTATCCATTGTAGGATGAAAGCGTATACCATTGTTCAAAGCAAGAAATGCACAAAACAAGAAGAATCTGAGTACGTTTCTGATGCTTTCACTGATGCACAAAATCTACGTTGTTTTATGCTATATTGAAAATGAGAACGCGTATGGCAGAGTTATTATTACGATATAATAACTCATTTTTCTCAAATTGAAATGTGAGTCGTCAATTAGGTTTTTCTTAAAAAAACGATTTTATGGATTCGTCTGTTAACATATCGTCTACTCTACAAGGTGCTTGTGAAAAATTATTACAAGCTTTACTTCCTTAATTATTACTCCTAGCCGTGTAATTCAAATTGGAAAGCTTCTCAAAAAAAGGCAGAAATGGTTTTGAAAACAATATCAATATTAATAAGGTGATCGTTATTTTTATAAAATTTCCGCAGATCCAGAAGCCCACTTCATTATGTCTTAAGCGGAAAACGTTGTATACTTTAAAATATTGGAAAATAATTTTTGACTTAAATCAATTTTCAACGCACACCTACGGTCGAAGTTAGGAATCCCTCAGATTTTTTTCTTAAATTTCAAGGAACACTAGTACGGATATGGCGATTGATGAAACCATATTAAGCGAAACAGCTTTTGTTATTTACCTCGTAGCAGGCACCGTGAAGTTATTAATAAATCATATCTTTCTGAAATTTATATGTCAAGTTTCGCATCTTTCTGCATTTAACATATTAAAGCGTATTGAATATTTTCCTAACAAGACTCTGGTGACTATACTAAAAATTAAATTGCATTTTTTTTTCAAAAATCTTTCTACCTCCCCCTCCACGTTTTTATAAAAAATGTTCTACCTTCTTTAGAATAAGTTTATTATTGAAAGTACGTGTCTAGGTTAATAGTTAAAGAATGAATGTGTTGCCTACCTTTCGAAGATACCTTGTATAACACGGTAGTAAAGTTTAAATTCAAATCAATTTAAAAGTCATGAGATTTCTAGTGTATGTTATATTAGCATAATTTAAACTTTTTTCCCGACCACATTTATGAAAAGCACTAATATTGATGCAAACGTTGAGGCGTCCAAGGTATCATCATGACACAGAGTTGATACTCATGGCAGCTAAAATGCTGAATAATGTAGACATAAACAAATAAAAGTCAGATTCCATAATGAAAATCAAACGAAGTTAGTTTATAAAACCTGGATGAGTAAATGTCAACTTAATAAGGAGTTTGAAATAGGGAAAAGAAAACAGGTAAAAAGTTCAACATACGTATAAAATGAAATAATATTTTAATAATATTTTGTATAATTTCAGGCACGAGGAGAAAGTAAAATTCGTTACGCCTGGACCGGGTAGTTACAACGTTTCTGGTGTCAGGAGAACTGGGAAGGAGATTAATCAGGGAGCAACTATTTCAGGCCGTCACAAGGAGCCGGCGTCTTTCCAAACTCCTTCTCCTGGAGAGTATACTCCAGAAAAATGCGAGAAAACCGTGCTCAACAAATCTCCAGCTTATTCTTTTGGAGTGAAAGTGAAAGACGCCAAACCCGATGATATTCCAGGTAGGTACACATTTAATTAAAACCTGCATCTGATAGGTTTTATTAGGGAGAGTTTTGCTTGTTTACTGAGAACCAGCACGGCATTGGTAATGATAATAAAAAGAAAAGAAATCATATTCAACCTCTTTATTTCTTGTCGTATTGAATTCCTTCATTTCAAATATTTATCGTTACATTATGCTATTTCCAAACTGAGGTAACTTTATATTTAAGAACTTTTTTAGAGAAAATTGTTAATATTTTTATAATTAGTACTGTCTTTTTTATAACGGATTTAAACGAAACTCATTATATTAACTATTTCATTTTACCTTACCTTACACTCGATCATCAAAAGATTTCACTTTTAGTTGCCAAATGAATAGAAATTCAAAGATAAAAATAAAAGTTTTGGTTGTAGGTAATCTCGGAAATTCCCATAAACAGAGGTTCTTTTTTAGCATGTTTGAAGTCAGTGACATTCAGTATCTACCTGGATAAAATCGTTGAACACTGGAAATTTGACCCAGTGTTCAAATACTAACCAACGGGCTGACTTTGTGGGTATTTTCCTGCTTTTCTCCATATATATCGTGAATACGACCGAGCTTTCGAGCAAGTCCTCCATAAAAGCACCTTTTGCCGTAGGTTGATAGCTGTAGAGATAGTCTTCATGTGCTTTACCTCAGTCAGCTAAACAAATAAATTCAATGTTTCTCAGAAGCTTGGTGTTCCTCGTTAGTGTATTTGCGGATAAAACTAATGATCAGGTTAATCACAGTGACTTATGTGCCAGATTGTATGTTATTATAGGAAACCTTTGTGGAACCCTTTATTATATTAAGGGTTTCATAAAGAACAAAAATATTTAGAATCACTACTTAAATTATCTGATTTTAGGTGACTAAACACACATTTTTGTAGAAAAAGATATCAAAGCTTGAAAATTTTTTATTTTACTTCTTGTTCCATGTCCTAGTTCCTAGTGTGTTATTCCGTGTTCACATTAAGCATGAATTTTAGGGAACATAAGCGCAGCCACATTATATGGAGCTTCTTTATAACTGTAAAATATTCGGAAAATATTTAATGAAATGTAAGTTAATGGAAACAATTTAATAAAATTTGAATTTGTCGAGTTCCGAAAATTGTGCTTAGTGTTAATTAATTAACTATAAAAATTAAAATTCCTTCATGTCTCAGGCTGAAATAAGTTCCGCCCTCTAGCATGTAGAATATAATAGATATGTTATTTAATTTCCTTCGTTTATTTACATTTGGGTCATTTCTTCAGCAGCGTTAGGAAAAATGTACTTTTGTCACAGTAAACCATGTATAATAAAGCTTTACTACCACGGTGACCCATATGTAAAAACGTTATCTACATATAAATTACGTTTATTGTGAATGACTTTCTCTAAATCAGAACAAACTATTATTATTATTTACTATTTTGTCTTTGGTAAACCTATATATTATTCTTTTCGCTCATTATATTTTTGTATTCTTGTCTGTTCCTGATTACATTGCTTTTGTTTTTTCTTGACCCGAAAAGTAAAACTTTACTTTGATTTGAAAGAAGAAACGTTCTGAATCTATGACACCTACCATAGTTTCAAAAGAACTGTGATGCACACAAAGTTTGGCGTGTTGCGAGCAAATAATCTGTAACCTCATGACCTTGTAAATCTGTTTCGTTTGCAATTAGAAATCGTGCTCATTTCATTAACGACTCCTTAGTGTTGTAAGAAAAGTGTCACGTTAAAATATCACTCATATGTTATTTGAGCCACACCCAAGATTTCTTTGTCATTGAAAGGATGGGAAGTATCGCGGCAAACCTGCATTTATTGTTTCGGGTTGGTATGAGAGATAGTACCAGAACGGTTTCAGAAACGCTACCGAGAATTTACACCAGGTGATATGCTATTTTCACAGATAGGGGTAAAACTCGGTGTCATTTAGGAGCTATTTATTACATCGGATTTTTATTTTAAAGTTTCTGAATTAAAGCTATTAATTTGAGGCATTTCAGTTATTGTGAACTTATCACTGCTAAATGCAGATATTATGTAGAAATAAAAACTGTTTTTCTTTGAAGAATCTTGAGAGTTGTACGTAGTGGTGGATGTAGAAGCGAGGTTCTCTGCTACAGAAGTATAAACTGCACCAAGTTGAAAAATTAAACATAAAATTTAATCCGTGTCTTCTGTCCTTAAGATTTAACAACATAGATGAACACACGGGTCAGACTTTGACACATTAATGAACTTATACGATGGATAACGTACTAGATTGGTACACTGTGAATTGATCCTGCTTAACAGTCCTTTTCATATAGGCAGGTATTTGGCAATGTAGATAGATAATCCAGAATGCTTGAGTAGATTCTTGTTTTCACTGAACTATTCCTTAGTAGGGCTCCTTGCATCACGTTTCTGCACCACGCTTGAGAGAATCACAGCGGCTGGCCACGTCAGCAAACATCATCAGACAGGCGTAGCGGGGAGGTTAGACTTAAGCACCACCAGAATCGGAAAGACCAGACTACCCTTCTCTGTTTGTCTCTCCTCGGCTTCTCCTAGACAGGAACCATCCGCAGAACTATATAGTTCGCCTTTTCTGCTCAGCGCAATCGCGTACGGGAGAAATGCAAATTTCTATCTCTAATAATTTTTAAACGTCATGATTTTTTTAACTAAACATCATTTTCAATATTTTTGCTTTACTTGCAAAAATTAACGTGTAAGCTATAGCATTTTAAGCTGAAATTTTTTTAAAAAAATTTCAAAAATATATTTAAACATTTTTAAAAAATTTTAATACTAGTTTGATGCATTCCCTAAAATAAGTCTTTAAAAATTTTTGCATTTAAATATGTAATCAATTTTATAAAAATTTGTTGCTGTTAATTTTTTCTGTTTCTTAGAGTAAATTTTGTAAAATTATGTTAGTCTAAATTGATAACCTAAATTTGTGATCTAAAATAAATTTTTAAAATAAAAGCAATAAGAAAAAAGGGTTTAAGTCTCCAAAACTAAGAAAAATTCAAAATTTACTTATCTTATAAACAATATTTCAAGAACTGGATTAGATCTAGTTCCTTAACCATCATTTTTAACATATCATCATTTTGCATACCAGTCCCTTCCAACTGAAGATCTGATGGAAACTCCTCAGTTTTACAGTCAAATGGATTTTGAATTATGGAAATGTCTTTTATATTTGTATCAAGATTCGGAAAACGCTGTTGTAACTGTAATTTTAATTCAGAAAATATAGCCGTTGCGAAGTTTTGGCAAAATTTCGTGGGCATATTTCTGCGGCTACCAGAAGCAAACGTGATTTAATTCATTCACCGTCGGTAAATGTTTTCCCTTTCATAGCTAATAAATGAGCTACTCGTAAAGTGACTTTAGTTACTGCTTCATTATCATTTCTTACTTTTACGAAGAAATTGCGTTGTAATGAAGTACTCTCTTTTAAACTTTCCAAATTTAGCGATTTTCTGTGAGTTTTGAATATTCTTTCGCGTGCTTAGTTTGGTAATCACAACGGATACTGCAATATTTTGCACAGCTGTTATGTCATTTGAATAATAAACATAATACTTTATCATTTAATTCTACGACAAAATATTTCACACTCCATTCGGCTTTAAAGGCACGGTGTTTGAAGTGCACTTTTCTCTTATCTCATCTTGAGAGTGATGTGACAACGGTGAATAACACATGAAATTAAAAAAAAAAAAAAAAAAATATCACAAACCTCCGATAGTCGGTAAGGCCGAAAGATGTGATAGATCAGCGATTCTCAACCGGCGGGACGCGTACCACTGGTGGTACACAAGAGAAAAATAGTTGATACGCAAAGAAACAAAGTATTTTTACTAGTAAATTCAAAAGTTAAATGCTCCAACATCCTGTTTAAGTTTTTTTTTTCTCTAACAATCGTAAATTTATGCGATCTAAGCTTTGTTCAAAAAGTCAGTAGCCGCTAAAAGACTTTAGCGAAATAATCCGTTCTTTTCTTCACGAATATTTTTTGTCTGCACTTTATGTCGCCGCCATTTTCGGACTCATATTGCTCTATTTTCAGTTAGAGTCATTTTTTACGTTGTTTTGCTGTCTCATTTGTCTACTTCTTGCTTTGCATTCCTTACTTTTCTACGCGATTTGAGAATATCGTCGTTTGATTTCGAAGAACTCGTAACATTGTGCATTCAAATATTTCTGAAAAATAATAAAGCAAACCTAGATTTTCAAAATGGAAAAGTGAGTAGGACTAACTATGCTGAAAAGTAGTGATTTACAGATGATGGGTCCAGGACAATCTACTAGCACTAAGAATATTGAAAAGAAAAGAAAAATTGTTTATAGAAAATTTAATGAAAGTTTTTTATCATTAGGGTTTACTTGGAATGGAGATGAAGCGAACTGTCAACCTCAATGTACTGTTTGTGGTGAACTATCTATTATCCAATCAAAGTAAACCATCATTTCTTAAAAAACATCTTAAATCTAAAATGCCAATTTAAAGGATAAATCTGAAGAACATTTTAAGAGAAAATTATTAGTTCAAAAATAGTAAACAAGTAATGAAAGCTTTTGTTACTTCAAGCTTTGGAAACTAGTTACCTAGTAAAAATTGGCAAGACTGGGCAGGCTCACACGATTGCAGAAAACCGTATATTACCAGCAGCTAAAGACATCGTTTTAACATTATTCAACGAAAAAGCGGCTACTGAACTTGATAATAGTTCTTAATAATAATACTCTTATCAAATGATACAGTAAGTCGACGAATTCATGAAATGGCGAATCTATAAAAAAGACATTTAAAAAAAAAATAAACCATAGAGAATATTTCACATTGCAGTTGGATGAAAGTACTGATATAACGAACTTTGTCCAATTGTTAGTTTACATACGTGTCGATGGACCTCTGGAACCGCGCCAAGTGTGCTACCGTTACACCACGAAAGAATACAGAAAGTAGGGAGAATACCTTACAATATATTGCCACACTCCATTTAACACTCATTTTATGACTCCCACTTAGTCACGCCTTTACTGGGCCGGTTACTTGCTAGTGAACTCTTGCGTTGCTGGTCTTCCTATTCTTTATCCGTCTTTGCTCCTCCTTACGGCGGACATTATGTGAAGATAGTTGTATGTTATTGTGCCCATCTGGCATAAATTTGATTGAGCCAGATAAACTACTGATCTCAGTGGTATTCTGGCTATAAGTTATCAATCAGTCAGTCAAACCATAAGGCCGAATTCGGTTGGCTAAGAGGACTAAAGGACTGGCGCAGCCTTCCAGTTCTTCGGATTTTATTGAAGTACCTTATAAGATAATTTTACTTTTGAAGATGTTAACAAAAAGAAAAAAAAGAAAGAAAAAGGGAAAGATAAAAAGGAGAGAAACATCTCGCACGTTAACAAGGTGTCATATATGTGAGGCTGTGTTAGTTGTTTCTTATTGCATGGTATGTGTCAAGTTCCTATAAAAAATAATTAAATGATATAAATAGCATGCCTTGATATCATGATAAGTAAATATATATTTTAATTCAAATATTAATTTAAGTACAATTTTGGAACGTATGGTTGCGCTAAAGCCTGATACGATTTTCAGAAAGATATTGTTCGAGTGAAAACAAAATCGTCCCATATTCGAGCTGTTATGGTGAATAAACCTAATTTAAAACCTAATTCTTTTTCTTAGATGTAATGATGTTATCTTGACAGTAAGCCTTGCAGTCTGTTGTTTAGATTAAAGATCCTTTTTGCTTCATTATTTCTAGCTGTTGTATGCTAATCGTACATTTATTGTCATAATGAAAATTAATTAAAATTTCATTCATTACTGCATTGGTAAAGGATTTAGGCAATGCTCATCTGGCTTAGCTATTGCAAAACATTCAGTTTTAAGTAAAATAATTGTAGGTCTAGTAAATTGCAGTCTGGTTTATCGATTCCGAATATGGACTTCATGTTCATTTCGTCTTTTAAACAAATATATTTCATAAGTGTATTTTCTTCTTTTTCTTCAACTTGATTATAATTTAAAAGAAATGTTCATAGTTTTCATTCCTTGCCTACGGAACAAAAGTTTCAACAAGGTCTTTCTGTCGCGTTTTACGCTTTTAATTTGGTATTAATAGCATTTTGCTGAAGATATAATTGATATTCAAACGCATGTACATTAAAGCGTATAAACTTGGCTAAATATTGTACATGATAACCTGAATCGTGAAAGGATTAAATGTATTTCAGTCTCAAACAGGTCAAGCGCTTTGTGTACCATGCTTATTTTACGAATGATGAGTCTTAAATTCTTAGAACTGCCCCTTAAACCATACAAGGAATTCATAGCAAATTCAAACATACAAGGAAGAAGATCTAATACTGATAACGAAAAACAAAAATAGAAAAACAACACTGAATCAAGGAATCAAATCTACATACAACCTGCCGCTCCCAGAAGTGAAACGAAATAAAACCAGATATATGCAGTTATTAATTAACTAGAAACAGGTCGGTGTTATTATGCAGTTGTAAGTATTAGTAACATGTCCGTGTCTTGAATTAATATGAAGCCTAATGATTAGGATATACAGCAATTTTCGTTGTTTTGAAACATAACGCTGTGGTTTCAAAAGAAATACATCATATGATCTTGATTTATTTTTTATTACTTGGGATGATTATCTTAAACTTCAGAACCAGAATCCACGCTGACAAAAGTAAAAAACAAAATGTGTAAAGCGTAGTTAAAGAGGCTTGGTTGACTGACAGCAAATGTGGTATTTATGTCAAATATTTAAGCAAGCCAGTTATCGTTATCTAAATCATTAAGAAGTTACTGAATGATTTGACTAAAATAGGTATAAACAAAGTTTTTAGTCAAATTCCCAAAGGATACATTTCTTCGTTAAAGTAAGCAAACTTCAAATTAAAGAGATAAAAGGAAAAGATAAAAGACTGAAAAAAGACGCCTAAGAATAACTTTGAAGTTATGCTAATTTACATAGAAAAATATAGCCTCTTCAAATATACTGAGCCCAGCCATTTGTCAAAAATAATGCTAAAACGTGGAAATTGATATTGCAATCAAATTATCATAATCAAATAATAATAATAATAATAATATCATAATCAAATAATAATAATAATAATAATAATAATAAAATAATAAAATAATTAATTAATAGGATTAAATTAATGTACAGTATCTTTAGAGGTTTAAATTTTTCATTTGCATTATGTTTGTATCTGCATTGTAATCATATTTGTATCTGCATTGTAATCATATTTGTATTTGCATTATGAAAACCTTTAGCAAAAGAAAAAAAATTCCGTACATTTACTCCTGCCAGTTAATAATTATTATGAGATTAAAAATTGTGACTTTTACACTGTTTATGATCGACCCATCTGTTCATAAATGCAAAGCAACGTTATCGAGGACTTTTAACAAATAACAGTTTTAATCTTATTTTAATAAATGATAAATAGAAATTAATTTAACCTTAGTAAATTTAATATGAAGGGTCTTTCATATTAGGTTAGAAAATTGTAAGATGTCATTTTTTTTTTAACTGAAAAGGCTGTATTTATTTCTAAATACGAAAGAAAGCATTTGTAATGGAATGAATGAGTGCGAAAAAAAAAAAAAAAAAGCAGTTTGATCATTTTTAAACTCATTTTACAAACGCAAAAGATGACGGTCATTTTAACAAACTGTTGATGTAAATAATAAAAATTTATGCGAGTACAAATATTATATGCACAAGCGTATATTAAAATCTTATAAAAGAATTCCATAAACTGCTTCATACTTCATGCAAAATTACCTAAATCATATTTAAATGTTGCGTTTTAGAATTTTTATTTTATTTAAAGAGGAAAACATTTATTTTTTCTTAGATGGCAATCCATTACAACAACTAAAGTTTCAAGTTCACATTCTGACTTATCAAAATGTGAATTTTCTTTGCTAATTTATACTGACTGCTGCTTCTTTATAATTTAAGATCAGAAAAATAAAAATGGTGTAGCAAAAGGGAAGTTTTCTGAGTATGTTTTCAAATGCTAAAAAAAATGCGGCATACAGATATGTTGCATTTTTAACAACAGATCATATAGATAAATTCGATTACAAACTTACGATTCGATTATCAGAAATTTAGATCTTTATAATTTTGGTATAAACTCTATGTTTGATTCACATTTAACGCTTTATGATGTTCACTTTCGATGCAATTTTGTTTAAATGCAATATTTTTGTGATATTTAATAATTTTTTTAAATGTAATTAATGTGTTTTCAGTTTATACAGTATAAGAGATTTAAAAGAAAAAGAAGTAACATGGCTGCTAATAAAGCGTGAGGAACATCAAAACTTGTTCATCAAAAAAGTTCTTTTATCTGATTTCTCACTCAGCACATTTTATATCTTAAGTCTCTTTCTTCCTCGAAATTTATTGAGGTGTAAAATCGAATAAAATTTGTAATTAAAACTTATGTCAGTTTTACAGAAATATTCTTATTATTTTGAGAGAAAATGGCTAACTTTTATATCTGAAATACCTTTACTTTACACTGCAGGGTTGAATTCTGTTCATTTTTGAAATTCAAGCTGGCGTGCATGTGTTATACCTATTATTTCATTATATAGTGCTATCACGAATTTTAATTTAGTACTGCCGTTAAAAATATTGAGTGCTAATTGGTAGTTTGACCATTCCAGTAACAATAAGCTGGGTGTCTAAATCTTAAATTAATATTTATGTTTCCCTTTATTTTTACACTTAAAGTTCAGAGTTATGCAACATATAGGTTTTTAGTATAAACATCATTTATGTAAATCTTTCTGTCTTTCACTTTCCTTCTTTCCTTTCAGATTGTTTACAATGCTCAAATTTGAAAGTAAGCTAAAATTTTAATACATTTTCATGTTTCTTAAAATAATTGTTATCTTCCAAAAAACTGTAATTTTTTTCTGTTCGCGGGAAAATTTATTTTAATATTTGAGAAAGCATTAGACAATTTCAAGCTGTAGATTTCTAGCAAAATGTTCATTCTAATTTTAAATTTCGCTGTAATTCTTCACAAACTGAACTGAAATTTGAATTTTTTAGCACCCGCCTCTTACACAGACGGAGACATGAAATCTAGGCTAGATTCAAGCCCTGGATATACTTTCGGTATTAAATATAAAGATCCAAAACCAGACGAAGTTCCAGGCGAGTACATTAAAAAATAAAAAAGCACAATAATTTCATTTCAAGCACTTTTTTTAAAAAATCTTTCCTTTATTTATTCAACTTTTAACTATGCAAATTTTACTTTTATTTTCAAACACTTTTTCTCCTATTCTTGTTGTTAATATTCTGTTCATTGTTAATATGTTCTTTAAGCTCATTGGGGCATAAGTAAACAAACTGCATTTCAGCAAGAAATATATTTAAAAGAATAATTTATGTACTATAGAATTTTAGAATTTTTATAAGCATGCAAGTTACTTAGTGTATAGAAATATGAAGCATTAAATGCATATTCTGAAACAAAAGTGCATTTAAAACTGTCTCTGTAGTCTATCTCCAGTTAGTTAATTTTTAAGGAGACATTTTATCTATCATTTTCGTCTTAACATATATCCATTTATTAAGTTATACGTAACGAAAGGCGATTTAATTTAAACTATCGATTTTTACTGTAGGTGAAAGAGGCAGTTTTCGGTATTCAAATATTCTATTATGACGGCTTATCCTTAATTCAGGCATTAGCCAGAAATTAATCCATTTAATTGCCTGCACAGTTAACAGACAATTAATTTTACTGGAAACGAAGGAATAAACCATGCAAAGTTCTTTTGCCTCCTCCCTCCAAAAAAGGCTTAAAAAGCAAATAAATACATTAGAGAAGATAAAAATATGCAGGTAAATTTTCTTACTCGTTATAGCTGAAAATAGTTCGATGTCTCTGGTCCTGTACTCATATTAATGTGCTATATATAAGCTGTGAACATGGTACTTTTATTCCAATGCTGCATGCTAGCCGAAAAATGATTCAAAGGTTGCTCCGCGAGAGCCTTTGAGAATCGCTGACATATAGCCCGCCAGCAGCCGAGCGGTAAAATCGCTGAACCCTGATAGTTTCGACCAGAGTGCGAATGGGCTGGCTGCATCGGCGTTTTCATGGTTTTTCCCATGTGTAAGGTCCGAATCACATTATGTTTCGGCTACGCGGGACTTGACGTCAAAAGGGACAATTCTCAGAACCCGCACAATTCCAGGAAACCCACGTAGCTAGGTTACCATTTTCACTAACTACAAAGACTTGAACGCCAAACAGTAAAAGATTATCGCTCAGACTGGGATCACGTGATCCTTCAGAAGGTAGCCGCAACATCGTTTCCGTAGCTAGGCAGGAATTCGCTTCCAGGGGGGGGGAGGGCTCTTTTTTCTAGGAATCCTCCCGTTTAAACCAGTGTACGCTATTTGAAGTACAGTGATTGCCTCTGAAGGCACGCAGTTTCACACATTGTCTATTCCAAATTTAAAATGAAATGAATAAACAGAAAAATGAAATAATTCATGATTTATTACGTCTGAAACTTCTTTTATTGATTATAATGTAGAGCAAGTGTTCTTAAAGATGATCCCTTGCATATATTATAAATTATATCATGTATTATTAAAATAATAAAATTAAGATATAAATCATTAAAAATTACATTTATTATTTGTAAATTCGTCAGTTTGTTAAGCAATTTATGATTTAATTTGAGAGATAAATTAAAGATCATAAATAATGGTGATTGCAAAGTCCAGGCAAAATATGGACTGTCTGTCTGCAAGGCTACTTGAAAGATAAAACTTTTACGTTTCGCAGAATGTCATTATTTCCCAAATTGCTGTATGATACTGAATGAAGCTCAATGAAGTATTAGATCGCCACCGATTTTTATTTGCATTGGACAAAATTTTATCTATAATTGTTAAAAAAAAGCATATCCATTCGAAACGTTAAAAAAATAAACTTATTAGTTAAATGATAAAACTTTACAAATCTACGATATGTTATATGCAAATACTCGTCGCTTGGAATTGTAAAAGTAGTACATTCCTTTTTTATAAATAAGCACCAATTCAAAATTAAGATTTGTATGCTGGAATAAAGAAATTTAAGTTAATATTTTATTTTCATTGTGTGCATTTACAGCTCCAGGAGCTTATGATCCAGAAAAAAGCATCAAAGTTATTTTAGAGTCTACGCCTAAGTATACTTTCGGTTTAAAACCGAAAGAGCCAAAGATCGAAGAATTACCAGGCGAGTACAATTGTACGCTTGCTGTTCAGTAGTTTTTTTAGTTGCAACATTTTGAAGTTTTAGTTCTAGTAGTATTGAAATAATTTTAATCTAAATAATCTGAAAGTGGGAAAATTTTTTCTTCTAAGGTAGGTTTGCGTTTTATATTATTTGCAATAAAACTTGGCAAAATTTAAAAAATATCGGTCTATTTTGTCTAAATAAATATCTTATAAAGTGTACATATCAATGTAGGAAGCAACTCCTTTTGAACGTTTTTGCCATTCAGGAATTAAGATCATCTATGCGACGCAATTCCGTGATCATCTCTTCAGCTTTAATATCAGATTGATGGTTGCTTATCAGGTATGAGACATCTGAATCCTCGAAACATACGAATAATAAAAAATATTTTAGGACATGGATAGAAAGTAATTTAGGAGAACCTTTTAGAATTACGGTTCGGATTCGAAAAAAATTAGATTTCGTCTTATTTGTACTACTTAGTGAATCTTTAGTTGTCTTTTGCATTAAATTAGGGTGGGAAAATTTAGCACGTTCCTTAATCATCTCTTATCTAATATTTTAAATATTCTTAGAGAAATTTCATTGTGCTTTCATTGTGTTGAGGTGGTCAAAATCGTTCTGCTTCAGTGAAGACAATGTTTGATCAATAAGTAGATTGAAAAAAAAAAAAAAATCTTTTCAAACTGCTTTGTTGAATCTCTTTTGCAACTTCTTCGTAATGTTCATACTTGAAAATTTCCTTCTTTCATCCAGTTATAATGGTTACAGATTTAACAATACAGATTTAACATTTAATTTGTTTCTGAGAAATCTTAAGCTCCATTCATAGCTCGACTAACCCTGTAATGAATGGAGAAATCTTCAGCAGTGTTTGGAAGTCGAATTTACACACGAAGAGGGCTCAAATGTTGCCCTCCGCTTCCCACGCTGAAGACGCAATGTAATATTTTAGTAGTTTCTCCTGTCATTCCATCGAAACTTCGCTTTCTCCCTCCAAAAACGTATAACGCTTGGGCTAGAACCTACACATAGGTACACATATTTGTTGGCTAGCTTGAAATTTTGCTTTTGTGAAGTTGTCATGAATTCCTACCCAACTACAGCAGAAGATTTGCATATTTTATGTAATCCGATACATGAGAATGCTCTTTATTCTTTCTGAGGAAAGCCACATCATTTGGCTTGATATCGATCTTATTCTTTGCAGAGGATTTCTTTCAGTTTTTTGAACCATAATACTACCACAATCTTGAAAAAATCAAAATTTAAATCCAAATGTATCCTTTGCAAATTATGATCTAAAATACCTAATGCAGCACGATGCTTCGACAGAAAACATAGGCTGTTTATTGGCAATTTAAGGACCCCAATAAATTATAAAATTCAGGTAACTCATATAAATTCTAGCGGTTTATTTGTTACTAAGTTGGTCGATGTAACATTCTTTTTCAATTGAAATGTTTCATGTGAAATTATGTATCCATAATTTATCTTCTCTATTTCAATTAAGCTATTTTTTATGACGCACCATAAATACTAATGATATTTTTTCCATGTTCACATAACTGGGTAAATGTTTTCATAAAATAATCACTTAATGACGTCTTTATATATTGCTGAAAGTAACTGACTCATCATACCTTTTCCATAGACAAACAATAAAAGTCCACTGCAATAGTGAATTATCACTAGTAGCTATGCAACAAATAATGTCGCGGGTGTTGCTGAATACTATTTAGCTCTGGGATCCTCCTACACTACAGCTAGTTTAAAAGTGTAAGACTTTCCTAATGAATACTAAATAATTTTCAAAGTGACTAACTATACTTCGACCCTCTTAACATATATCAAAGCTCTTCATTTCAGAGTAAGAGAATTATTAGTAACATCTTACTCTTTTACTACAAATTTCAGCTCCTGCTGCACATGATCGGGAAAAGAGCATTAAAGTAGTCCTAGATTCTACAACTAAATATTCCTTCGGTGTAAAACCGAAAGATCCAGTCAGGAATGATAAATAATCAGGTGTGAATGCTTATTATTTTTTCTTAGTATATTGTAGCTCCTGGAGCATATGAAGCCGAAAAAAGTATTAAAGTTGTATTAGATTCTACTCCTAAATTTTCTTTTGGTTTAAAACCAAAGGATCCAAAGATCGATGATTTGCCAGGCAAGTATCGATATGCTTGCTTCTTCGTAATTGAGCTCTGAACGAAAGACGTTTTGCCTTACCCTTTTTATACTTTATTTCTAATGATTAATATAATCATTATTTTGTTATAATCCTGCATTATGAGTAATCCAAGAAAAAAGTAATTAACCAAGGGCTACTTTAGTAAAAAATTAAGTATAGTGACCATTTCGATTGAAACGATTAATTGTAAAAAATATGTCGATCAACTTATTTCGATTAGAATCATTATATTGAAAAGTCATCACGTTTTCCGAAGCGAAATTCTTGAAATGTCAAGTATGCCTTAGGCGGAAATTAAACACTAATCTTCCAGTTACTTGATGGATGTTTTAACCACTACACCCCAAAGACACAGGAGAAGAATGTCTTTATTTTCTTCCAGTTTCCAACGACATTTTATGTTTAACGCTTGTGTCTTGGTGTTTTCATAATTTTCAGTGAAAGTATTAAGCGCGTGTTATCTTAAAATAAAATGTCTAATGATATGTATGACTGATTAATTACATATTTGAAAGACATTCTCAAAATATGTAAAATTTTATTTTTGATCTTTAGGACCTTCTAGATGTTTTAGGCACTAGCGTTTCATCGTAGCTATAAAAGGCTATTTATTTATTTATCTATTTTCTCTTAAGTTTTTCTCCACCCCCCCCCCAATTTTACAATTCTAGAAAACTGTAAATGTTTTAAATTATAATATATAAATTCAATTATTATATTTTCTAGTTTAAATTAGTATTTTGAAATATTTTTAGATATTTTCCTGTTTTTTATTCCTGAGTCTAAAGCATGAGTTTTAATAAATTTACTTAGCTCAAGGGTAGTATGTTATGTGTATGCCCCTTTTGAGTTACGAACCTGAATCCCTTCAACTTATTTAAACAGCAAATGATTAACTATAAATATGATTATTTATTATCTAATTCAGTTACTGCTTTTTAACTAAGTAATTAGATAATTTAATTTTAAATGAGGATTTCAGTTTTTTCTTTTTCTTTTTTAAATAAAAATTTAGTTAACGGAATCAATGATCAAATATTTTATGTGTAATATTAAACTGTCTTGCTAAATTGCGTGAAAATGTCTCAGCAATAAAACTGAGTTCTTATTGTCATTCTCTTGCAAAAACTGGAGCTGAAATTTCAGATTGCTGTGTCACAGTCACAGTTTATTTCTCGAAAATGTTTTTAGATTTACTCTTATTAAATATTATGATTCTTGTCGAGGATAATCTTAAAATGAGGTAACTTTATTTTATTCGGCAGCCCCGGGAGCGTACGATCCCGAAAAGAGTATCAAAACGGTATTAGATTCCACGCCACAGTATTCCTTTGGGATAAAGTACAAACAACCAAAGCCTGAGGATATACCAGGCGAGTATCTTGATATTTATCATTTCTTTTGAAATCGCATTTTGCCTCTGCTATTAATGGAAGTCATTTTGCAAGTGTCTTTTCTTGTTTGATAGATTAAAAGTGAGAAAATTGTCAAAAATTGAAAATCGTCGAAATGCGTCTTTATAGCTTACTAATAATGATCACTGAAAAACGTAAAAAAAAATATTATATATCTTTTAAAACCCGAATCAATTATATTATACATAAAACGTGCAATAAAAAGAACTATTATCTATCACTAAACCTACAGAAACAAGTAATGAATCAATCTTCGAATACGTTATGTTTAGTTAAAAATAAAACAGAGTTGAAAGCGCGGATTGTGATGAAAAACAGCAGACTCATGCAGAAACCAACAAATAAATTGAAATGCATTCTATTATCTAATCTATATGTTTGTCTGTCTAAGTAGATTTTATAGTTTGTAATTAAAAACGATAAGTAACAGTAACTTAATGTCATTTGAATGTTGGAAACAAGTTTAATACCTTGATTTTGGTAATTATCTCTTGACAACAAGTTAAGAAAAAATATGTATATTTTCTTGGCTGGTATTTAAAAGCTGTTTGAGATAAAACAAAAATGAAAGAATTCTGAGTAATAGTTTTTTGAATTTGTTGTTTAAGATAAATATAATTTTTTTAAATATATTTTTACTATTCAACGCATATTACTTTTTAAATGCCCACATTAAAAGTACGGAAAGGAAAAGCGTGTTTCCTATTTCAAGATCCATTTTTTTTGTTGAAAATACATGCATGTAATGTTATTGTACGTATTCGTGCATGCATGCACACATTCACGAACTGAGAAACACATTTTTTCGCTATTTTACGAGACTGTGATCTCCATTTTCTACAGAATATGCTTATACATTTTTGTTTTCATTCTTTGATGCACGCTATATGAAAATGAAAATCAGACAACTGAGCGAGATAATTTATGAGATAGTTGCATCAAACTTATAAGACTTTTGTATGGCTAATATGACTAATCTGAATAAAATTGTATTCTGTTTAGAGAGAACTTTCTTACTGGAGTTCTATACCACAGTAAATTAACTATTAGTTAATACCATCGATGAAACCCTCTTTTTTTTTAAAGTTCATCTAGATAATCGTTTTCTTTTCCCATTTAATGTGTCCGCAATGAGACTTTGATACTTTAACCAAAAAGTTCCATTTAAAATTAACTATCTGTAAATCTAGTAACAACTTACTCAAATGTTTAGAATATTCACCGTTTTTATACATATAGATTTGCCTCACGTAACTAACAAAATAGATTTTCTGACTTTTCACCTAATAACTTTATAGATTATCTTAATCATGTTGACAATATTATTGTTTATGTAGTGATATTTATGTTACTAAAATTTTACATCTCCACCATTTGTGAAAGACTCTTTGAAATGTTTGCACGTGCAGATGTCTTACCCATATACAAGACCGGATTAAGACCACCTTTAAAGGCCTTAAGCATATAAAAGATTTTGGTCTTCATACACACATTCTAACTGATTTTTAAGCCAGTTGTATCCCTATTCCTTCTCTCTCGGTCTATGCATAATACTTTCATGGTAAAACTGGTAATGAGAAAACTTTGTAGTACATCTTTCTTGTGCCCATAAGCAACTTTTTGTAACCCACCTTTCTTTGATGCCGTAATCATGTGCTTTTTGTATTTAATGATTAATCCAGCTCTGCACAGATATGTGGAGTCTAACAGAGCTTTATCTCTGAACACTTAATACATAACTCTTGTGTGTTCCAAATTTACATGATATATCTCCTCATTTCAGAATATTTACCACTGGTAATAAATACCCATAAACGATAGAAAGCTTAGCGAAATTTACTCGTAGCTAAGTTTGTGAGCGCCTATTTTCAAGAGATTGTTATTTCCAGTCTGAGCACTTTTAATACGTACGAAAGTTTCTGTCTTATTCTCAGATTAAATATGTAAATTGACGTGCTTAGAGCCTTTAGTTATATGGATATTGGTTTACGCAGTGCATTGTATAACATGATACTTCCTGGATAGTAATTTCCCCAAATCATGATTGTATTATTTAAAAATGGGAAGTCGGTTTATTGTAACATTATAAACACGAAAGTAAAGTTCAAAGAAAACAGCTTTTTTGAATTGTTTATTCAGTAATACATGCTATTACTATTTATTGCTTAAACCTGAGAACTTTCTGTAAACTATATTGTAGTTTTTGCTTTCTACAGCTCCTGGTGCATATGACCCTGAAAAAAGCATCAAAACTGTGTTAGATTCCACTCCAAAATATTCTTTTGGAGTGAAATACAAGGAATCAAAGCCTGATGATAACCCAGGCAAGTATTTAGAACTTAATTACGCAACAAAAATAGATAATTGTAAAAACTTTCTTTCACAAAGATTCGGTATGATTTAGTCGGTATAAGTAGCAACTGATATGTGAGGAAGGTGGAAAAATCTCTAAATAAATATACGAAAAGTCTTACAAAAACTTGAACATAAGTATTTAGCGATATTTTGCACAATTTTAGAAATGCCGGAAAAAAATGAAATAAGACGTATAAGATTGATCAAATCTCAAAAGCTCTGATTTAAACCTTCCATTTAAAAATAATGCCACATTTAGAGATAAAATTTGCTTTTTCTTGTTTTGGGTTTTATAACTAAAATTTTGAATGTCTTAAATCGTTAAAGATCTAGAACTGTGGAAAGCTTTGTATATGCAATAAATTCACGTATTAAAATGGTAGAATGAAAAATAAATGCATTGAGGAAGTGTTCAAGTTAAAACTACTTGGCAAAAAAAATTAATGTATTTTTATTTTAATGCATAGTGTTCATCAACTTTGGAGAAAAGCTTATAGTGTCTTCACGTTAACAAGGTTTAATTCTAATAACTTAATTTCTGTCTAAATAAATTTCATATATTGAATATTTTTTACCTAAGGATAAGAAATCATATTAACTCTAAATAGAAATGATGAATCTTTACTGATTCTTTTTTTAATTCTTAACGAAATGATACTTTTGTTTTTATAAGTGCGTTGATATATCTGATACAGCATTCCTCATTCTAACAAATACAGTGGTGTATTTTTAGGTTACATCTTATAATCACATGTAAACGTCTAGTATAAAAAAAATCTCGAAATGTATACTTTGGAAAATTTTATGGCTTCTGATTAGTTATTAAAATCGTTTTTAATTCCTTCGAAAGCATATTTCTAATAAAAACATTTCAAATCAGATAAATCTAAGTAAAAGTCTTTGATTGAGTTTCTTCTTCTTCAGCCAACACTTGTCTTTGGCAAGTTAGCCGTTTGACGACGCGCCATTCAGTATAGCCGTGCCCATTCCTTCACTGTGTCTTCTCGAGTTTCTACCTCAGAGCGTTGTAGGTAAGAAGATGATGGCCCCCTCACTTCTACATAACATAACAGTTCTTCTCTCCTAAGTTACATGGAGGCATATGGAGGAACTGACAATCCCGATTTTACGGAGATGACTCTGGAGGTAGTTGTGGCCTGTGGTCAGATGGCCGCAGCTACGTTTCGGGACAGATTGCTGAGGATGGATTTTGCTGTTATAGTTTCCCATCTTTTACCGACAGTAACTGCCCTCCACGGGTCGTTCACGATCTTCTTGAGTGTTGATGTCATTTTGTTGTATATGGTTCTGTATGCTAGAGGGTGCATAGGCTAAGGAATAGAGTATCCTTCCTCTTGCGAGTCTGTCGCCCTTTTTGTTCCCTGTGATGTCGCAGTGCCATTGGCCCCACTGTACATTGGCTAGCTGTGATCTCCTGTAGTTTGAGGAGTCTTTTTGGCACTGGGCTACAAGTTGTTTTTCGGGGGCTCTGCTCTGACAGTAGCTTACCTTGCAACCGTAGAGTACGAGAGAAAGACCACATTTTGTTTGATGTCTAGGTGGTAGAGCGCATTTGCTGTCTTTCTAATGGCCATTAACTCCCCTTCGAAGTTTGTTACTGATTTGCTTACAGAGAAAGTGTTTTTGGCGAGGAGGGAGTAAAAGCCAGGACTACTGTTGTCACTAATAGCTGATCGTGAGTCTTCTAAATGGAAGGCTGTTTGTATGTTATATTTCTGAAAGAGTGTTTGAGTCTGGACTAGTGCTGTATTCTGAGACCTGCTGGCAGGTGCGTACCGTTCCCACAAGTTCTCCGGCGTTATTCGGCTTCTCTGGAAGTACTTCACCGTTGCTTTTAATAGGTTCTGTTTGTGCCTGACATTCAAGGGAGAGGAATGGGGTGGATTTTGCAGCATGACAGATTATTCGTAGAGACTTGTTTTGAGCAGAGTCTAGTTTCCTTTTTACGGCATCGCTAACTATGGAAAAGGCTTCCCATCCGTATTTCATCAGTGGCCTAATGTAGCATTATAGGTGGTCGCAAGGACGTCCTGCGTTGCCCCCATTTAGTCCCTGTACGTCTTTTCAGTATGCATGTTCCCTTTTTGTCTTTGGTGTGTATTCCTCGATATGTGGAATTCTGTCGTCTTCTCTTTGCTCACAATCATGTCGTTTCCTTTCCACCATAATTTAAGATCCTCAAGTGCCAGCGCTTGCTCCGGGGCAAGTACATTAATGCTTGTGGCCCAGATTGTTACATAACCAGCGTAGCACAAAATTTCGATACCTTTTTCAATTCATTTATCTGATAATTAATCATGATGTTAAAGAGTGTGCAGCTCAAGATAGCACGTTGCGGTAGACCCCTCTTTTGTAGCCGATGCCTGGAGATCACATTACAGTATCTAACTATTACAAATTTCTGCCCAAGGAAGCCATTAAGACAGCTGTATACCACCTAAATATCTTACTTCCTAAGCTCAAGACCGCTTAACTTGTTCAGAGTATATTTCGGCACACTGTGTCATACGCGCCCTGGGAAGTCTGTGAAACAAGCTAGTGTGGCCATTTTTCGATGAAACCCATCTTTCACAGGTTGTGTAAGTTTTATAACGTGGTCCGTGGTGGACCTGCGTTTTCTAAAGCTGGCCTGGTATTTGCTGATAATATTTCTCCTGTCTAGGAAGACTTCCAATCAGTTGTTTACCATTCTCTCAGCTGTTTTTCGTAGCACTGAGATAAGGCTTATGGTTTTTAATTAAGACTGGGTCTTTTCGTTTCTTGTGAATGGATATTCTTTCCAAGGCTTCTTATATACCTAAGTGCCAGTTTTCATTTATGGCTCGCAGTGAGATTCGCATGGCTCCTTTTCCCAGATTCGTAACAAATTCTGGGAAGATTCCGTCAAATACGCTCGCTTTGCGTGTTTTATAACATGAATCGCCTGTCTCAGTTCCGTTATGTTAAAATCATTGTTCAGTAGTGAAGCCTGAAGCTCTACTAAGCGCAGCATCGGTATAGTTTCATTCGCCCCTCGAGAAATTTGCAGGGTACTTCGAGTAGGTGCTGGCAAAAAAGATCAGCTATTTTCTCGCAGTTTGAAATCAAGTCCTTTCCATGAACTATTGAGCGAGCGTTTTTCCTGTTTCCATCGTTGTTTAGCTTAAAGATAAATCGATGAGCTTTCGGGCCGTCTTTTTTGTAATCAAGGTTTGCTACAAAGTTTCGAAAAGTTTGCCGTTTGAGTTCCCGTTTCAGCATAGCCTAAGCTGGTTTGAGGTTTACAGTCTTCAAAGTTTTGAGTCCTTATGCTTTCTGCATACTTTCATTGCGCATACCTGTAAGTACTGTCAGTTTTCTCTAATTAAAGTGAATATTGTTTGACCTGTCCTTGGGCGACATATTTAGTAGCGGATGCGAGTATAGCTTGGATTATTCTCTCAAAAGTTTTGGCTGGGTTGCTGACGACCATCGAAGGAGTGACCAGGCTGTAAGTTTCTTTAGCGAGTTCCCATTTCGGGTTTTTTTTTAATTATTATTTTTATTTTTTAAGTTCTAGAGTGGTAGAGCTTTATTTCTAATTACTGGGGTCTTTGGTAGAATCTCAATGGACATGGAGCGGTGGCCGCACCCTGATGCATTCCGGTGCCACCTTCGGCAACAACGAAAATGTCAATGTTCAAAGAAAATAAAATAATGTTCAGCTCGCTTAATTTCGATAAGTTCGATACGCCTCCTTCCTCAACAGCACTGTGTTCCAATGCAAAATATTCAAGCTACGAATTTCGACCGTATTGCGGTGTCGTTTTGGAACTAAAAAAAGCCCTTTTGATCGACGCCTAGCGCCGGTTCTGCTTCTCCATCTATTGGCACGATCATTCTGCAATGGCATGGTTGAAAAGCAGAAAATTGCTAACACATTTAGCGTTATCCAGAAGGCACCATGCGGAGTTAAGCTGCATTGCCGCCCCCGTCTTTGATTGAGGTAGCGTTTATGTTATTGATAATCGTTATGAAAGCTTACGAAAATAAAATAAGATATGTAATCTTATTACAGAAAGCTTGTATAATTCTTTTAAGAATGTTCTGCAAGAATACTTTTAAAGAAAAAAATTTTAAGAAAAAATTTCAAATCTGATTTCGATTTTCGATAGATTGTAAAAATATTAAAGTGCCCTCTTGGCTTTTTGATGCTTGTTTATTCACTTGAAACATTCAAATGGTAGTCCAAATGTAAATTTAGCCAGGTACTGTACATTAAGATACACCATGGATGGAAAGTCATTATTCCGTAGATGCTTTGCTCAGAAATTTATAATAAACTAATGATGCAATTAGTGATGCAGGAATAGTTTCAAAAACAAAAATTATGTATAGATATTTGCTGGAAATGGATTTTTAGTGTCTCATTGCAAATCCGTTAGTAATATGTGGCATCTAAAACTCAGCTTTGCCTGCGGAATGAATATCTTGATATGCAAATCACATCATTATACATATCAGCTTATAACGTGTTATTGCAGACCTTAACAATTACCCCTGCCTCAATCAGCATTATGCTGAGTTACAAAATCACTGAGAGCTTCTACGTATGTGTGCAATCTGCTTATTCATCCAGCTGCACAGCAAATACTCGGGTTTCAAATTACTTTATGGGTTTCAAATTACTGATAGGTAGCTCATCAGATCATAAGGTGAACAGCCGTAATTGAAATCAAATGAAAAAACAGATTATGAGATAAAAGGATATCAAGCAGCTGATTAGCCTGTTTTCTTCTAATACCGCAGTACCTTCAGTAGCAGACATTAAATACAACTCGCCATCAGTGGGAGTTTTTCAACCCTTCAAAATAATGTTATGTAATGTATCAAAGTGTCTGCATTTTGGAGATGCAAACAAGTCTTATCTCATGTATATTGCATTTTAGTTCTATTTATTTTCTAATAAAAATTTCAAGCATTTATTTTTCAGGTTCTCATGAAACACTCAGGCTGAAGTTATCTTTTTAATAATTTTTATTATTTTTAAGTCTGTTTTGATAGCTGTTAGGAACAAGGCTGTCATTTAATTAAAAATCAGTTATGGAGCTACAAATTCTGATCTACTTCATGCGATAGAATTGTTTTATAAATTTTCATTATTTCAAAATGTTTAGGACTGTATTATCTCACGCTGATGTTTTTATATGTCATTAATCAAAAAGATTCACTTTGTATTGCATAAATTTTAGGAAAACTTATCTTCACCAGAAGTAACATTGCATTCTTACTAGAGTCTGAGTCTTTAACATTCCAGGATTTATTAATTATCCACTCATTCATCGTGACCAATGTACTTCTGAAAAACACAAATGAGCATATCTATTACTATGGAAATAAGAATCACTGCTTCTAATAGAAAGAACTTTCGTTTATTAATATTTTCATGTATTTGCAGATACAATAGCATTGATCTATTTGCAAATATTTTGTTTGTAATTGTTTGATAAGAAGTTTTACTTTGCTTGAGAAGAATATAGTTCTGTTGCACTTTATGCAGCTCCCGGTGCTTATGATCCGGAAAAGAGTATAAAATCGGTGTTAGATTCAACTCCTAAATATTCCTTTGGTGTTAAACCCAAGGATCCCAAACTCGATGATATACCTGGTGAGTACCTGCATTTATTTTGAATGGAAGTGCGATAAAATTTTGAGACAGCTTGCAAAGAATGTAACTAAATAAATAAATGTAGTACAATATATACATAAACCTACGGCCCACGTAAAAGCTTCAAAAACCATCCTTGATTCGACCCCAAGTTGATCATTTGGGCTAAAGTACAAAGATACTCAGCCGATGAAAGAGATAAATTTTCCTTTATACAGATATTTCTTGTTATAATTTTTTTTTTATTTCGCACAATTTTCTTTCACTACGTCCAAATTTGTATTTATGACTTGAAAATAATAAATATTTTGAAGGGTTTTTGCATGTTAAAGTGCAATTATGCATAAACATGTTAGCTGTTATATAGAAATATTACTATCTACCTAGATTTACTGCTGTTCTTCTGTCTTTCCCCTCTTTTTGTTTTTACTGTTACTGGAGTGATGATTTGCAGCAATGCTTCCTTAACGTTCAGTCTTTCGGATCACATACAAATAACAGTGAATTATTGCGACGCGTTTGTTCTAGTTGCTGTGGAGTCAAAGAGGAAGTCAAAGAATTCATTTTTTCCTCAGTCTTGGTTGAGCATAATGGAATATAATTAACTATACAGTTATAAAAATTAATTAATATTTATTAGTAGGGATTCATAGTTATATAAAAATGTGAAACTGCAGCGTAATTCAGCTGTAAAGATATACATAAATTAAATATTGTTTTTCGTCAAAATTAATGGAAAATTAATATTCATATTTTTATGTTATATCCGCTACGGAAATTTTTTAAATGTTTTAAAACAGAGGAAAATTTTTAAAATATAATTTCCTCATCGAAATCAAAGTGAAACTCATCTCCGTTTTCTTAGACCTGGGATTTTTAATGCAGGAATGTACAGATTTTTGTTCGAAATTATGAAGCACTTATTATTTCTAATAGTTCTTAAATTAATTAAGTGAATTACATTTATAGGTTAATTTTACATATACATGCATATGGCTACTTTGAATTCATGCTTTTCTTCTCTCCATATAATTTCCCTTATTGTACTCCATCTTTGCCCCAACAGGTGGCAATAAATATCAATTAAAACCCTTACATTTTATTATATATAATGTTTTAACAAATTATTATGTCTTTTCTAAAAGCATGATTTCGCTTAAAATATTGAAAGTACGGAAAATACGATATTGAAATTATTGTAATAGTTCGATTTAATTTCGTCAGTTTTCATATAAACATATGTAATGAACAGTAGAGATTTATGCAGTAGTTAGAATTCATTTTTTCCTCAGTTTTTAAATTCGAAATTGAAAATTAGAGAAATTTTAGTAATTCGTAGTTCTTCCTTAAATAAATGTAGCTGCATGACATTAGAATTCCATTCATATCAGCACCATGCATGCCAGTTTCCAGTCGCAAATATACTAATTTTGCACTTTTTACGCACCATATGTGAAGTGTATGAAATAATTTGAGTCTCAGTACATCCTCTTTTCTTGTCTGAACCTGACAGCTCCAGGCTATTATGATTCTGAATACGCTTACAAGCATCTGTTGGGCAAAAAACCCAGCTATACTTTCGGCATAAAACCAAAACCACAAAAGTTGGAAGATATTCCCGGTAAAGTATTTCAAATAATTAAAGAAAAAATGAAGTAGTTATTGTATTGAAATCTGTTTGTGTCTTTCAGGTTTTTAAAATAATTAATGGTATGCAAAATTAATATCTTTAAGTTACATGCGCATGGCGATAATAATAGAAACTAAACATACGGTGGATGCTAAGAAAGAAATTGCTCACATGACTTGTTTAAATAGTAGATTTAGATATCTCCAAGATTTTCGGACGTATCCAAGTATTTAATCATTTAACAGCAAGCTTGAAATTTCAGTCTTCTGTATTTTCTTTTTTAACGCATTAAATATCTGTATTGTTTAACTTCTTATCTTCTCTTTCAACTAATGACACCGAATATCATTTACGTCATTTCTCAGTATCTAGATATTACATTCGTGAAATGTTTTCATTTTACTCTGTTATTATTGCTGTTATTACAGCAGCGGATTTTTATTGCGAAAACGTTACCTCATTTACCAAATTTGAAATGCGTACTTTCAACTGATTTCATACTGATTGTGATAACTTATTAAGAGTTATTGAAATGGGATCAGTTCCTAAGCATTACCAAAAAATTAGAATATAAAGAAAATGGCACCTCATAAAATTTGAGCTGTAAAAGTTTTAAACTACGCACTTCCCAGATATTTTCTTTCGATTTCTATGCAATAAAATAATTACTTAATTCATATATTTTTACTTTAAAAATGTAATATTATCAGGTTCTATGTTCCTCCTTACTTGCTTTGGGGAACATTAACTGTCCTGACTCGGAACAGGGAGCTTACTAAAGCTATGTTCAATAAATTTGGGAAGTAGACAATACACACAGGAAGGGTATACGAAACCCTTTATTTTTCTCTCTTTACAATGATTTCCGGAACTTCGGAATACAGAGACCAACCACTTGTGGTCTGAACGTAAGAATATAAAAAATATTAACTAAAAATCTAACTAAACTAACTTTGTTAATAAACAAGTACCTAACTCCAAGATTGGCCGTATATTAACAAAAAGCCGTATGTAGTACAGAGAACTGCTAACACTACGATACGTTTAAAATTATCAAGAGGATTAAACCTCTAGCCTTGAAGGCAACCAGCAACCGAGTAAAACTACTATGGCAAGCGGCCTGCTTCTAATAGCTCCTTCCTTTCTCTTGCTTGGCAAAAAGCCACAACTTAAGTACTTGGCGTGAGCAAGACAAATTTGCATAAGTTAAAGCTTTTAATTCTGGCCGGAAGTAGAAAATAAGAAGTGATAGTAAAGATTTAAAATAAAATAAACGTTAGTAAAACTTAGGATCCTTACAATATGACTAAAAGTAATGCTTTGTGGTTAAACCACTGGAAGCAGCAATCAGCTATTGTCGTATAATAGATTGTAACTTTACAAGAAAGTGCTTCGAGAAATCCGGGCTGGAAAGACAGCCGCTAAACTTAAAGTAAACGATGAAAAGTAATTAATAATGCCCATTAAATTTCTTAATCAGTCAGTCAGATATAAATAAAACTACAATTCATAGATTTTGTCGTTTTTTAAATAAAATAGCTCAGGTCCTATTAAACATCCAAGATTGTTCGCTGTTCCTTATACATTTGGATTATCCAGCATATTTTCTAAAGAAAACTATTAATCTAATTTATGGGACTCGATTGCATAAAAATAATGAGAGGTATTATTTATACTTATAACTTATCTAATTGTTTCTGAAAGATGTTGTTTTCGATCCATGTGGAATAATTGGGATAAAACATTTTACTGAATATGTTATCGGACTACAGTAGTATTTGATAAATATTTAAACTTCAGAAAGATTTGTAACACTTTATTAATATTTTATGATAAAATACATATTTTATAAAATAGTTTTCAATAATTATTTCCTTCTTTCTCAGCACCAGGCACTTATGATGTAGAAAAGGTCGAAAAAACTGTCCATCAGTCCTCTCCTGCCTTTTCATTTGGCGTGAAACCTAAAGATCAAAAAGCTGACGACATTCCTGGTAATATACTTACTTAGAACGTCTTACTTAATGTGGAATTAGTTTATAGACATATTTTTATACTAAGCAACAATATTTATGACATTTAAATAAGGAAATATTTTTATTATCCATTATATACAGGAACAATAAGCTTTCTTTTAAGCAATGTTAATTTTTCTGCAGCAAAACTCAAGGGTTCTTAAATACGTAATTATTAATCTCCCTACAATTCGTTTTATCTACTGTCAATACATGGCCACTCTGTACTCGCATCCTAGCGCCGAGTACTGCTCAATAAGAATTAATGCTTCAGTAGTTTATTACCATAGATGAGTGAACAATAAAAAATAAATATTTATTTCCCATGTCTGAAACCAACAATTCTTGTTACTGAAGTAAATTTGTAACACACTAACTTCTTAATGCTAATATATTTTCTGGATAAATTTAGATTTCGTTGCATTAAAACACCGAATTGACCTTCAGCACCGTATCAATGAATACTGAAAATCCAGAACTTAAAATACCCAAACAAATTTTTTCAGATTCAATGTTCTCTTATGTAATAATAATAATCATTGTAGTTATAAATTTTTTTCTACTCCAGATTTGTTTTAATATTTGAGTAGAATATCTCGTATTTAAAATGTAATAATATAATAGGTATTTGAGATTCAGCAATAATTAATAAATCTATTATTTCGAAGCATTAAAAATTAATTAAAATATAAGTAAAAAGAAAATCGAATTACTAATGTTTGCTTTGACTCGATAACATTAAGAATACTATAATTTTAAATTCTAGAAGAAGAAAAATAATATTTATAAATAGTTAAAATCGTTAAAATTTAGAACTTATATTAGAGATTTTTTTTCAAATGCTAAAATTTTCTGTTTTAGCTTTTTCTGATCATTAGAGAGGTAAGGCTTTAAATCAGAAATACTACATAATTACCAAATTTGCGTTCATCATAATCCTACTACTGTAGCGAAATCCAATCCTGTTAGTAAATGAAGAATAAATATAAAAGAAATATTTTTGCTCTTTTTTTTTTTTTTTCTGCAACTTTCAGCTGAATGGAAGACCCCGTTTGATGTTTAAGCTTTGTACTCTCCAGTTGCTGTTTTGCAGGAAATATCACATATCAAGTCAAATAAGGAAACTTGGGTTTCTTTTCTAATATTTCAGAACGTAATTTGAAGTTGTTTGAAAACAGCTGAAATTAATTGAAAAAATTAACAGGTTAATGTTTGCAAATTAAAAGTTTTAAACAATTAAATTGTGCTTCAACTGTATTTCAGATTTAATATAGCTATAGTTGTAATAATAACTCAAATTCAAGCACATTTTGTTGTGAATTCGAAATAAAAAGGCTTAATGGATTTAGGAAGACAATCTGTTTAATTTCTTAGGATTACAATTATGCACAAGCGCTCTTAACAATAACTAAGTAATTCTCCGAAACCTACCTTGCCATACTTGAAAAAAGGGAAAGAAATGATAGAAATTTAGAATTTAAAACGCATTATTCAAAAACGGTTATACACATTTCTTGAATTTCTTTCCTCTCTCCCTCCTCCTTAATGGGTTCTTTGATAGATTCTATTAAATGTTTACTGGATTACAAATTAATGACATTCAATCGAAATTAACGCCACTTGGTATTTCAAAATGTGCTAAGCTTATTTTATTTAGAATTAAAGCTGAACTAAAATTGAATGTTACCAGTTTTGTTTACACCAAATGTAGGCAAATATATCACAAATTAGTCTGTTTAATTTTTCTGTAATGATTCATATGAGCTGAATTAATGAGTACTCGGAACTCACTTCGCATTAATTCTAAACTAAATTTATGAAACGTTTCCGAAGCCAATGCGGGACAAAACAGTATAAGCGATTTAAGAAAACGAAGCATAATTTTATTATTTTAAACAATTAATAAACATAAATAATATTTTAAACAATTAATATAAAGGGTAAATGTTTCTGTTTTTTCAGTTGCTTTCATGTTGGAATTAAAACACCCGAACAGGATTTAGCGTTTTCAAATTTGCGTCTTCTGAGAAAATAAAGTCATTTGGAATCTCTGTTTTATCTCCCAGAGAAAATAACTATCGGTGATATTACTAATATCAGTTCTTATTGATGTTCTTAGAAACACTGTCCAGTTTTAGAAGGGACTGTCATGAGCCATGAAAAAAAAATTAAAGGTTCCACTGTAATTATTATCGAAACAAATGTTCTGTTGCTGCCATTATTCGGGGTAAACGGAGTTTTATTTAATATTATATATTAAAAAAACTACTTTTCTAACTATAGAAAAATTTTCTCTCAGTTTCAGTTTTGTATTTTGATACCTGTTTAATTTTTCGTATATTTCACACCTTTCTAAATGTAATATTCCATTGAATAATTTATTACCAGATAATTTTTCTTCATAAAATATTTTATTACAGAAGTTAAGCTTTTCTTACGCATTTACTTTCTACAGTTTTTTTAATTGGTGATTCGTTTAAATTCATTAGATGATTTAAATGTATAGTCGATTTTCTAATCGCGAAATAGAGCTGAAATATAAATCCAGAAATCCATTTACAAACCAAATTTTTGGTAGAACTAGAGAGTTCGTTAAAACGTTTACCTAGAGAATATGATTATGTGATTTACTGACCATATAAAAACAACTTTATAACCGTATTGCGTGGAAAAAAAAAAGAAATTTCGTGTTAACAAGCATATTTACAGAATGTGATACACTGCACTGGAATAAAGCACTGTTCCGCACGATTCGAGACGTACGCACATTTTAGCCAGTAATTTTGAATTTAACTTTTTCCGCTCCACTGCTACCACTACATTGAATAATTATTATGTATTAGAATCCACTAGTGCTACAACAGTGCATGTGGGGCGGAATCTCCTTAGCCCATCGATGGAACTGAACTCGAAACGAATTTGTTGAAGTATGTTAAAAAAACGCAAATAATAATAATATATAATTTAGTTAATAAGTTTTGGCAACAGTGTTCGTTGTTGTTGTCATTAGGGGATCGCATTTTGCGATGCTGTTGTTCAAAAAAAGATGCACTTTAGTTAGAAACTAAATTGGTATAAAATTAATTGTTAGTTAGTACACTCTTTTACAAAAAAATCTAAGCACTATAAAGGAAGTGGTTGTTTTTGATGAAATTGAATATGTGTATAGCTCATACACAGATAATAAAATTATTAAAAAATCAAGGTCATAGTATCAGGTTCAATGTTTCTTCTAACCTTCTTCGGAAACATACAATGACCTGACTAGAACAGAGAGCTTACTAAAGCTATGTTCACTAATTGTAGTAAGTAGACAGGATACAGACGAAGGGTATACAAAACCCTTTATTTTTTTTCTTTATATACAATGACTTCCGTACTTCGGAATACAATGACCCTCCACTCGGGGTCTAACTTAAAAGATATCAAAATAAAACTAAACTCTAATTTAACTTTAGAATAAGATTGGCCTTATAATAACAGGAAGCGTATGTAGCACAGAGACTGTGAACACTACAATACGTTTAATTTATCAAGAGGATTAAAACCTCTGGCCTGGAAGGCAAAGTAGCAACTGCGTAACTTCTAAGGTAAGCGGCCTGCTTCGAACTCACGGCTTCCTCTCTCTGCTTGGCAAAAAGGCCACACTTAAATACTTGGCGTTCGCCAGACAACTTTGCATAAAACTCCTTCACGCTTATAATTCTGGCCGGAAGTAGAAAATAAGAAGTGATAGTAAAGATTTAAAATAAAATAAACGTTAGTAAAACTTAAGATCCTTACATACTTCCCGCCAGAGTTAATTAGTTTGAAACTGAGGTCTAAAACGACCTTGTTGAAAACTTTTAGCTCTAGAAACTAACGCGAGGCCAAACGGCATTCGCAAAAATGCATAAGTGCCAGACTTGGTTATAAAAGCAGTCTTAGGCACGTCCTCAGGCCTGATCCCTATTTGAAAATAACCATTCGTTAAGTCTAAAGTTGTCATAAATTTGGTTGATTTTATGTTCCTTAAAATTTCTTCTATAATCGGTAACGGATATACCGGATATTTCGTTATGGAATTTAATTTACGGTAATCAATAGCGAATCTCCACCTTTTTGGATGCTCCAAAGGATAATCATTATTTTTCTTACATAAAACCACCGGACTAGCATAACTACTTGAGATAGGCGTTACGATCTTTTTACGTAGCATATCGGTAATATGCCATTCTATAATTTTTTCCTTATTCTTATCATACCGGTATGGTTTTTGACGAACCGGCAATGCATCTCCGGTGTCAATACTATGGTTAGTAACCTGGGTAAATCCTGGAATATCACTAAATAAGGAAGCAAATTCACTTACCACTTGTCGGATTCTATCTTGCTCGTCATTAGGCAGGTGGTCGAGATTTACCCTTGGCGGTTCAACCTTTTCTACACGCACTGGTTTCATCGTCAGCTTAAGAGACGCTTCATTAAAATCCAGTGTAGCTTGTGCGTCTGAAAGAAAGTCTATTCCTAGTATTAAGTGTGCTTGCAAATTCTTTACTATAAAAAACATCACCTTTACTTGTTCGTCCTTGATACGGATGTACAAAGGTACTTTACCTACGCACTTACATTGTTCTCCTTGCGCCGCTAATACTGTTGTATTATCCGCATTATATATGCGGTATTTGCGAAAATACTTTCTAAAAAAGACTTCTGCCACACAGGAACACTGCGCGCCGGTATCCAGGAGTGCGGTGGCCGGGATATTATTTACCAAGACTTCAATCTTCGGAAGAGTTAAATTTTTCACCATTACTGTATTTAACTTGTAGGAAGAGGGGTTTTCGTGGCCTTCGGATTTCCGCACCCTCTCGTCAGCAGAAATCCGTTTTAGTTTAAATTATTTTTTCTTTCGGTGCTTTCCTTCTTTCTCCACTGGCCTTGAGACTTTTTTCCTGGGTTGCTATTGAACTGTCGACGTTCGCCGGCTGTTTTTGAATGCTCGGGTTTCCTTGCCCACTGATTCGCTTTTTCTCCGTAGCCATGTGCTTGAGTTTGCTGTAGTCTTGGCGTACCAAATTGGTTTCGCTGTTGATATTGGCGTCTTCTTTCGACGTCCGCCGTTCTTCTACTTTCAAACTGGATTGCTAGCTCAAATAATTTTTCCAGTGTAGTCGGATTTCTCAATTCAATAAAGTCTTGCACTTGGGGTAGTAACCTCGGCAAAATCACTTGAATTATTTCAGGATCCGGACGGTTTCCATACAAGAGCTTGAAAACGTGAATTTTTCTTAAAATAAAGCTCGAGAGGTTTTCGATTCTTTGTTGATATATACTGAAAAGTTCTGTTTCTAATTTCGCACGATCCCTTACAACAGGGAAGGCTTTTAGTAGGGCAGTCTTGAAATTTTCGTAAGGTATAGGTGGGACTTCCTGCTTGACCCAAGAGACTTCTGCCGATACATTTGAACCAGTTAAGCGCTTGGCCCCTCAAAGCGCTGGTAGCTAAGGTAACTTTTTGAAACTCGTGCACGGGGTAGAGCATGAAGTGGTCATCCAATTTTTCCAAAAAACTGGTTACCTGTGAGTTTCCATTAAACGTTGCTTCTGGTTTCATCGAAGCGCGCATGGTCTGGACAATATACCCAAATCCTTCCAGGGCGGCAGCTGGCATTTCTGGATTCTGAGCTGTTTCTGCAGGCAGCACAGATTCTTCTTGAAACTCGGCCATGGTTATTCTTCGTCGGGCGCCACTATCAGGTTCAATGTTTCTTCTAACCTTCTTCGGAAACATACAATGACCTGACTAGAACAGAGAGCTTACTAAAGCTATGTTCACTAATTGTAGTAAGTAGACAGGATACAGACGAAGGGTATACAAAACCCTTTATTTTTTTTTCTTTATATACAATGACTTCCGTACTTCGGAATACAATGACCCTCCACTCGGGGTCTAACTTAAAAGATATCAAAATAAAACTAAACTCTAATTTAACTTTAGAATAAGATTGGCCTTATAATAACAGGAAGCGTATGTAGCACAGAGACTGTGAACACTACAATACGTTTAATTTATCAAGAGGATTAAAACCTCTGGCCTGGAAGGCAAAGTAGCAACTGCGTAACTTCTAAGGTAAGCGGCCTGCTTCGAACTCACGGCTTCCTCTCTACTGCTTGGCAAAAAGGCCACACTTAAATACTTGGCGTTCGCCAGACAACTTTGCATAAACTCCTTCACGCTTATAATTCTGGCCGGAAGTAGAAAATAAGAAGTGATAGTAAAGATTTAAAATAAACGTTAGTAAAACTTAAGATCCTTACAATAGTACCTATTCACGGCTCACAATCACTCAATGAGTGTTCAAATTAGTAGTTGGTCGAACCGCCCCTCGCGGCAATGCATGCTTGAATTCGTCGAGGCAGGAAGTGATAAAGGTTCCTAACGTTCCTAATCTGAGACGCATTCTGCACGGCAATCATCAGTTGTCGCACCAGATCTGCGGTATTTTGTGGTGCCAGAATCTGACGGCCTACCATGCCCCAGACATGCTCGATTGGTGAGAGGTCTGGTGACCTTGTTGGCCAAGGAAGAGTATCAATCGCACGGAGACAGTTCAGAGATATGCGATCGGTATGTGACCTGGCATTATCTTGTTGAAAAATGGCCCCAGGATTACGTATTATGAAGGGCAATGCAACCGGCCGCAGGATGGCATCAACATATCGTTGAGCTGTTAATGATGTACGGAGGATGATTAAAGATGACCAGCTGTCATAAGAAATAGCACCCCCACACCATCACACCAGGGGTTATGGCTGTATGCCTTTGTAAAACGAAGGCTGATTGGGACCGCTGGCCCCGTCCTTTCCAGACACGAACACGGTGGTCATCTGCTTCAAGAGTGAAGCGGGATTCATCGCTGAGCACTACACAATGCCAGTCTGATGGCAGCCATGATGATCAGCTGCGACACAACTCCAGACGATACCGCCGATGTTATGGGGTCAAAGGCGAACGTTTTAAAGGCCTCTGTGAACGTAACCCCGCCTCAGACAAGCGCCGTGAGATGGCGAACGGGACCACGGTAGGTACAGACGTGGCTGTAGTGAATTGAATAGTTGACACCTTTGGGGCAGTTCGAGCCTGGAGAACAATCATCCTATCTTGCTTCGCATTTGTGCTCCTTGGCCTTCCAGAGCCTTCATTTCGTCGGCAATTTCCTTGTAGCAACCATTCATGCCAACATCTTTGCACAGCAGTGTCTGTACACTGCAGGTGGCGGCCTATTGTTTGAATACTTACATGAACTAATTTTCAAAACTTTTTCTGTAAATTATTATTCATTATTATTATTATTATTATTATATTATACCAAAGCCCTTTCGAATAAATTTTTTTTTTAAACAAGCAAGTTTTAAAACAGATGATCAACAGCATATGTGAAAGAAAAATAAAGTCATTCTGCTAATATTTAGTAACTGATATTTGCAAATAAAATTCAAAAAACAAGTGTTCAAGAACAATTGTAAGCCACATTAAACGATTAAAGATGTACGGTGATGAGTAACGAACTTTTATAATGTGGAGAATAAATGAAAAGTTTTAAGCCATAACAAATAGCTACAGAATTCTCTTGTATTCCTTGTCTCCATTTATATAAGATATATTCCACAAAAGAAAAGCAATAGCACTTCTTCCGAAGTTTATAAATATATATTAAATATAATACAGTTTTATATACTTCGGAAGTACAGTTTTACAGTACTGTACTTAATGTACGTGTATTCGTACCTATATGTAGATTTATATTAAAAATCTGTGGGACAAAATTATCCTGTTGTTGATAGTGGCTCATACTAAAAAGAACCTTGGAGTGCAAAAGGTTAAAAAGTACTCTCATTCATTCATAGTTACAGAAAGAAATTTTCATTTTGCAGCCCCTGGTGCTTATGACCCGGACAAGAGTGTCAAAACAGTACTAGACACTACGCCTAGTTATTCTTTTGGTGTTAAGTATAAAGAGCCTAAACTAGATGACATACCTGGTGAGTACTAAGCAAAGTACTATTTCTTTAACCGTTTTTGAGCAGAAGCGAAAATGCTTGCTGCCTTATTTGTAGGAAATGTTTTAATTTGCTTCAAAAAATTTTAAGAAATGTAGACCGAAAGCATCAGATACAGATACATATTGCTTCAATATAAGCACTCAGATTAGGAGGAAAATGCAAGTTATAATGTAATTAACCTCTATTATGAAGTTGTATTAGAAGTTTTTCATGAAACATATAGTCTAAAGATATTAGAAAAGGGAAAGCTTCCCTTAAATTATTTATTAAAATTATTTTAACTAATTGAAGCAAAATAAGATTTAAGTTTTTATAAAAGAATATCAGATTAACAAAGTAAAATAAAATAAATTTACAATGTGATAATTTATTAGACAGTTTTAATATAAGTAAGTTCATGCAATTATTCAAAAAGAAAACAGTTAAATAATGATTTTTAATAGTTAAATACATAAATTAAAAATTCTATTAACTGTTCTATGTAGGATTAATTTTCTATTCCTTTCCAGTTTTTGAATGTTTTTAAGTTTCGTTCTTACTTTTTTAGCAAAAAATTATTAATGAATCCAAAAATATGAAATATAAAGGTAACAATATTTTTCATTTTGTCTTATACGAATGTCTGTCATTATACGAATAAACATTTATAACATTTAAAACTGAAAAACACATGCATGCGATGTTATCGTCATGCAATGATTTGTAGGAGCTTTATTTTTTACCACGATGTTTTTCTCAGCGATGCTTTCGTCCCCGATGTTTTCTCCTCTAACCAAATAATGGATTTTATTCTGAGTAAAAGTGAATCTGAAATTTAATTATTGGAAACAACTCTCTAAAAATCATGTTTTTAGCACAGAAAATGCAAAATTTACGTTAGAGTTACTCAAATTTAGATTTTAGGATGTAGATCGGAAAGTGTTGCATGTGACCGAATATAAATGCAATGAGCCTGATAATCCTGACCGCATTATTTCGAATATTTCAAAATATTAGTTTCCCTGCATTTTCAGCCTAATGCAAACTATATTTATCTCGAATAATATTCTCCTCAAACCTTTTTATCTTGAATTCTGTGCTTGAGTGGCAGTCGCAAATTTAAAGTTCATGCGACCGCATTTTCCGGCAAGCGCAAGCTGTAGTTGAGAAACGTACCTCACAAAATTGCACGTCAGTGTATAGTAGAACGGCTTTCAAGTCCCGAAGTTTTTAAAAATCTCCAAAAAAGGATTGGTATTTTTTTTAACGTTTTGGTAGGACCGTTTGGTTTATTAATTGAATACAGAAAACAAAAGTGAGGACTATCTGCTTAAGAGAAGGAATTCCTTTATAGACGACTTTCGCGAATTTCGTATAAGGGTACGGTCGTGTATTCACGTTCCATATCCATCAAAAAAAAAAAAAAAAACCAACGCATTCGCCCCTTTTGACGGGAATCAAAATCGGGATAGCTTGAGATATTTTACATACTACATATCAATTATAAACTGCAGTGTCAAACATGTGAAAAATAGTTTTCTCTATCTTTTCACACATTTCGCATAACCGAAAACATGATAAATGTTGATCATGTTTCTCGATACTTTCCATTCCTTCACTGTATTCAGCATGATTTTAAGTACAGTTGTATATTTACCAATGTTTCCACTCAGTCTAATTATAGCCTACTGACTATTACATTAATTTAATTGCAATTAGTAATTTTACGAGTTTTATGCATGTAAAGACATGTTAGCTGTAACTAATCACACGAGGAATGTAATTCGTTTTTGTGAATGTAATTCGTTTTTGTGCAGTTTGGGCATAAGATTGATGATGAGCAGGACGCATAATTTTTGTGCAGGTTTAAGGCAAAGCATACGAGAGCTATGTGCTTAAGAAGGGATATCTTTCTTAAGAAACCTAGCTTGCATTCAGGTCACATTAGTCAAAAAACACACCAAAGCCACCAATTTTCCTGGATTCAAACTCGAGTCGAACCAGTAGTGTTCGGAATTCTTGGCCACACTGTCACTACTGGGTTATCGTAAAAATTTAGTTCACTATTGTTTTCAACCACATGTTTAAATCAACACAGAAAATAATGTTTTCTTATGTGTGATTTATTTTGCATTAATGGAAATTTTTCTGACTGAGTATAAATATTTTTCTGAAAATCTTAAACTAAACCGACTGATTGAAATGCCTTACAAATATAATTCTATCACGTTGAATTAATTGGGCTAACAGTTAACTTTTCTTTGGTTTAGCTCCGGGCCAATACGATGTCGAGAAAGTAGAAAAAACTGTTCAACAGTCTTCCCCTGCGTATTCTTTTGGGCTCAAATACAAGGATCAAAAACCAGATAACATCCCGGGTAAAGTTATTTAATCTTATTATGATTACTTTAGTTAACATTGTAGTAATCCTTTAACTCTATATTATTGTTAATGATAATTTTTTGTCACAAATTTTGAAACAGCTTGACAAAATTCTTGTCTTAAGTATACTTGATCATTTTTATTGACAAATTTATGTTACATTTTAAATATTCAAGATTGTAAATTGAAATATATTTTGATTTATGGTGAAATGAATATGAGTCTATCATATTCTTTTAACGTGAATTTATGCACAGTTTAACCAAGATTGTGTAATCATTTTTTTAGCGCTTACAGGTGTAACGAATCAGTCAGCAGTTGTTCTTCAAATAAGTTTATCAAAGAATTTCAGTGTATGTTATTTCGGAAAGATTGGCCAAATTTAGGCAATTCAAATTTTTGCTTCCATTTACATATATCTAATATTGGATTTAAAACGTGTTACGGAGCTGCACTTTAGTGGACAAATCCTGAATCCTCGGACCCTCAATGTCAGAAAGTTCGACTGTACATCTCACGTCTATTTCTTTTTTAAGAACTCAATAAACATGTTATCATCACAATAAATAAATGATTGGCTGGATATTGCAGAAGCGCTTAATATTTGGTTGGAAAATGCAGTAAGCTTATTGGTTGGAAAGCGAAGAAAGATTTGTTGCAGTAAAATATGTCAGCACTGACAAAGAACGGTCTTCATCATTTTCAATGAACCATCGAATTTATTTTATGCTAAGTAGATGCATAACGTTTAAGTTTTGATTTTAATATTGTGAAAGTCTATTGTGCTTCTTTAAATTTGGATGTCTGATTGGAGATATCCAACAGGCTATCCGAGTTTGTTCTATTGATTTTCCACTGTTTTTTCCCCAAGACCTTTTATTCTTTATTTCCTATCTCATAGCTATCGAGGGTACATTTCCAGGCTACTTCTTCGTATTTCACGTCTGCTATCTTTAATACATATTTGCAAACAGTACTTCTTATCTTTTAATGCATTGAATTTCGTAATAAAAATAAAAATTCAAAATCAAATGAACATTCTCTCAAATAAAAATTCGCGAGAACCCAGTTACGATCAAATATTTATACTTTGAGTAAACTTTTATAAAAATTCAATTAAAATGCACTATTTTATCAAACTGCATAATTATAAATCTTGAATTGTACTGAACCTCAAATTACTAAATGCAATTAATAGTGAACTAGACAGAGAAAATGTTAGAGAATCTGTTCATCAGAATTGAACATTCATTCGGTTTGAAATTCAGGGTCATGAAAATGGATCACTGAAATGCTGTGGTTCTGTTTTGTTAAATATGTAACATCATTCAATATAAAAATAAATATGCTTTTACACAGAATGTAATCTTTAATTATATTTAGCCCCTGGCCAGTACGAAATTGAAAGAGTGGAATGGACTATTCACCAAAACTCTCCAGCATATTCTTTTGGTATCAAATACAAAGATCACAAATCTGATGATATCCCTGGTAAAGTTATTTTTCTAGAAAAACTGTTATATGTAAATCAGTTAAAATAGTATTCATTATTAACTTAAGCACAATATTATTGAATATTCATTGCAGCACCCGGTCAGTACGATGTCGATAAAGTTGAAAGAATTGTTCATGAGAAATCTCCAGCATATTCGTTTGGCTTGAAATACAAAGATCAGAAATCTGATGATATCCCTGGTAAACTTATTTTTCTAGAAAAACTGTTATATATAAATCATCTAAAATTATATTCATTGTATTAACTTACGGAGAAAATTATTGAATACCCATTTCAGCACCCGGTCAGTACGATGTCGATAAAGTTGAAAAAATTGTTCATGAGAAATCTCCAGCATATTCCTTTGGTTTGAAATACAAAGATCAGAAATCTGACGATATCCCTGGTAAACTTATTTTTCTAGCAAAACTATTATATATAAATCGGCTAAAATTATGCTCATTATTAACTTATGCAGAATATTATTGAATACTCGTTTTAGCACCCGGTCAGTACGATGTCGATAAAGTTGAAAAAATTGTCCATGAGAAGTCTCCAGCATATTCTTTCGGCTTGAAGTACAAAGATCAAAAACCCGATGATGTTCCTGGTAACTTTACTCTTGTGTCACAATAACTAAATATGTTTTGATTTAAAGATTTATAATGCATAATTCATATCTAATTTTACTAATGCAAATTTTAGCTCCTGGTCAGTATGATGTCGAGAAAGTTGAAAAAAGTGTTCATGAGAAATCTCCAGCGTACTCCTTTGGTTTGAAATATAAAGATCAGAAACCTGATAATATTCCTGGTAAATATGCTCTTGTGCTAATGTATCTAAATATATTCTGGTTTAAAGAATTCTATTTTAAAATCCATATCTAAATCTACTGAAATTAATTTTAGCTCCGGGTCAGTACGATGTCGATAAAGTTGAAAAAATTTTTCATGAGAAGTCGCCGGCATATTCTTTCGGACTGAAGTACAAAGATGAGAAACCTGATGATATTCCTGGTAAATTTACTCTCGAGTCACATAACTAAATATGTTCTCATTTAACGATTTTTAATTCGTATCTAATTTTACGAACGCTAATTTTAGCTCCTGGGCAGTACGATGTGGAGAATGTTGAAAAAATTGTTCATGAGAAGTCTCCAGCATATTCTTTCGGTTTGAAATACAAAGATCAGAAACCTGATGATATTCCTGGTAAATTTACTTTTTTATTAAAATAAATAAATATGTATGGTCTTAAGATTCATAATTTGTAATTTATTTCTAATTTTACAAACGTTAATTCTAGCCCCTGGTCAGTACGATATCGAGAAGGTAGAAAATTTTGTTCATGAAAAGTCCCCAGCATATTCGTTTGGCTTGAAATACAAAGATTTAAAGCCAGATGATATTCCTGGTAAAGTAACTTGTCACTCAAAATACCGTATTTACTAGTGTGCTTTCTCCCCTTGTGTATGTAGCCCCTCAAAGTTTCAGAGAACTCACGTAATTTTGAGCTTACGTAAATTTTGTAATAGTTTCGCCTACGTACGATTGTTTTCGTTTTCCTGATTGGTTCGCCTGTGGAAGCTGGATTCAAAGTTTCTTTCTAAGGAAGCAATAACAGTGAAGAGGTTCTAGAAAATGGAGATATTTAATGTTCTTTATAGTTTTGAAGATCATTGCATGTGGGAAGACAGACTGCACGATGACAAATACGATGAAGATGAGGTCAACTTGCAAACTGTAGCAAGGAATACAGATATCACTTCCAACAGCATTAAATTAGCAGTGGATTAACAGTGCGCTACAACAAGAGCGGGCAAGATTCAAGATACAGAAAAGCAGAAATGAAGATATTTTATTAGATTGTGTAATGTTAATAATATTGTATAGTCTTACTATAGTGTACGTTTCTCTTAAATAAATAATATTGTGATATTTTCTGGTAGTGCTTTTGTATGAATGCCTTTAATTTGCTTTGTTCTTATGTAATCAAGTCCTTCACAAATTAAATTCTTCGCAGAATTTTTCCCTCTCGATATTCATTTTGTAAAATTAAAAAAGGGGGGAAAATACGCGGTAAATACGGTAATTTATTCTGATTCGAAGAATCATACAACATTATGAATTCTAATTTCATACTTAATTTCATAAATATTAATTATAGCTCCCGGTCATTATGATGTCGAGGAAAATGTAAACGTTGTTCGTGAAAACTCTCCAGCATATTCTTTTGGGTTGAAATATAAAGAAGAGAAACCTGATGATGTTCCTGGTAAAGTTTTATTTTTTCAAATTTAATTATACTTCTGTTCGAAGAACTATAATTTTTATCTCTCTGTCTAATTTTATTAACGTTAATTTTAGCCCCGGATCAGTACAATATCCAGAAAGTTGAAAATATTGTGCATAAAACGTCTCCAGCTTATTCATTTGGCTTGAAATATAAAGATTTAAAACCAGATGATATTTCGGTAATCTTGCTTTCCTAACAGAATGATTAAATCTATTTTAATTGAACGAATTATGCAACATGTTTGATTTAGTACATTATGTAAATTGTTTAACTGAAAATATTAACAATGTTGATTTTAACTTTATCGATGCGAATTTTTTCCAGTGTGTTGTTTTGGTTTTAAATATAAACATTAGAAACCTGACGAAATTCCTGTAAATTTAATATTCTTTCATAATAATAATGCATATATATATATATAGATGCATATATATGTATATATCTGTGTGTGTGTTTGTTATTGATTCTCTCTCTCTCTCTCTTTATATATTATATATATATATATATGCATATGTATGTGTGCATAAACCAAACAATTATAAAATAGCTATTTATATCGCGATAGTACAATAATTTTAGCAAACAGATCAGTACGATGTATTGAAAAATTTTCTCTCTCTCTCTCTCCCCTATATATATATATATATATATATATATATATATATATATATATGCATATGTATGTGTGTATAAACCAAACAAGCAAACAGACTTCCGATATTTAAAATGGTTAGCATGGCTATTTAATAGCAGTTTAAACTTTCATACATGAAAACAAAAATAGATCATAGATATTACAAAATGTTATCGAAGAAGCGAACTGATTTGATCATTAATGTTATTTAGCAATTTCCGTCCCCATAATCTGCTTTGTCTGTGTGTAATCTACGAAGTCGTACGTTTTTGGTACACGTGTCGAAATTTTAAAATTAATTTTGAATTTATGTGGTTACTATGTTTAAGTAATTTATTTGTTTTCGGGTTCTCAGACGCTAAATTCCAATTTAAATGTACATTTTAATTGTACTGTGTATTTTCCATTAAAGGAAAACGTTTGTTTAAATGGTTGGTAAATTAAGAGAGATTCTTAGAAATACCGTTTCTAGAAATTTATTTGCTATTAAAAAAAGAAATGGCGAGCAAAAAGTGACTAAAGAACACAAAAACACATGTAAATAAACCAAACATTTATATTCTAATACATATTCTAAACTCGTCATTGTGATGTCCAATAGCAGATGCCTGAAACGTAATCCAAGTGTTTTTATAGGAATTTAAAATTCGGGAAACGATTATTGTTCTTCAAGTTAGACTACTTATTTCGTATCTCATTTAAGAGCACAAAAACAACTTTAATTGATTTCGTCGGGAGACAAACAATTTTTAAATAAAACACATTCATATATATTTAGTTAAAATTCTTAACCTCAAAACATGTATATTCCTATAATTTATAGTCCCCTTACATTTATATAGAGATTACTATTGTTTTATATCTAATAGTGTAATACAATGTGATACTTTTTACATTCCCAACACTAATAAAAACATTCTTAATGATTGAGTAACTTTTCTTTATTTTCAAAATCCGAAAAACAAAGAATTAAAAATAGCTGATTTCCTTGGTAATGTAAAGTATCTAATAATTCATACTCTTTTATTTCAATTACTATACTATTCTAATTGCTCATTCTATTTTGGTAAAAATTTAAATTCCTTTTCATCCAGACAGCAGCAAGTTCCGACCTGCTACGTCTATATGTGTAATGCGAATTTTTGCCCTGCTCAGTACGATGTACAGTACATTAAAATCCTTATTCATTTAAATTCTCTAGCATATACTTTTCGTTTGAAACATGATGGTATATGTTATTAAATAAATTAATGCATTCTCAATCATAAAATTAAAAATTACCGTTTAATATATAAATATTACCCTCACTAATTTTAGCTCCGGGTCAGTACGATATTCAAAAAGTTCAGAATTTAGTTCATGAAAAATCTCCAGACTATTCTTTAGTCTTAAAACACAAAGATAGAAAAAAGGACGATACTCCTGGTAAAATTGCATTTCTCTTAAATAATTAAAAATTTTTAATACAAAAACTACTGCCAAAAATTTTATACTTACTATTAACGAATCTAATCTTAGCATCTATCACGATATCGAGAAAGTTGAGACACTTGTTCATGAAAGGTCTGCATATTATTCTTTTGACTTGAAATACAAAGAAATAAAATCAAACGATATTCCTGGTAATGTACGATTTCTACCAAAATAGTTATCGCTGTTTTCACTGGAACAAATGTAAATTATTTTTCATTCAAAGAAAAAGTTCTGATCCCCTACCTCTGTTTTTAACGTTAACTTGAGGCCCTGGCCAGTACGCTGTCGAGAAAGTTGAAAGGCATGTTCATGAAAATTCTCCAGCATATTCTTTTGGTTTGAAACACAAATATGAGAAATTTGATGATATTCCTGGTGAAGTATTTTCCTATTAAAATAATGAAATATGTTTTGATTCGTAAAATTAATAATTACCGTATATTATATAAATAATACCCTCACTAAATTTAGCTCCTCGTCAGTACGATATTGAGAAAGTTGAGAATTTGGTTCATGAAAAATCTCCAGCCTATTCTTTTGGCATAAAATACAAAGATAGAAATCTGATGATATTCCTGGTAAAGTTACTTTTCTCTTAAATAAATCAACATAGTATTTTAGTTAAAAGAATTACGTTTAACAATTTTATACTTAATATTAATGTCCCTAATTTTAGCACCTGGTCAGTACGATGTCGAGAAAGTTGAAACACTTGTTCACGAAAGGTCTGCAGCGTATTCTTTTGGCTTGAAATACAAAGAAATAAAACCAGACGATATTCCTGGTAATGTACAATTTCCATCAAATTAATTAACGGTGTTTTCTTTGGAACAAATGTAAATTATTTTTCATTGAAAAAACAAAGAGTCCTGATCCCCTATCTCTCTTTTTAACGTCAATTTTAGGCCCTGGTCAGTACGATGTCGAGAAAGTTGAAAAGCATGTTCATGAAAATTCTCCAGCATATTCTTTTGGTTTGAAACACAAAGATCAGAAAGTTGATGATATTCCTGGTGAGGTATTTTCCTATTAAAATAATGAAATAAGTTTTGATTCATAAAATTAATAATTACCGTTTAATATATAAATATTACCCTCACTAATTTTAGCTCCTGGTCAGTACGATATTGAGAAAGTTGAGAATTTGGTTCATGAAAAATCTCCAGCCTATTCTTTTGGCATAAAATACAAAGATCAGAAATCTGATGATATTCCTGGTAAAGTTACTTTTCTCTTAAATAAATCAACAAAGTATTTTAGGTAAAAGAATTACGTTTAACAATTTTATACTTAATATTAATGTCCCTAATTTTAGCACCTGGTCAGTACGATGTCGAGAAAGTTGAAACACTTGTTCACGAAAGGTCTGCAGCGTATTCTTTTGGCTTGAAATACAAAGAAATAAAACCAGACGATATTCCTGGTAATGTACAATTTCCATCAAATTAATTAACGGTGTTTTCTTTGGAACAAATGTAAATTATTTTTCATTTCAAAGAACGGAAAGTCCTGATCCCCTATCTCTCTTTTTAACGTTAATTTTAGGCCCTGGTCAGTACGATGTCGAGAAAGTTGAAAAGCATGTTCATGAAAATTCTCCAGCATATTCTTTTGGTTTGAAACACAAAGATCAGAAAGTTGATGATATTCCTGGTGAGGTATTTTCCTATTAAAATAATGAAATATATTTTGATTCATAAAATTGATAATTACCGTTTAATATATAAATATTACCCTCACTAATTTTAGCTCCTGGTCAATACGATATTGAGAAAGTTGAGAATTTGGTTCATGAAAAATCTCCAGCCTATTCTTTTGGCATAAAATACAAAGATCAGAAATCTGATGATATTCCTGGTAAAGTTACTTTTCTCTTAAATAAATCAACAAAGTGTTTTAGTTAAAAGAATTACGTTTAACAATTTTATACTTAATATTAATGTCCCTAATTTTAGCACCTGGTCAGTACGATGTCGAGAAAGTTGAAACACTTGTTCACGAAAGGTCTGCAGCGTATTCTTTTGGCTTGAAATACAAAGAAATAAAACCAGACGATATTCCTGGTAATGTACAATTTCCATCAAATTAATTAACGGTGTTTTCTTTGGAACAAATGTAAATTATTTTTCATTTCAAAGAACGGAAAGTCCTGATCCCCTATCTCTCTTTTTAACGTTAATTTTAGGCCCTGGTCAGTACGATGTCGAGAAAGTTGAAAAGCATGTTCAATGAAAATTCTCCAGCATATTCTTTTGGTTTGAAACACAAAGATCAGAAAGTTGATGATATTCCTGGTGAGGTATTTTCCTATTAAAATAATGAAATAAGTTTTGATTCATAAAATTAATAATTACCGTTTAATATATAAATATTACCCTCACTAATTTTAGCTCCTGGTCAGTACGATATTGAGAAAGTTGAGAATTTGGTTCATGAAAAATCTCCAGCCTATTCTTTTGGCATAAAATACAAAGATCAGAAATCTGATGATATTCCTGGTAAAGTTACTTTTCTCTTAAATAAATCAACATAGTATTTTAGGTAACAGAATTACGTTTAACAATTTTATACTTAATATTAATGTCCCTAATTTTAGCACCTGGTCAGTACGATGTCGAGAAAGTTGAAACACTTGTTCACGAAAGGTCTGCAGCGTATTCTTTTGGCTTGAAATACAAAGAAATAAAACCAGACGATATTCCTGGTAATGTACAATTTCCATCAAATTAATTAACGGTGTTTTCTTTGGAACAAATGTAAATTATTTTTCATTTCAAAGAACGGAAAAGTCCTGATCCCCTATCTCTCTTTTTAACGTTAATTTTAGGCCCTGGTCAGTACGATGTCGAGAAAGTTGAAAAGCATGTTCATGAAAATTCTCCAGCATATTCTTTTGGTTTGAAACATAAAGATCAGAAAGTTGATGATATTCCTGGTGAGGTATTTTCCTATTAAAATAATGAAATATAGTTTTGATTCATAAAATTAATAATTACCGTTTAATATATAAATATTACCCTCACTAATTTTAGCTCCTGGTCAGTACGATATTGAGAAAGTTGAGAATTTGGTTCATGAAAAATCTCCAGCCTATTCTTTTGGCATAAAATACAAAGATCAGAAATCTGATGATGATATTCCTGGTAAAGTTACTTTTCTCTTAAATAAATCAACAAAGAGTTTTAGTTAAAAGAATTACGTTTAACAATTTTATACTTAATATTAATGTCCCTAATTTTAGCACCTGGTCAGTACGATGTCGAGAAAGTTGAAACACTTGTTCACGAAAGGTCTGCAGCGTATTCTTTTGGCTTGAAATACAAAGAAATAAAACCAGACGATATTCCTGGTAATGTACAATTTCCATCAAATTAATTAACGGTGTTTTCTTTGGAACAAATGTAAATTATTTTTCATTTCAAAGAACGGAAAGTCCTGATCGGCCTATCTCTCTTTTTAACGTTAATTTTAGGCCCTGGTCAGTACGATGTCGAGAAAGTTGAAAAGCATGTTCATGAAAATTCTCCAGCATATTCTTTTGGTTTGAAACACAAAGATCAGAAAGTTGATGATATTCCTGGTGAGGTATTTTCCTATTAAAATAATGAAATACGTTTTGATTCATAAAATTAATAATTACCGTTTAATATATAAATATTACCCTCACTAATTTTAGCTCCTGGTCAGTACGATATTGAGAAAGTTGAGAATTTGGTTCATGAAAAATCTCCAGCCTATTCTTTTGGCATAAAATACAAAGATCAGAAATCTGATGATATTCCTGGTAAAGTTACTTTTCTCTTAAATAAATCAACATAGTATTTTAAATAAAAAAATTACGTTTAAGAATTTTTTTTAAATAATTATATCCCTAATTTTAGCACCTGGACAATACGATGTCGAGAAAGTTGAAACACTTATTCACGAAAGGTCTGCAGCTTATTCTTTTGGCTTGAAATACAAAGAAATAGAACCAGACGATATTCCTGGTAATGTACAATTTGTATCAAAACAATTAACGCCGTTTTGTTTGGAACAAATGTAAATTATTTTTCATTCAAAGAACAGCAATTCCTGATCCCCTATCTCTCTTTTTAACGTTAATTTTAGGCCCTGATCAGTACGATATCGAGAAAGTTGAAAAGCATGTTCATGAAAATTCTCCAGCATATTCTTTTGGTTTAAAACACAAAGATCAGAAAGTTGATGATATTCCTGGTGAGGCATTTTCCTATCAAAATAATGAAATATGTTTTGATTCATAAAAATAATAATTACTGTTTAATATATAAATATTACCCTCACTAATTTTAGCTCCTGTTCAGTACGATATTGAGAAAGATTTGAATTTGGTTTATGAAAAATCGTTATATAATAATGTTTTGTTCAAATAACAGGAAATTCTGATCGCCTACTGTGTTTTTAACGCTAATTTTAGCCACTGGTCAGTATGATGTCGAAGAAGTTGAAAATTATGTTCATTAAATTTCTGCACCATATTCTTTTAGTTTGAAACACAAAGAACAGTGAGCTGAAACTATCCAAATACTTTATTTTTGTTCAAGAAATTATAAGTTAAACTTTTGAAAGTCAAAAGTTTTCTGTGACATTTTTTTTTGTTATATAATTAATATTATGTTTATTTTAAAAACAATTTCCATTGCTAACTTGCATGGAGAATTTATTAATAATTATCTTTAGTTCTTGTTCAGTGGAAATCGAAGAACTATTAAAATCATTTTCAAAACTGTTCAGTATATTTTTTTTTATTTAAATTTTGATTACCTGTAATGGTTTGAGTGAAATATGTTGTATGTCGAAATAATTACATTCCGTTTCCGTCCGAGAAAAATGCTTTAAATCAAAAGCACTAAATCCCTTGATTACCTTTTCATACAAATAGAGATTCATGAGGAATTTAATTGTAATTTATTAAAATTTCGCTTTAAGCTCTGGCCGCTACGATCGCTCGTTAATAAAAAGGTTTTCTTTAAGATTTTCGATGTTGTTTTGTTTAATTAAAATATAATGATTTGGAACAATTTAACGTTTCTGTTTTAAATTAGCTAAATATTTTTGACTTAAATAATTATCATTATAAATTTATATTAAACTTATTAACGCTAATTTTAATGATTGGTCGATGTGACACGGACAAGTGATTAAGTCTATTTAGCATTATTAGTCTTTTGGTCTGAAATATAAGTGTTTAATCCAAATAATATTCTGTTTTTTTTTTTTTTTTTCTCAGATAATAATATCTGGTGTTTCTGACAAAGTCGTGTGATATAATATGTATTCAGAAATTTTTTATGACTGGTTCTAGCATCAGTCAGTATAATAACGAAAGACTAGAAATATCTGTTCATCAGAATTTGCTAACATATTCGTTGGTTCTAAATTATAACGAGTTAAAACCAGCTGATATTCCTGGTAACTTTTTTTTTTTTTTTTTTTGTTTGTTTGTTGTTTGTAATTTAATTAAATGTAGTTAAAACATTAACCACACTGAATTAATTTAGAGTTTTTTATAATTTAACTACTCATTAATATAATATCGATGAAATAGTGAAAGCGGTTAGTCAAAATTTACATATCTGAACTATAAGGATTTCAAATCAGATGGAACTTCTGGTAAAGCGTTTTTACCCTCAGAATTAGAAAATTATTATTGATAATCAAATGATCTTTCATAAATCACTGTGTTAATATTTTATAATTTATGATCAGTAACGATGTCTATGAAGTAAATAAATCCGCAAACTTTCCTTCAAGTACATTCATTTAATGTAAAATATACAAATCTTAAATTGGATGCCATTCAGAGGTAAATTTCTTTCTATTACATAATTTAAAGGTATTTTGATTCAAAGAATTACCCATTACAGACATAACAGGCCTTTCTTATTAATTTACTTAATCTCCTGATCAGTGGCATATCGAGAATTCTCCAGCATATTTCGTTAGTTAATCAAACAAAAATGTCTTAAATCTGATATTATTACCGGTGCATTTTCTTTTCAATCAAAATAATTTAATCAATCAAAAGAGTATGTAAATTCGAATGAACCGCTTTCACTGCTTCATCAATATTATGTTGATGAGTAGATAAATTATAAAAGAACTCTAAATTAATTCAGTGTGGTTAATGTTGTAACTACATTTAATTAAATTGCAAAAAAGAAAAGGTTACCAGGAACCAATATTATTAAACATTACCAATATATAATAGAGTAATTTAGCTGCAGGTTATTACAACTTTCAGATTTTGGTTACTTTACTAACATTTATTTTAGCGTCTATTCATCGCTAAAATGTAGAAATTGGATGTAGAAATGCATCCGATGTAGAAAATGATGTAGAAATTCGCATTCGATCTAGAAAATGATGTAGAAAAATGTGTTCTTCAACAATCATATTCTGTGAAAATATGTGAGAAATTCTCCAACAGATTCTTTGTGAAATATAAGGATCTGAAACTTGATGATATTTCTTTAAAATCTTTTTGCTTTGAAATAGATAAGTTTTATTCGAGTGGCAGTATTTATTACCTTTCAAAAGTCCAAAAATTAACTTCGTAATATATAATATACAGTTTGTATATAACTGATTTAAACGCTCGGTCAATATAGTGTCGAAAGCGTAGAAAAACATATTCACCAAAACTCCCCAGCTTATGGGTTTGATCTCAAATGCAAGGATTTTAAACTATATGATATTCCCGGCAATGCTGTTTTAAGAACTATTGAAATAGTGCTTTATTTCTTTTTTTAACCTACTGTTTTTTAAATTCTTTCTAAATAATTTCAGAACTGATTTTAGCGCCTGTTCAATGCATATATTTTACATATATTTTAATAATTGATTTTAGCCCCTGGTCAGTATGATGTTGAGAAAGTTGAAAAAATTGTTCATGAAAATTCTCCAGCATTTTCTTTCGGTCTGAAGTACAAGGATTTTAAGCCAGATGATATTCCTGGTAAATTTATTTTGAATATGAAAGTCTTAAAATTTCATATTGTAGCTTTTAAAGGACAAGTTAATTTTCAGAATTGAAATATTCTTCAGTAATAAAAATTTTCCCCTTCCAAAGACTATTCTATTTAGAATTGATAGTAAATACTAGAAAATGTGCAGATAAAAAATTTATCACATAAAATTTTGGTAATTTTTAATATGCTAGATGTGATCTTGTGCTGTTATTTCTCCTAACTGCTACCGCTTTCTGTATGTAATATTTCTCGTTTATCTTTTTGAAGCCTTTTGCTCTGAAATTTGCTGTTTTGCTTCTTTTCATTCTCGAACTGTAATTGTGCTTGTGTATAGTTCCACTATTCTTTGTTTTTAATATTAGCTAGTATTGTATCATTTCATCGTATCACAGAACCCAAAACAACATTCTTATAAATTATTTACATAATTTCAGTGTTTGATGAAATAAAATTTTTCTTAAAGGACGTTCGTATTTTTTATTACTTCTTTCAGTTACGATTTTTATTTAAAACGTTAAGTAATAAAGATCGTTTAAGCAGTTCAACAGAATAAACTGCAGTTTTATTCTGCTGAATATTTGTTCTTTTCATTCCAGTATATTTATATCGTTTATTACAATTTTAGGATGAAAATAAGATTTTACTACTGCCGTTGTGTTTCGTTAGTCAGCGCCTTTACTTTCGCCTTTTACGCAGCTTCATTTAATAATGATGGTGTTTTCTAACACTATTCGCCACGTTTAGTATTTTCCGTATACTCAAATTATTAAGTTTTCGGAACGGGAAACACGAATGATCAAATATACGTTCGCGGAAAATCGAACGTCGTATCTTCCACTGGATAAATGAATGTGTTAATCAAGGTATATACTACAAAGGTTATACTACAAAGTTTGCTGTTGTGTGACGTCACTGACTCCTAGTCTTCTTAATAGCAACTTTCTTGGAGGCTCTCTCCTCTCATTTCTTTAAGTAACGTACGCGTTAGAAAGAGTCCAACTTTGTCTAGTACCATTACATCACGCATAAGCGAAAACGCCTTTTTTTAAAGGGGACTGGGAAGAGCCAGTTGGCCAGATACAGTGATGGTGTCACCGTTTAGACTGACACCACTATAGAAACTATTAGGTTATTTAGAACGGAAACTGGGAAAAGTCAACTATACTCTTGCCGGAAATCGAACCATGAACTCTTTCAACTTGATAGCCGGATTTACCAGCTTTTAAGACTACCTCATAATTTTGAATAGCTATTGTTTATTACTATCATATTCCATTAACAAAACGTCAAATCATTGTCGAACTCGCTGTGCAGTCGGCTTGATTCTTAATTTAACTTCTTCAGGTTAACCGCAGAATCTCCAGCAAATCTGATTAAACTATTATTTTTATTTCTGCTACTTACATGAAAAAACGTTTAAAGTACTATAAATTAAGCTTCTGCTGAAATCTGACACAATAATGCGCTCAATTAATTGTGCCGCCACAAATTCTGTTTCCGCACTGAAGTACAATAAAGGGATTAGCTGTATCCCACTGTAGTGATGTTATTCTTGTTAAAGTGCCTTATTGTATTATAACTCTTTTAATCTTACCCACCGTGTCGCCCCTTTTAACCCTACCAGTTATTAGTTATTCTAAGAAGCACATTTAAATAGGGCCGTTCTTGGCGGGGGTGCAGCGTATAAAAGTACGCGGGCGGCCAAGATCAGGGGCGGCCGGACTCTCGCTATACCACGCCTAAATATCTTAAATTCATTGTAAGTACTTGCCATGGTGTGAGTACCTTTTATAGAATTTGTCATATGTAAGTACTTAGAGAGTATGAGATAAAAATTTTATTAAACACTGAGCATCATATTTTTAATTTGGGGGCGACAATCTTATGAAACTACGCGAGCAGCCAATGGCCTAGGAACGACCTTGCATTTAAATATTACTCAGCTAATAGAGTTTAAAAATCCGACTATTATTTGAATTTACATAAATCATTCACGCCACTGCATTTATTTTAACTATAAAGGGATGTAAGCTGTGGGATTACGTAATCCTCTATCAAAATTTCATAACATAGCGGGCTTTGATTGATAGTCAATTATTTATACAGTCAGTATTTAAAGCATTATGTTTAATAATATTGTTTGGCAACACGTCATAAGCTGTAAGAGATACAAAATTGAACTGGAAGCCTGACTTCAATGCAGGATTGCTCAAAAGTGAAGTCTAATCTTTGGAAATTGTCTAAATGTTAAAAAGCCTGGCTTTTCGAGTGTTATGGCGATAGTTAAGTATATTTGCAATTATGTGAAGAATATTTCCACAAAAAGAAACGCGTTTTTGAAAGAGAAACTACAATCTGTGCTACTGTGCTTCTGATGTAATTTTTTATTTTTGTGAAACCGCAAAATATCGCTGATACACTATATAGCATAACATTTTGAAGTACTGGTGAGTTTTATGGTATGAGTTTAAACAAAATTTCTTGTAAGTCAAATAACTGACATGGCGTGTTAAACAGAAAATTTATTTTCCATTACGCTGCTTCAAATGGTTAAGAATGAACTACGTCTTAATTGCTCGAAAACTGAAGAATTCGAAGCTTAAATGAGAAATGCAGTAGTTGTGTTCCATGTGAAATAATTGTTTGAAGTCATTTTGATTCATTCGTTTTGCCGAAATCAGTTAAACTCGAATAAAAGCGTAAAAAATGTTTTTGAAATCTTTCTCTTTCTAGCAACGCAATAACATTCGTTCTCGAATTTTTCAGAAAGGTGCTTCTATTTTTGCCTTTCAGCTGCCTGTTTCAACCAATAGCTTTTGCAAGATCAAAGAAATTTCTAGAATATATAGTCTTATTAACACACTGAGGACGGATAACGGGATAGTTCATGTTTTCAACACGATCTCTTGAAATGCCAACTGTTTTTCTACAGAGGATTTTACACATTTTTAGAATGATTTCGATAAAGAATTTAAAAAAAAGCAAATGATTTGAAATAAACATTCCTTGCAACAGCTTATTATTTGAAATGAGAAATATCATCTGCTACTTTTAAATTTATTCTTATTTCAAAATGTCACAGGCAAATAAGCTGTACATTAAAGGATATGATTTTGCGCTTTCCGAAGAAAAATATTCTAATTCCATAATTCAAAAACGTTATAAAATGCATAGTATTAAAATTTCGAAGTAAAACGTAAGCAACGTTATTAATCGGTCTGTCGGTTATTACTTCTACATCCAAAGAAGACTCCAAAGAAATACCATAAAAAAGTATGTACTGTTTCTAATATTTCTCAAGTTAAATAACTGGTTACAACAGAAAATCCGCCGATGCAGAAATCAATTGCAAAGTCTTTAAATACATCTGTAGAAACAATAAATAAAACAATAAACCAAGGTTCACAGCTTAAAAAAGCTAAAAAGCATAATGTTCGCCAGATTTTGCCGAGGCATGTGACTAAACGCAGAACCGTTTGTAGAATCTTGTAGGAAAAACTATTTAGTAAGAGATAAATGGAAGTACATTATGACCTTTAATAAGGCATGGATTTATCTAAATGACTGCAACAAAAAAAAAGGTCTACTATATATACATATATATATATATATATATAAGATACATATATATAGTAAGGAGTTTATGATTGTCGCAGGATTCTCTTACAATGGGAAATTTAAAATAAGAAGAGTGGATAAAAATCTTAAAATCAACTACAATCGAAAAAAAGTTTTACTCGCGATATTTGCAGAATTATTTCTTTTTCCCGATGACTTTAAAAGAGTGGAACTTTAAAAGCAACAAACTTTCAGTTCAAGTTGTTTCGACAAGTTTCAAGTTTCAAGTTGCAACAAGTTTCAAGACAAAGCAGCAACAAATCATAGTTCGAAAGATTTTTGTGCATTCCTTGAAAAAAATGAATACTGATATTGCCTGCACGCCTTTTCAATATATTCCTGAGAAGTCTAGTGACGTTTTACCTATGGTCTATTGTGCCTTTAGTCTTTTGTAAAGATCTGTCTCTAAGCGCAAACCCAGCACGATTGATGGACTCTGGAAAGCAGTGGAGGAGGAATGGAAAGAATGGAAATCGGTCCCAACAGAAATTTTATGAAATCCCTTCTATCGTGGAATGCATGATTCTATCGTTTGCAGATTGACAATATTTAAAAAAAAAAAAAAAACTATCAGATCGAATATTGAAAAAATTTTAAACATTAAGGCCCTGAAATCGTTCTCAAAATGTGTAAACGCCCTTTGTACATATTGTATCTGTTTATCTCAGCGTATTCAATTCGATTGTCTTCGTGTTCGTTTTTCCTAATTTTCTAATTTTTATTGCATTTTAATGCGTAGATAGTCACTACCTTCATGCTTTTAGAAATGTCCTGTTTCAGAAAACGGAAGGAAATGAGCAAACGGTCAGAGGTTCCTGGTGAGAATGAAAATGCGTATATCTGTGGAAATGGATGTTTTGATGGTTGTGAGGATGACTCTACTGACAAGGTCATTATTAGAGCTGTAATAATATTAGAGCTGTAATTGTCATAATTATTAGAGCTGTAAAGAAACGTAAGATGCCAGAGTTTTCAAGTGATTTCGACACTAACAATGAAGGTGATTCTGTTGAATGAACAATGAAACACTAAAATATAGCCTGCCTAGAAAATATGATGTCACTGGAATAAGTTAAAAAAAAATATTTGGTCTTTAATGTGTCACGATCTTTTTTTATAAATGAAGTAGCATCGGAGTGGCACATTTTCAGAAACTTATTCAACTGCTGTACAGCCGTTAGGTTATATCAATGCTGGAACATGAAAATGGGCAATGCCCTCGCGGGGATTCGAACTTCTCACCTCCCAAGTACACGTCGAGCGTGTTTCCAATTAGACTACGAAGGAATGCTGAAAGGAGCGAGAAAATACTTTATGTACTCCCCCTTTTAAGGGGCGACTGTGGATGAGGGGACCCAGTCGCCAAATCCTGGTGGAAACGAATAATTAATTGTCCACCACCTTTTAGTTCAGGAGCCATTTTAGAGTCATTAGAATATTTTCGATGCCAAGAAACCGATGGAATTTGCAATGCTGTTGCTGGGATTCGAACTCCCGAATACACATGGAGCATATTTCCTGTTACACCACGAATGCATTTGGAATGGAGGGGAGAATACGTTATGCTATCATTGCGTTGGTATCTTCATAGGAAGCGCAGTATTTTTGAGATTTTTTATCTATAACGAAGATTGCATTTTAACCAGTGGAGAAGGTATTTTAAGGTACCATACGTCTCCAAAAATATAGCCGTTTTAATAATAATATTTTGGAGAGTGAATGAAGCAAACTATACACACTTCTTGGGGTGATAAGCTTCTTCCACCACCCTCTTTGATAATGTAACACTTTTTCCTCCCTTTTCTGTTTATTGCGATCCCAAAAATTGAGGAGGTAATGCAGAAAAACCTGTCAAAAGCAGCTTTTTTCTGACCAAATCACCAACCAATGGCCGAGTAGTTAAAACTGATGAACACTGGTAGTTCAACCCGGATTCAAATCCTGGCGAACGAGCTGCCTGCATGGATGTTTTCATGTTCTTTTCCAAGTGTAACAAAAATACGAGCCAGTTTTCCTTAGAAAGTTCTCCACGGTGACAATCCTCTCCTTAAGTAAATAGTGTGCTTTCCAAAAATCAGATAATTTAATCCAATGACTCCTCATTTCATATTAACTCGTTGTTTCTGCGGTCCGCACATGCCTGCAGTATAAGAGCCAGACTCAGAAAAGAAACAGTATATTCAACTTGGACTCAGTAGTAGCTAGTTGCATTAATTGATTTCATTAAATAAACACGAAAGGTTTCTCCTGTATTAAGTCTCTTATAGCATTGCTGCAAACTGTTTCGATGAAGTGCCTTTAGTCCTGAAAATAAGTCTTTTTTTGCAACTGTTATTACCGCTTGTTATCAAAAAATAGTTTTTTTTCAACTTCCATTGATCGCAGCAACAAATGTGAAAAGAACAAAATCTTACTCACATTTTCAACGAAAGCCAAATTATAGAAACTGATTATTTAATTCATCGATATGCTATCTGCGATAGAAATATTGAAACGGTGAGAAGGACCAAAGATACAGAATAGACAAGCACGTGAAATACAACAAGCATGTGGTGAATGTTAAATTTCACAAGTCACAATCTAAGGAAACTACCTTGACATCAACAGCTAAAATGCAGCAGTACCCAGCGAGTTCAGTGCAAATCATACCATGGCATCATAGTACGAGAAGAGTATAAAGAATTCGACATCCCCGTTTATTCCTGAAGAATATGCAAAGGTTAGTACCGCATGCTAAGATTTGGAGGAAAAGAAAATATAAAGCAAAAATGTGAGAATGTTTTCGAGAAAATAAGGGACGAACGGCAAGCGTGAAGGAAGACTGGTGATGAATTCCATTTTCGAGTATACTAAATCTGATAAATGGTGACAGTTATGTTCTCTAAGATGTAGCAACTCGAAAAGACAAATGCAGTCTTCAATTATACTTGCAAAAAGTGTAGCCGAAAATCATACAGTACGAAAAACGTCAAGCTTGTAGTGAGTGATCAAAATGCTATATACTTTTGACTTCCCTAATAGCTGACGTGGTGTACTTCAATTTCAACGACGCAACAAAAATTGCATATGAACTATACCGAGTTTGTGAGAATATTAGGGAGGAATACATTAGGATGAATGTATGACTTCATTCCTACTATGAAAAAGATTCTTGTAAAGGCTTCTCAAGCTTTACATTTGTACTGCGAAATCTTAGGCTTCATCATTCGATAGCCGGTATTATAGCAATGTGGAGTGCTTGGATTAGATACGCTGTTTTCTTGTGTGAAAACTTCGACGAATCAAATGACCTTATCTTGGGTTTAATAAAAGTAGAGCCACCAAGCATGGCCGACAAATACCCGGTGACGTAAACTTAGAAGCAAACTTTTTACAATACATGAAATTAAATATTGAGCGTAATTCAGAGTTTGGAAGTCATAGATATAAAACAGGATCAACGTTGAATCTTGATGGATTTACGAAAGCTAAATTTGAATTATATTTGAGGAGCAATTTAGATGCGGAAGACTCATCAGTGTGTCCACTAATAAGGTCAGCGAAGTATCTTACATTTGTTACTATAGATCATAGTTATATTTTCTTTACGTATATTAATTCGAATATTTTTGTATACCTTCGGAATTCAATATATGTATGAAAGCAAAATTTCCGCTACCTGAATGCTTTGCATTTCTTGCATATTTTTACTTGCTGTATTTGTATTTATATGCTTTTAACAAACTGCATACTGTGACCATTTATGAACTTCTCTTCTGTACTAATTCTGTACATAATAATTTTCCTTCAGCGACCTACTACTAAGCATTTCTTTGTATACTTTCTTGTAACATATTTCTAATGCATCTCTTAGTAACAGAGCATTTACAGCAATGAAAGGATTTTGTGCTACATTTGAAGAGAATTACTGGAATACATTTTTAACTTCAGTTCTTGTTAAATAAGCTATAATAATAAATCTGAAGCTATAATAGTAGATACTTAATAAATAATAATAAACATAATAAAGCTATAATAATTTTATGTTAGTTATATTTATAGTATTAGCAAATACAAATTCTTGGAAGGCATTAATAAAAAGCTAGCTAACGCTAACTCATTTTACTAAATTTTTAAACAAAAGTTATTGTGTTTTAACTTCATAACTTCTCGCATTTAGTACTCAACTAATTAATGTATTTCCTTTACGTACAGCTCCTGGCCAATATGATGTTGAGAAAGTAGAAAAAACTGTCCTTCAAACTTCACCTGCATTTTCTTTTGGCGTCAAGTACAAGGATCAAAAGCCTGATGACATTCCTGGTAAAACTCTTTTAGCCTTAGATTAAAAATTATTTAAATCAGTCAATCCATTTTGTTTCATTGATGCATAGTGGCCTCGATTTACTTAATCATTATAATCAAAGCACATTTGCAGCGTCTTTGAATAAGCCCTATGAACATATTAGTGTTATTCATCCTAGAATGGGCGAAAATAATATCGAATTATAATACTGTACCTGTTATTATTGAAGAAAATGAAATTTGTACCATAATTAGACTATCTTAGATAGTGTTTTGAATGGGATGTATCGTTTAATATCTGTATCCCGTCTTTTTAATATTAAAAACATATCCTACTTTTCTTCCAGTTTTAACAACTTCAAAATTTCTTCAGAGGTTGGTCAATCATAACCTTTATATCCAGTGGTATCAATAATTTCTCTGAAGACACGCTGCACCAATACCACCGAATAGAAAGTTATCCTGTTCTATCAGAGGTTATTTGTGAAGGAAAAAAAAAGAAAAGATATTGGTAGTGGTTGAGTATCTTCATGAAGGTGTCTGTTTTGTAGCGATAGTTTTTTTTTTTTTTTTTTTTTTTTTGTTCTATGCTTTTATTTGTGGTCAAGGCAAATTCAAGAACAATGTTCAGAAATTAAATTAATAACGATGAATTATGTATAGGTAGAATAAAAATGGGATGCCAACCTATCTAAGTGCGTAATACTTATTTCTTCAGTTTTAACATTCATAAATCGCATTTATTGTTTATACGAGTATATACTTTTAAATGTTTGTACTCAGACACAGTTCTGGTGATAAGGCTCTATTTTTGTATTTCTTATATGATGCAAGTGGAGTGATTAAAGAAATTTCTTTTAGAGATACTTCAGCGATTAAAAAAATTCTATTTTGGAGTTTTTTAAGTTAAAAATATTAATTATTTATACGACCATTATGAATTAATGAAAAATGATACATTATAGCAGCATCTCTACTGAAATTCTGTTATATTACTACTGTACGATACATGAATCTTCGGTACATTCATTTATTAAGTTATAAACTAGAAAACACAATATACAATAAACATTACACCAAAATTTCTATAATTAAGTTAACCATTTATACCATTAGAAGAGAAGTAGTACGGCATACGAACTTAAATTTTAAATCTCTATAAAAGAGTTTACCTTTATATTAAGTTTGCATTTCTGAAAAATGTCATAGGTCTTTTTGATATATTTCAGCTCCAGGGGCCTACGACCCCGATAAAAGTATAAAAATTATTCTCGATTCTACCCCAAGTTATTCCTTTGGGATTAAATACAAAGAACCCAAACTCGATGAAACACCTGGTAAATAGCATGCAGCTCAAAGTAGCTGTAGTTTAGTCAACCAGCACTTTTTACACTTCTTTGTACATCACTTTATGCACTCATTTTAGATGCTACTTGCACAACGTAGTGGATCTAATATGCTTAATATGGTTCGTTCCCTGCTGCTGTAGCATGAATATTTTATTTTTATCACATTAGTTTACTTTCATTCAATCTTATGTATGTTGTATTCTTCCCTATGCAATTTTTGTATGGCGACTGTTCGAAGAACTCAAAAGAAAAAGTTGCAGTAATTTCGGAATGAGTTCTATGAAGCATTGCGAATGCTCCTTATTTGAGCAAAGCCGACTCTACATCATGATCTAAAATTGATCAGCAAACGACTATAGATAATCGCAGCCCGTTAATTCATGACCCATACATTAAGTCCCATTTTTATTCCCATCCAAGTCTTCCTGTTATTTTTCATGACAACAAATAACATGTCATTAACTCTTTTATGACATGATTGTTTACATTTCGCAGTTCAGCAATAATTGTTTGACTTATTTCGCTACCTGTACCATGCCAAGCGTTTCATTTTATGTATACAAGGCTTTAGTTTTAGAGGGTTTTGCATAACGATTCAGCTAAATACCAAAATAACTGCATATAATTAAATACCAAAACAACTTGTGGGATGACACATTTTATCTTTATCATATTGTTTAAGAATTGTGTATATATCCATACCCTCCATTCTTAAATTATCTGATTATCATCATCATCAGCAGCAGCAAAGTTAGTTATAATTTCGTAGGTGTATTTAATTATGGCAAAGCACACTAGGGCTATCTGCCTAAGGGTAGGGATGTCTTCGTGGAGGACTTTCTAAGGGAAACTGGCTCGTGTACACATGGGGAAAACCACGAAAACGCCCATGCAGCCAGCCCGTTCGCGGGATTCGAACCCTCGGACCGAACTACCAGTGTTCAGCGACTTTACCGCTCGGCCGCTGTTGGACTTACTTATAATTTCCTAATCTAGTTTTGCGGGCTGGCTGCATGGGCGTTTTCGTGGTTTTCCCCATGTGTAACGTGTATACGAGCCAGTTTCCCTTAGAAAGTCCTCCACGAAAGGCATCCCTCCCTTTAGGCAGATAGCCCTCGTGTGCTTTGCCATAATTAAATACACCAACACCAACACCTAATCTAGTTTTGAGAAAATTCGCCTTTTCTTTTTGGAAAGTATCGCCTTCCACAGTTTCTCATTTCAGGAATATGGAAGATTTTCTTTTGGAAATTTCAAATATATTTCTTTTATTATTCTTAAACCTTTTGTTTAGATGTTTTCATTTCTTTTTAAACTAGTTTTCGATAAAACTATGTTCAGGTCTCTCAAAACGTAATTTCATTAGTTTACATTTTAATATATTGATATATTAGGTTAATGGTAGAATTGTGTACCACTACGGTTTTATGAAATATTAATCCGTTCCTCTTTGTGTCTTACGATTATGAATTTTTTCTGATACTGCTACCATAAAAATAAAGAAAATTCTTCATCTTAAGCAGTACAATATGCACGACTGAATCATCAAGATGGTTAAGTAAATCACTTAATTTTATGCAAAACTTAAAGTAAAAAACAAACTAGTTATTTCATTAGCTTATACCATTCCTTTTAATATACGATATTTTATTTTCATTGCAAATTTTAATTTGAGTGAAATCAGGGCTGGTTTAAGTAATTTCAGAGCCCCCGCAAGTTGGAATATGTGGGCCATGCTGAAGTACCCTTTAAAATTATATTTTTATACCAGGTTCCTATACATTATTATATAATTTATTACTATTAAGATTTACAACCATTATTTATTATCACTAAGATTATTGCACAATTTATTACCATTATATGTGCCCCCCCAGAGAGGCCCCTTTTAAAATTACATTTTCTATAGAATTTTCCTATATATAGAGTATTACATAATTTATTACCACTATTTCGATTGTGTAACATGTTTTGTACATATTTACACAAGTGCTTATACAAATGCTGCATAGCTTACCCCAAAGCTTACCCTTACTTACGCCATTAGTTGTAACCACAAACTCTTGCCTGCTCTTCCAAAGAAAGGCAATTAAGCACGAATGTATTGCAGACCGAAAGAAAGGATATCAGTTGCCACTGGACAGCCAACGAGCAAATTCCACTGGCCAATTCTTCATGGCTTAATGATTAACAGTTTTGATTTCGTGAATTTAAAGTAGAAAATTACTATTTCAGTGAAACATTGCGCCTATTTTTATTAATTTTTACTATGCTTAGAGTGGTCTTTGGGCGTTGCCATTCACCTTTCATTTCTCCCATTAAGTCGCAATTTAATTTTGATAGAGGTCGTGCAGATTTGCTGTAAATTTGCGAAAGATCTAATACGAAAGTTCTTGCGCGGCATTTCTTGATTTCCGGGACATCCGCAGTTGCGTGTGTTACGCGGCTTCCAAACCGGCCCTGAGCGAAATACATCTCAACAAATAAATGCTTTCATTTTGTTTATGTTAAGCAATTTTAGATTTAGAGTTTGACAACCTTTCCTTGAAACCTATTTAAAGATACATGCGATTGGTATATGTTTACAAAGGAAGTTCTACAATCGTTATCTTAGAAAGTCTCCACGAAGGCATTCCTTCCCTTAGGCGGTTAACCCTAGTGTACTTTGCTGTAATCCAATGAATCCAGTCTATAATCGTTATATTCATTACATTGCGATGGACCCGTTTCTGATTTTTGTAAAAGTCCCAGGCCTCCATGGTCGTCGTCCTACACGGACTATACATAAATCTTGGGTACAGAAGATCAATCTTCTCTTTTGGGCGGCATCTTGAAGGCGGGCCCACCAGCGGCTGAGCGGTAAAGTCCCTGAACACTAATAGTTCGGTCCGAGGTTCGAATCCCGCGAACGGGCAGGCTGCATGATCGTTTTAGTGGTTTTCCCCATGTGTAACGTGTTAACACGAGGCAGTTTCCCATAGAAAGTCCTCCACGAAAGCATCCCTCCCTTTCGTATAATGCCTTAGGGCTGAATACGTAAATAATAATAATAAATCAGATCTGATGTAACGTTATCTTGAACGCGGGTGTGGGATCTTTAACTATTGATCTGCTGCTTTCAATCAAAAATGAGTTAGTACATGATGATTTGAAAATTTCATTTTCTTGTAATATTGTTATTATCGATATAAAAAACAGAGAAGGTCCTAGCTTTATGTTTTAGCAAAAGGTCTTAAATAATATTTTTTGCAGTGATTCCCCTGTTTATTAGTTACATATCGGATAATGATTTGTAGTTTAAAATGATGTTCTTTACGTTTAATTACGAAAAATTAATGCAGAGGGAACCTCTAAATTATCATTATATGTTCAAATAAGTATGTCCAAAGTAAACATTTAGAGTGAAAAATGATTTAGTGAAAAAGGTTCAAACATAGGTTTCTGACATTTTCTTGATATAATATTTCGTAATTTGAAAACGCATGTGGAAGAAAAAAAAAAAAAAATAAATTAAACTAAAAATGTCCATACTGTATAAAAATTAACATATTCGAGCTTTTAATCATTTAAAGAAGTGGTCTCACTTTCAAGTTGCACCAAGGCCGCATGCACGATCTGAAAGCAGCTAATGATCCGGAATTTTTTTATACAATATTAAAAAGTTTTCCGTTTAACAACATAAAATGTTTTAAAGTAAGTTTTTAATTTTATTTACTAATACTAATAATAATTAATAATAATAATACTAATAATAATTTTATTTACCCGAATGTTGTTGTCAAAACATACATAAGCAGTAATAATAATATCTCAATAGAAAATACTTAATTTCTGTCTGAAATCTAAAGGCTGATATCTGCTAGAAATTTCTGGTAGTTAGATTTTGTAATTAAAATGTATTGACAGCTGAATATTAAATTTACAGCCTGGCATTTAATTAAAATAAATCTAATAACAATGCAAATAAATAATTAAATAAATAATCTTCAATTAAACAAATTTTAAAAACTGTTCAAGTGGAACAAAACCTGAGCATAAATAATGGCAGTCTATTTTCTTTCTTTTATGTATTAAATTTTTCATCCACCCATACCGAAAAAAATATATATATATATATGGAAATAATTATAAACTGTTTTATTCTTACTTCAACTTTTAATTACAAAAGCTCATAGCTTTTCGATTTTGATAAAGTTCGTAATCTTGGAGAAAAATTACGAGAAACTATCTTCATCACGTATTGTAGATGTTCACCGGTCAATCTGGCTCTTTTTTTAGAGTTTTTATTTTTTATGGATGTATTAATTTTCATCTGCGGGAAAAAACACTATTCACATATAAAAATACTCACAAACAAAGCGATTATTCTTGTAAGGATTATATTAATTTCATTAACAGTTAAATTTTAAGTTAAAGTTCCTTTCCTGTCAAATTCTTAACTTCAACTTACTACTTCCGGCCAGAACGTAGTTTCGGAATCTTGCTGAATATTTAATGAGGAGGAGCGATATTTAAACAACGAAGTTACTTACAGAGTCAGATAGAATCAGAGTTTCTGATTTACGCGTGTCTGCCCTTTTGGCCACTCTCTCTCTCAAAGCTATTATTACGCTCGGCCGTTGCTAAGCTTCGTAGTCAAATAAGTTAAGGGGCCAACTCGATTTGAATCTTGATAGCTTCCGCTATATTTCTTTAGTTAATCTTTGTTTTAGTTTAATTCTTAGTCTGTTAAGTTCAAGCCCTAGTTTCGGCTTTGTTTGTACACTCTCAGGCGGAGTTCTGTTAAATCTTATTGGAATAATAAAGGGTTAGTTACCCTTCTATCTTGTTGTTTCTTGTTACCCGAACTTGAGCGATTATTCGCTATCTAGTTCTTAAGACTCGTCATTTTCTACAGTAACTGAGATTTACACAGTGAAAATCTTACATTCTTAATGTAAAAATTCGTAACTGAAGGTATTTATCTTCTGACAAGTATGAAAAAAAGTTAATCAAATTTGTGTCTTGAAATCTTTGAATAAGAATTATATCACAATGCAAATTAATTAGATTCATTTGTAGATTTTTTGGGGCGTTACTAAAGTTCGTTTCTGGTAATGAAAATAAAACAAAATTGGGCTCCAAATCATTAGAATCTTAAACTGTTTTCCTCAAATTCTTGTAATAATTAATGCCATAATCATGCTAATTAATTGACGGGAAATATATCCGTCGACCGTGTAAAATTACTTCGGAAGTCGCCAGTTTGTGACCACTGATTTAAAGTGTAATGTTTCGAATAAAAGCTTTGCGGAAGAAGATTTTATTTTATTGCTTATTTCAGCAACTTTTCGCTGCATGATTTTGCATTTGCCACACCTATTATGGTGAGTTCTATGTTTTTCTGACCTGCCAACATGCGGATCTTTTAGCTCCTGGTACCTATGATGCGGACCAAGCTTTGAAAAAACTCTTGGATTCTACACCAAGATATACTTTTGGAAGGAAACCTAAATCACCGAGTATAGAAGATATTCCCGGTAAATAGGAATTAATATATAAATAGATCCTATAACGATAATTAGGGTCCCGCTAAAGAGAACTATAAATATAACCTAGAATGTAGGATTAATCTTTAGTTAGAAGTAAAGTTGGCGAGGATTTTTTTTTTTTTTTGTAATTTTAGCAGATTTTGTAGACATTACAAAAAATATTTTTACTAATGCTTATATAGCTTACTGAAAACAATTCGCCGTCTCATATTTGCAACTAAAGGTTAGTCAAAGCTAGAGCTTGAAAACTGCATGCAAGCAAATATTTTTTTCTTTAATATTAAGCTCTTTAAATTGAGAAAATCAGAATAAATAAATAAATAAATATCAAAGCTTTCAGATTTTACATTACATCCAAAGAGACTTTTTTTAACCTTTTGTTTGTTACCTTTATTTATTAAATATCGTGTTCTTTGCACTTAAACCATAAAATTCAATTCAACAGCAATATAACAAAGTAATTTTAAAATGAGTATATCTTTAGAATTTCCGATACACAGTCCCGCGCTTTTTTTTTTTTTTTTTTTTTTTTTTTTTTTTTTTCCGTACAGTGTTGCTATTGCTCGCTTTGAAATCGTTGAGTTTGTTAACCAAAAATTCGTTGAATGGTTGAAGTGTTACAAAATATGAAATTGATAATAAAACAAATTCCAAATTAGGACTTCCAGATGCGCATATTCGGTGGAAGATTATGTTATTCAAAATTTGATGGCTCTAGGTACCTTTGTTTTATCACAGTGCGAGAAACATAGATACATTTATGCAGATTCTTCATCATTTAATTTCTTTAAGTATAATGCAGGGCGATAATATTTGATAGCAACAATTTTAAAAGTAAACCGACATTTGAAGTTTTCAAAGCAAAGTGCCAAAACGAAATTAATAGCCCTTCTGGGCTAACGCCCTTTGAGCTAAAAAGGTGGATTTACTCAATACTTCTAATAAACTAAGCTTTGGGAATAAGAAAATAATAACAATCACACGTTTTCGATTTTTTATTCTTCTTTTTGCCCTAGGAAGTAAAAATGTGTTCTCTTATTAAAAACGGATTTTAAAAAAATACCAAAGATATTGCAAAATGTTTATACTTATTCTTCCATCTTACTTTTTAATGATATCAAAAACGAACTTTAATTAATAAATGATCTCATTGCTAATAACGTGAAATGAAATCAAATATTTCGGATTTTGTGCAAAAATAATAGTGCAGTTACCTGGAAAAGTTTTTTTTTTAACATAAATATAGTATTTGCTAGTATTTAACATTATATTTGCTGCTAATATTACTTGCTCTATTTTAAACTGCTTGATATGTCAACATTATAGATGCTATGCAAGTATTACCTAAGGATGCGTTCAAACCGTAGCTTAACTTTTATTAATTCTTACAGTCACGTTTTCTATGCGTCGTATGAGCCTTCATACTTATAGTCTGTTACTTTACAAAAGGCACTTTAAGCAAAGAACGTCTATGTACAATACGTCTACGTACAATACACATTCTTTGCTTAAGGGCGTCTCCAGCTCCACCTCATACACAGTCGTAACGCATGTCGTCATCATCACACGCACATTATTTTCTTTGAGACTGTAGTTCAAGTTAGCTTTCATTTGCGTGCTTTTCAAGAAGCGAACACGCTGAATGGAAATGAACTAGGGTAAAAGCGACTCGACTTTTTCCCGCAGTTGTTGTTCCCGTAATAACGATTCAAATCGGGCGACGGAAAATAACCTTGATGTCCCTGTTTTTAAGTAACAGGCTGTAAAAAAAATCCCTGAAGATTTAAAGTTAAGTCTAAAAACACAAATAAATAATGATGACCAAGAATACCATGTTATTTCTTTGAAGAATCCTCTCTGCAAATAGAACGAAAGCAGCAAATTTTCATGCGTCAGGTTCTGTCTCTAGGAACGAGCCAATGCTCGAGATCTGGTAAACTAACGCTGAGCGCGGGTAATTCGTCTTAGTGAACGGAATGAGTACACTGGGTACACACTAATTACCACCATAAAATGAAAACAATAGCATCTTTATGACACTGAGGAAAAAATATAATGAAACTGTTTTATCTTACGTGTTCTAGTTTAATGTTTAGAAAATAGAACATAGTAAGTATGTTATAAAAACGTCTAACAAAAGTGAATTTTTACTCTTTCGCAGCTCCGAATTCTTACCACATTCCAGAAACTATTGGAGGTCATGACAGCACTCACTATCAGGCTCCCAGTTTTACTATAGGAGGCAAGGAAGGAGACATTTGGACTACCAATAAGGTAAGTGTTAACTGAAGAATGCAAAAATATAAAGCATATAATTAACTTTTTCAAAAATCATAAAAACATTTCTTTGGTAAACATTTGTTAACTACGTAAAGTTTGCTAAGTATAAACCAAGAATAATATTAGATAAAAATATGGCAATCATTTACAAGATGTAAATGAACTTGTTGAATACTGATTATGAAAAGGTCAGTATAATTAAGAATTAAGTGTTGCCTTAGATCGTAAATTAAATTTTTTAACATAAATATCACGAGTTAACTCTATTTTGCTGCCATACATGTTTTTAATTTAACTTAAATTTATATTATTAGTAATGAACAGATATCTGTCATTTTTTCACCATTTTGTCGAGCAGAGTATTAGATATGAAAAACAATCGTTCGTTATTTAAACATTCTTTTGAGCTATCGGTTAAAATAGATTAGCGACTAAGTAAAGGTGTGTGATATATGCTAAATGTGTCAGAAGCCGATGAGTTAGTTACACGTTGAATTTTATATTAAATATAATATTTCTACAATTATTTTCCCCTTATTTGGTAACTGAAAATGCAAATGCGAAAAATGTGTGAATTCTTCTATGGTCTCTTTATCCTTATTAATATACTTCTGTTTATTTTGCTGTCAACCTTGATAATAGACATTATGATTTCCTGAGACATACTTAATATTTATTTAAAAATTAATGGGACAGATTTAATATAAGACATTTTGAAATGTGATGTACATAGTACAAATTTTAAAGCAACATATAAACAGTCCATTTTTGCTAGACAAAGTACTTTAAAATTAGAAAAAAAAAAATTAATTAACAACTGATTTCTGATACTTGAAAAGAAAAAAAAAAACTTAAACAGAATGAATAATGAATAATTCTGCTGTTTCCTACAGATAATAAAATGTGAATGAAACTTCCGAATGTTTTTGATCTGATGTCTCTGACACTGCAGATTAATAGTCAGCGTCATTTTCAGCATTTTGTATACAGACATGCAATTGTGCAGTTATCCAGGGTACGAGGATTAAATCTTTTGAAATAACTTGGAAAGAGGCCACAGAAGACTTGTTGCATTAAAATCTCCTCTTAGGATATAATAAGAGGGGAGCTGTAATACCCACTGGCTGACTGATCATCTGTATTCCCTCTTGCCCCCCCCCCGTGGTTGACTCAGGCGAACGCCTGAGAAGCATGGAGGTAGGAAGTAACCTTTCTTACCTCCATGCTGGGAAGTACTGGTTAGGATCTGTACCTAGGCAGTCTCAACCACGGGGGTATAAAAACAGACTTCACAGAAGGCCTGAGGGCTCTCGGGACAGAGTAAGGCTCGTCAGGGACCGTACTAGTACTGCCTTGTCTGCCCTTGCTCTGTGGGGTCGCAACATGGTAGATTGTAAGTGCGGTGGGGAGGTACTTAATTCCGTTTGGCAAAATAGCCTCAGGTCGGAAGCTGCCCCATCCGTTAGAGTTGTATTCCCTCTTGGTCAAATGTATATTGATGTAATTGACAATTTTTGTCTTTGGTGTCTGTCGTTTTGAATCAGTACAGTGTCGTTTATACGTTATATCAAAATTAAGGACAGACGCTCGTTGTGTACAATAGTTGCTAATTTTGAATTTGAAACGTTGTTTTTATGCGTTGAGGAATTTCCTGGTATGTATTCTTAATTAAGGTTGCTAAACCAAAGCTACATCTGGATTTAGCTTTGATTTGGAGCATGTATTGAGTGAAAGAAACGGTTGTGAAGTAAGAATTTGTGCTTATCTGTGCTCCTCACCATGATGGTATGTTTTCATCTATTTCACATTCTATCATTATTTTGTGTTCATCAGTTTATTATTTGATTTTATAATTATGCGGTTTTAGCAAAGTAGAATGAATGTAACCTGTGCTTAGCCCAAAACAACCATTTTATTTTTTTTAAATCTGGTTTACCGTCAGTAATTTTAGCAACCAACCAACCAACCTCGACATAATCGTGTGCCTCGCTACTGTTTTGTTAATTGAGATTGACGAAAAAATTGAAATTAAATTTCTATGAACCACAACCGTGTGCACTTTTCCTTCTTAGATAACGTTCGTCACTTCTCCATTAGGATCCCTTCGTCTCCATTATCCAAATGGTCTTGTTGTCCGTAATCCATCATTATCTTGTATTTTCTATGCCAGAAAAAATATTAATTAGATGTTACTTTTTTTCAGAAATATTTCTAAAAAATAAGATGGGGAAAATAACAAGGAAATGTGCTGCTACGAAAATGCAGTGCCATATTCTGGAATTTTTGTCGCGAGTTTAGTTTATGTTTTTATTTCCCGAAAAACGATTATTTCTAGATTGCATCACTAGGACATGTAAAACATTTAAGAATTTAGGCAGCTGTTATTATTATTATTGTTGGTGGTGGTGCATAAACTGCATTACATTGATAATTTCTTTCCTGATAGAATCCTGGTCCTGGCAGCTATAATGTTCCTGAAGCCGATAAAGTCAAGCAAAAGTCTCCAGCTTACAGTCTGAGCCATCGAACCAATATACCTAAAGACAAGAGCAAAAAACCTGGTCCAGGAGCCCATTGTCCCGAAAAGGTAATTTTTTTTTTTTTTTTTTTTTTTTTTTCCCATGTGGCATAAAAAAACTTGCAACTGGAAAATTTCTTGTTGCATTTGGCACTTAATTGATACTCATACTTAAGAATTAAAAACTTTTCAAAACTTCTCTAGAAAATTCCTGGTTTTTAATGAAACAGTAAAGGGATATAAATGCATAATAAAAAGAGAAAAATTATAGACATTTAATATGCAATTATATACATCTAATTTGCAAATGGAGATAGATAGATATAATTTCCATTTAAATTTCTAAACAAATAGGTACTGATGCTTATGTGAACACATTTAAATACATTAAACTGGCATACGTTTTGGAGATGAATTTTATTAATAACGCCTTCTGTGAAACAAACGAAACACTTTTGAAAATTTTGTTAAATTAAAAATTTTTAAATTTATTGAATTTGACTGAAAATACTTTTAGACCATAAAGTTCACTATTCTAAACCTTAAAACTGATTTGATAAGTTTTAATGTAAAAAGTGCGTTTAAAATCGGTGTAATGTATATCAAAGGTATAGTTAAAAGATGTATCGTTTGCCTCCCCCATGTATTCAGATATATTCGTAGCCTTAACGTAAATCCCTAATCCACTGGTATACTTTACAGAAGGGCAAAACTGTTTTTTATAGGACAGATTCAAGCCGTTCAACTGAATCAGTTACGAATGACCGCTCACTTACAGATGACAGGTGAGAGCGGATCCGGACACCCGGGCGGCTTACTAGGACTATTCGGGTATCGTCCGGAATCCGCAACTGTACAACGCGACAATTCTTTGGCGCCCCAGAAGCGCGGCGTCAGGATCTTAATAGAAACTTTTGTTGGTGCTGTATATTGAAATTTGAGCATTTTAAACTGATATTTAAAACATTTTACAATAATTGTAATTTACAATACATTAATTATATACTAATGCACACACTACAGCTATTACATAAATACACAGCTGGCCACCCAAATTGCAACACCAAGAAAGACAAGAGATATCACAACAAAATTTATTTAGTGTATAACATGTTGACCAAGTATAAAATGATTAAATTTATAGACTTCTGTGAAGTGTAGTTCCTTCCAGAATCAGTAGCCAGAATACTCGCCCATTGTTGGAGATCACCGCTGCCACACGCCTCGGCATTGATTCAAAGAGACCTTGGATGTGTTACAGCAGACTAAGTAGCTTCCACGCGTTGCCAAAATTGATCTGGTGTGGCAGCTTGGGATGTAATCTGGGTCAATCGTTCAGAAATCATGGACCACATGTTTTCTATCGGCGAAAGAACCGGAGAGAGAGTCGGCCAGGGAAGCAATTCAATCTGGCGATTGACGAAGAACCCTTGGACAATGCGTACCACGTGTGTTCGCGCATTATCCTGTTGAAATATGGCTGTGGGCAAGCCCTGAAGGTAAGGAAGGAAAACTAGCTCCAACATCTCGGAGATGTAGCGGCGGCTGTTTACCATAATACCCGGTGCAGGGCCAGTGTGGCGGTGCATAACGCAGCTGTTCAGCATCCTCTCTCCACGGTGTCTCCAGACTCGAATCCGACCATCGTGATGTTGCAGAGAGAAGCGTGACTCGTCAGTAAAGACAATTTCATTCCATTCTACAGCCCACCAGCGGCCGAGGGGTAAAAGTCGCTGAACACTGGTAGTTCGGTCCGAGTTTCGAATCCCGCGAACGGACTGGCTGCATGGGCGTTTCCGTGGTTTTCCCCATATATAACGTGTATACGAGCCAGTTTTCCTTAGAAAGTCCTCCCCGGAGGCATCCCTTCCCTTAGGCAGATAGCCCTTGAGGCTTTGCCATAATCACACACACACAAACATTCCATTCTGCCGTCCACATACTTCATTCATCGCACCATTGGCGGCGGAGATGTCTGTGGTTTTGCGTCAAGGGTAGACGAAGCAGTGGACGTATTGCGCACAGACTACTCTGCTGTAAATGGCGTCGAATGGTACGCGCAGACACTGGGTGATGCGTTACAGACTGAATGTGCTGTGCTATTGTTCGTGATGTGACTGAGCGATCCGTCACTGCCATGCACACAATATTCCTGTCATCACGTGAAGTGGTGCCCTGAGGTGGATGCGATAGAACACGTTGGTCCGTCGTTCCCTCCTGCGTCCAACGGTCACATATCCGCATTGCACTTGTTTGGTTTCGTCCAACACGACTACCGATTTCCCTGAAAGATAATCCACACTCTCAGTAGGCCGCTATCCTTCCTCTGTCGAACTCAGATACTTGATCAAACGATGATGGCTGTTTACTACGAATCATAATTGATCGTTTTTTAAAAGGAGAAAAAAAAAAAAAAAAAAAAAAAAAAAAAAAAAAAAAAAAAAAAAAAAAAAACCCACAAGAAAAACACAATTTCCGAACTTGAAATCGTCGAAAACTCCAAGCCAATAGCGCTTTGAAGTGGCGCCAAAGGCGCGCGTGATGTGCGTCTGCGCTGAAATTCTAATCATTTGCATATCTCACCTCCGCTAATGCATGTTGTAAATTTCACGTTATTTGCATGCTTCCTTTAGGGTGTTGCATTTATGGTGGCCAGCAGTGTATTACACATTAATAATTAAACATTACCGTGGTGCACTTTATGTGCACCTAGGTTTAAACACTGGGAATAAATTATTACAATAATATTTGTTTTGCACATGCGTACGTTGTTCCTTGTACATAAATATTCCACATTAATAAACATTTTACTCTTGGTTAAAGGCCAGTTGTACAATGATTCATACATATACACATAAATAAATATACACACAATAAGTTACCCTGGTTCATTTTACATATATAGTAGCTGTGGATAGGTTAGTTACTTTAGAATGTTCATGTACTGGGCTCCATCATAAACACACTAAATAGCACACTAACATGCCGCACAAGAGCACTTGTACCATACAACGAGACGCTCAGGAATAAGGCAGTAAGTACTGAAGACCGCTCACTTACAGTAACTTCATGAATAAGATCGGGAACGAAGAGCTAATTAAGAGGGGTGGTCGAAATGGGATGAAGAATGAAAAGAATCGAATGAGGCGTCAATCAGAAGAATCGACAGTATTGGACCGCTAAACCCCTGAATTGGTTTCGTTCAACTTTAATTTTGAGATTTCCTAAAACCTCCTTTCTACATAGAACTAATACTAAAAATATAAAAATTAAACTCATTCCCTTTTTAGAAAAGAAACATTAATTTCTTCCCTAAAATTTGAATTGAACTTTCCCGGCAAGCTTTCAACGAGTACTATTGCTGAACCACGAAGGATCCCCCTTTTGCCCAATAAAGTGAATCAGTTCTCGAGTGGGGCGCACATCCGTAGTATACTTGGGCTCTATGATTTAAGGCAGCTCATTTATAAAAAAATGCATGTAAAAGTAAATCAAGTCTAATTTTATCACGAATAACATCTAGAGGCTTCTATTCATTATAATGCTATATTGAATCTTTCAGGGTACTTGGTCCCATCATCTGGGCATCCGTCCTACCCCGACTTACATGGATTTGATAAGCTTGCCCTCGGTCCGACCGAGGGGAAGGTTAAGTATGTTCATTAATCCCACCACTCGCTGCATCTCACTATGCACCAATATTATTTTCATGCTGCACCTCTAAATGTTTTTAATTTTTCTCTAAAATTGAAATGAAATTAGTAAAATGACTATTACATGCTGATCTTTACTCCTTGGGAGAGTATAGCAGTTTAATTTTATAGAGATTTATGAATGAGGAATACTTGATATTGAAATTAGAGTCTGTATCTGCAACGTACAAGAGTGTCCGTATTTTCTGAGTAATATCTCCATATCGTTATACTGGATATTTTATTGTTTATTATGTTTTTTATTGAGGAAGCATAAGTAACATGTACTGCATTACTATTATTTCATATTTTTCACATATTTGCATGTTATGCTTCATACACTAGTGGGCAAAACTGAGTAACATTTTCCAACATACAACCAAGAAATTGTTGAAAAAGAGGTTTTGCGATTAATGTAGTGAAACGTCAACTCAGTAGAAAGGTGCAAGTATCAGCATCACGACGCCAGAGGTTATCTCAGGGAAAGCAAAACGCGAGGAGTCAGCGCACTCATTACAAACCAACTTTACAAGAAGAAAGGAAGGTGCATTTTTAAACATTCTTCTGAAAGTGAAACTAAGATTGTAAGTGCAGTATGGCTACAAGAAAACATCAGGATTCCTTTACATGTGGTAGAATGATTAGCAAGCTTGAGAAAAGGCATAGTTTGACGTCTGTCACCCAAGAGTTTGGAAATGACAAAAGTGTTGTTTCAAGAGCTTGGAAACCTTCCAAACGACAGGTACAGCTTTGAAAAGGGTCAGGTCAAAGAAAGCAGCGCTGATCGATACATTGTCCTGCAAGCAAAAAGAAGTCTGAACGAGTCAGCAGGCAACATCGCTCAGCAGTTACGCATACCAACCGGACAATAGGTGTCCCGGTTTACTATGGCTACACGAGGTAGCCTATCCGCCAGATGTCCTGGACACTCCCTAACATTGACAGCAGCCCATCAGCGGCACCATTTATAAAGGCGTAGAGAACCCAAAGATAGGGCACCTCATCAATGGAGTCACCTCTTCTCAGAGTCATTTCAGTGTGACAAATGATTCTCCGTGCCAACTGATATGGAGAGAGGTAGAGATACGCTTTCATACCCCTAACATCAGAGAAAGAGATACTTGGGGTTGACCTGGTGTGCTTATATGGGGAGGCATGATGAATGGACCATTCTCGACAGAGGCTCACTTTTCGGAGATCGCTACTGTAATGAAGTTATCCTGCTCCTTGTGCGTCTTTTCCGGGATGCCATTGGTCCCGACTTTCGTTTTATGAATGACAATGCACGGCCACACAGGACTCATGTTGTTGAGGAACTATTGGAAAGGTAGGTTCATGCTTCGTTGATTTAAATCCATTTAATATGTGCGAGATTTTTCAGGGAGACGCCTGGCGCTATGATCTTACCTTCCAGAGAACAGCAGGCAACTGAAACAGATGCTCCTTGAAGAATGAGAACTCTTACCTCAAGAAATGTTAGAAAATCTGGTGCTGAGTATAGACAGATTGCGCAAAGCAACCACTGCAATGAGAGGTCTCTTCTTTGGTATGTTGCTGTCCCTCTCGGCAGGCAGTTTTTGTACCAAGATCATTCTGTCAATGAAGCATTTTTCTTTCTCTTCTATACTGTATGCGTTTTATTCATTATTTGCTACTATAGTTTCCTTATCTTTTAAATACTGCATTGCTTTGTGCCTGTAGTACGAATTTCATGTTTTCCAGTTGATTTTTTGCAGATTTACGGCCAAAATCAGAAAAGTTGCTTAAGTTTTGCGCACTAGTGTATGTATTGATTACAGATGTTAACTCTTGTAAATAACTGATCAAATATATCGTATATAATTCAGGATTTCACTATATATAAGTAAACTTAATAAAGTGGCAGATGTTTAATTGTCATTAGATAGATGACCTTTGAGTAAACTTATAGTTTAGTCGACATTAAGTTAAAACAGTTAAAAAAGGTAAGTATCATCATTTCAGAAACTGAAGAAAAGAGCAAGTGATTTTTGTTACGAAAAATTAATGAAATAGGATCATAGATTTAATTTCCATATTCACTTTCATTTTTTTTTTCTTTTTCTTTTCTTTTGCATTTAATGTATCCTTCCTCCACCCTTTTTCTTAAATCCCCGTTCAGATTTAAACCTAAGTGCTAGGCTTTATGTTATCTGGTACAATCTCCGCGGTCCACTAGCTGCACTAGCTTTGGGACCCACCCTGTCTCTGCTGCTCACTTCTATAAAATGTGGATTAACTTCTGTTCCTTATCTCAACTAATATAGCGTCTTTTTTTTTAATTTCTATTATATATTAACTGTTCTTCTAAATACCCAGCCAACTTTGGTGTTATTTTAGATCCATAGTTAAACTGAAGAAAGCGCATAGAAATAGCGGCAGAGGAAGGAAGAAAAACTCCAGAACATGCATGGTTTAAAAAACAAAAAGTATATGCAGTTCATTCAAAAATTTACTTACAAAGGCCATGCTACAGCCATCCCTGTTAGATGGTAGTCAGTGTAAATGCAGTGAGGAGTCGGAGTTGGCACAAGCACCCTTTCGCTATTACAGATATGTATAATGCTACCAAAGTGATTTTGAATTTATTTTTTATAGTTGCGCGCATCCTGAAATTTAAAAACAATTCTAAAATTTTTGCGATTTCTAAATTTAATTACATGACCTCATATGGGATCATGACTCACATTTTGAGCGGCCCTGTTCTAGAATAGAGTACCATGTATTTATTTAGCACTCAGAATTATTTATTTAGTTCTGAGTGCTAAAGTTTATTACTCGGAATTTTAAAAAATTTCACTTTGAGAGGAAATAAAATGTCCTACTAAATTATTCACCAACTCATTTTTTTTTCTTTAGGTGGTAATGCAGCATAGTCCTGCATTCTCATTTGGTATTCGGCATTCTCCTTTTGCCCACCAGTACAAGAAAGATGTCTCTGTCAGAAATACAAATAGGACAGTTGTTGAAAAGATCGCCACAAAGTCTGATAGATATGTCAACAAGAAACGGTGAATTCCAATATTTGGGCCGAAGACAACACAGTTTTTGTGTCCAAGCAAATTAGAAAAGTCTGAAAGTGAGAGATATGAGACACCCTAAAATGATATTCGATACTTTATAAATTAAAAGTGATAAAAGTGAAAATAAATAAAACTGCCATATTTTAAATCCTTCTTAATTTATACACTATAGTTTTTTAATACAAATAGTTCCATGTTATGGCTTCCAGTCAATATTTTCCTTCTGAATGTAAATAAATAACATAAGGCGTATGATTTATTTTATAGCTTTATGTTGCTTTTTATGTATTGTGTTTGACATATAGCATATTCTTATAAATTTGCGTCGAATAAAATATACATGCTAATAAAGTTGAAATGTTATTTTTTATTTTTTACGTTATGTGGGCAGATACTCTATGTAGTGTACATAGTACATTTTCCCCCATGGAACTGAAAATTGCAATTTTTAAAATGATAATGCTGAAAGTTATTTAATAATTAATTGAAATTTTTCCTTCGCAGATTAAACACCTTTAAAGTATACTTTTTAAATATTGAAAAATCAAAGATTAATATGGATTTTCGAAGAGATTGGAAGCCACTGGTCATATTATTAAAATTGAGATCATAATTTGTGATATTTTAGTTCCTTTATTTTATAAGTATCTTTTTATTAAAATATTTTAATATTTGAGTTTTCACTCACGAAGTTCTTAAGAAATTGTGATAAATCCACTAGATTTTGTGTGCATTATTTGGCATCAATTAAGGATCGCAAACTTTTATACCGTTTCCACCCTGTTATTCCGACAGATGGGTAAATGAATTAAAAAATACTTTTTTTTTCTAATATTTTGTGCAAGTGTGTGAAAATGATAATATAGGGATATGACTAACTTAAATGCTAAGGACTAATGCAATTAGTGCTTCATGTGTAAGATTAAACTCGCTTTCTACTAACATTTGAATGCGTGGAGATCGATACCCGTGAATCATGGATAAAGACATTTGTTATCATTTTCATTGTATTTTGATATGTTAATAGCTTTAGATTTGATGTAAATTGCTAAATAAAGAATTACATTTTTTAAAAAATGATTCGTGCCTCCTCTTTTATGATACTCAAATTCTCCTGATCCATGTCAAAAATAAATTTAAGTATTTGCGTTCAGTTTATTTTCTCTCGAGTTCCGGCGAGGATATTGCACATTTTTCACGTCTCCTGCTTAAAAAAAAAAAAAAAAAAAAAAAAAAAAAAAAAAAACACTAATAACTCTACAAATGGCGCCCGAACTAAAAGGTTATGGACAATAATTCGTCACCGCCAGGATTTGGCAATTGGGTCCCCTATCGCCAAATCCAAACCTAATGTTCCGTGAAAAAAAAACTTTAAAACTTGTAAATTATAAATAATTTAACACTTGATCCAAAAGTATTAAAATATTTATAATTTATAAGGCAAAGGAAATGTTAAGTGGATTAATAGCAGCATTCTATCATGATTTTTCACAAGATATAATTTTCTTTATGAAATTAAAAAAACCGTACTTCAGGTTTGAATTATTACATATATATCACTCTGCAGTTTTAGTTAATCACCTGCAAGAAATTCCGTGAGTTATTCCAATTAATGCTACAGCAAATGTTTCTACAAATATTTATTCCAAATAAAATACACTTTCTAGTAATCATGGCAAGATTCTGATAATACTCGTCTGCGAATTATTTACATCTTACTGTGGAATGCTTCAAAACACTTATAATTTTAATAAACATCTTTGCAACTTCTCAATCATATTGCAGTGTTTATTAAAAATTAATAAATAACCCATCAAAATTAATACCAAATATTTTTTAACATTTTATATCCTAAGACAACTGCATACAGTTACAGAAGATTTTGGTCTTCTGCAGATATGGTCATCATAGAGAAGACAACTATTGGTAATTCCAATTTCCGATAAGGCCATCAATAAAAAGATATTGAAATAAAATGCTATATCATTGTATTTACGGCTTTTTTTATTCTTAGGTTTTCTTCCACTTATGATTGACATGGTTGTTTCTGCTTGAAATTTATTATGTAATTATTTACTAGATATTTTAGGCACAGCCGAAGCGAGCAAGATTATGACCAAGGAAATTATTTCTATTCAAAACTTAAAGCGTTAGAAAATTCCAAAGAATCGTCAAGAAAAGAAAAAATGAACTTTGAAAAAATATAAAGCCACTTACATAGCAATGAAAGGAGTGATGTTATGGCTTGCACTAAATAGATCCTAAGCTGTTCATAAAAAAAAAAAAGTAAAAAAAAAATAAAATAAAATAATTAACGTGAAAGTATTGAAGAAAATTCTTGTATTTGATGTAAATATCGGCATAAAACAAAATGAAAATTGCTGTATTACTTCAAAACCTAATCTATGCTCCTATAGTAATTTCTTTTGACCTTATTTTTGTTGCAACTTAATGAGCTATATATGTTACCGGCAAAGTATGAAATCCGGCATTCTACGTAATACCTAAGCATTTCACAGAATGCCGAAAACTGGGCGGCAGTGTATGAAACGATGAAACATTTCACACATTGCCTAGGCATTCTAAGAATGCCAAATGACAAACCGGCAAAGTATGAAATACATCTCCATATTGTATGCAATGCCGAGGAAAAGTATAATAATAATTCGTGTAGTATATTGGCAGTTGTTTCTACCTCTGTCACACTCCTGAAAAAATTTTGAGAAAATTACATGTGGGATCACAATTCATTTTGTGTTCTAAGAACTTGTTTCGAATTAAATATATCCTTGATCAAGAAATCCATTTCTAGTTGTCCAGTGGAAGTGGCCAAGGATTCGTCAAATGTATGTGTAAAACAAAGTGCCAAAATATGAAATGTGTTGTGTGGAAAAATAAATGAAATGAATTCAAAATGTCATTCAAGCCTGCCATGTTCCAGGTTAATTTTAATTTCTTATTTTTTATATGAAAACTTTTGTTTTCTTAAATAAAAAAGTCATAAATTTTGTTTCGAATAACTTTCATTTTTCTTTATGTATTTTGAGTAAAGAATTTTTTAATGGTATTCTTCCATTATTTTTTGAAAATAGCATTTGTATTTTTGAGGATTGAACGTGTTTCAAATAATAGCCTCATCACGACTTTTTTTCATACTTTGCCTAAAGAGAATTTATCATTCTATAAAATGCTAGGTATTATATACAAAGAATTATTTCTATAGAATGCCTTGGCCAGAGATGGGGAACGTACGGCCTCTGTGAGTTTTTTGTGCGGCCTCTAGCTCTTGTAGATTGCGAAAATTTGAAAAGCAATAGAATTAAATTACGTGCTGCCATCTATTCAGCATAACATGAATTTGAATGCTGCAGTGTTGCAGTTCTGGCAGTCTTTCCTAGTCTGAAATTATTGCCAATCTCGCGCACTTTTCAGTTTGCCAACGTCCAACAATAAAAATTCTTCTGTTTTGTTCTTATTTTTGGCTTGATCCAAGGTATATCAATTTATATGTGGCCTTCTTTATCACTTCCTAATTTAAATGCGGCTTCTCGTGGTAAAAAGGTTCTCCATCTCTAGTCTAGGCAAAGTACATAAGAATTTTCATATTTCATACTTTGCCTAAAATGCCAGGCATTCTGTAAAATGTCTAGGTATTCTATAGAATGCCGACGTTTCATACTTTGATGGTGACATATATATAGGCATGTTAAATTTTGTAGTTAATAATTCTTAATGCAAGTTTATGTTCTTTCCACTTGTAAGATTTTACAGATGTATACATTAGAGTCCAAATATAGCAAAAGGAAAAAGAAATTTAATTAATAAAAATATGATATTCACATAACTTCCTTGTACTGCCTATTAAACTATACACAATTTTTGCTGCATTTCATTTAAATTTATTTCCTCGACCTTCATTAGAGATATATTTCTCATTCAGCTCTCTCTTCGGCAAGGCAAAAATACATAAAAATTCAAAATATCTTGTTTAAAAATTGAAAGATATAGTAAAACATAAAACACCAAGTACAGTTAAAACAATCAAAAACAATTACAATTAAAATTAGAGTTTTTTTGAAAATCCAAGCAATTCAGCCAGCGGGCAAGAAGGCAGATTTTTCGGTTCATAAAACTAAAAGGTTCCTTTTGGTCTCACTCGGCAAAAAGACACTGAAGGTGCAAAAAGACTTAATTCACTGTTCTGTTAAGTTTCAAATGTAAACAAATATGGCTGCTATGATAAAAAAAAATTAGACTTAATCGCACTTAAACAACTTTTAAATTGTTGATAATTTTACAATTGTTGCACGCAGATTAACCTTAACCGGAAGATAAGAACATAATTCACTCATTTTTAAAACAAAAAATGCACAATTTACCAACATATATATATATATATATATATAAATTGGCTCATGAAGCCGAGTAACAGAGTTGGGTATATACGTAGCGTATTCGGAAACTAAGTACCGTTTCATTCTAGCACCGTCGCAGCGCTGTGTGGTAGGCGTCCCACGCATGCGCACTAGTCTTTCTTGTTCACTGACTTTCAATTGTCGCCATTTTGTTTGCTCTATGTTGTGTTTTCAGTTTGCTGTGCATATTCAAAATGTTTAAGACAATTAGTTCTCCGCTGACTGTGAGATTCGTGCCGTGATTAAATTTTTGAACACGAGGAATGTTAAACCGGCCGCAATTTATCGTCAAGTGACAGAAGTTTACGGTGAATACGCGATAAGTGATGGAATGGTGAGAAAGTGGGTAAGAATGTTTAATGCAGGTCGAACAAATGTCCACGCCGAGGCTCGGAGTGGTCGGCCTTCTGTTGTCACCGATGATTTGGTAAGGAAAGTTGAAGCAATTCATGAGAACAGACGCTTCACAATGACAACTCTTTCAGAGGCATTTCCACAAATTTCACGTACTGTTTTGTTCGAAATTGTGTCTGACCGCTTGAATTATCGCAAACTGTGTTCCCGATGGGTTCCAAAAATGCTCACTTATGTTCACAAAACAAAGCGACTTGGCAGTGCCCTGACATTTCTCACGCGGTACAGTGATGAGGGAGAAAACTTTTTAAACCAAATTGTGACAGGTGATGAAATTTGGGTGTGTCATTTCACACCAGAATCGAAACAACAATTGATGGAGTGGAGACACACTCATTCTCCGAAAAAACAAAAGTTCAATGTGACAATGTCATCACAAAAAAATCATGTGTACTGTCTTCTGGGATAGGAAAGGCGTTTTGCTTACTGAATTTCTTTTCAGAGGTGAAACCATTAATGCGGCACGATATTGTGAGACTTTAACAAAACTAAGGCGTGTCATTCAAAACAAACGAAGATGAATGCTCAGTAAAGGAATTGTGTTGGTCCATGACAATGCTCGGCCTCATACTGCTGGTGTCACTCAATCGTTGATTCGACAGTTTCATTGGGAGCAGTTCGATCACCCGCCGTACAGCCCGGACTTGGCACCGTCCGACTATCACTTGTTCCTGCACATAAAGCGCGAGCTTGGTGGCAAGCGCTTTGGATCTGACGATGACACGAAAAATGCTGTGGAGTCGTGGTTATCGAAACTGGCGGGAAGCTTCTTTGACGATGGTATACAAAAAACTGGTCACCCGCTATGACAAGTGTTTGATCATTGGCGGAAACTATGTTGAAAAATAGTTTAAGACATGTATTTTCATGTAAAAATAAAATTGGATTCGAAAAAATTGTTTTATTTTTTTATTTTATTTATTTATTTATTTTCAAAACGGTACTTAGTTTCCGAATACGCCTCGTATATTACCAGTCCCATATACAAAATTTCAACGGTTTGAGGATACTCGTTTTTGTGTTATGCAAGATACGTACGTACCGTATCCTGAACCCATTTTAAACCCGTTTTTTACTCCGTTTTGGCAAAAAGAGGCCTTTATTCTGTCTGTACATAGACACGTCACGGAAAAACATCGTTCAGGTGGATTTGAGAGCGATCAAAATAGATGTTTTCGGCGAAATATGATACTCGAAATTTTTAACGATCAGAATACTTTTTCCTTCGTACAAAGCAGTAAAAAGAAATGA